GAATTTAGCCATTTGCATTTCAGTTGTGATTTGTTATTTACTTGACTTTATTGGTTAAACCTTTTCTTTGAAATGGTGACCAAACGAAAGTAGGTATTTTAAGCCAATTATGAATGGAGATGAGTGTAGGATGAGTGGCGCGATCTTTCATACTAATCAAATACATACTTTTATTTCTACACGGCTCGGACAAAAAGTGAAATATTGTACTATTCAACACAAACAACCGTTTAAAGCTGTTGATGGACGTGAAAACCACTAAAATGATTTAAATGTTTAGCTAAACCCCCCTCCCCCCCCCCCCCCAACGTGTATGTTTGTTCAACAGTTAGCCACAGACTGTTATAATGTTTGTTTACCAGCTTTGCTGTGTACACGTGAATGTTGGCCACTACCAACAAACACTGATTTGACATTGTAAACGATGTGGAAACTCTTTGAACCACAATCTGGTTACTTGTACATGTGATTTTAGCGAATTTCCCTATAGGGAAGTAGCTATTACCGTAGGTCTCATGGTAAGACTTAGGCCCGGGACCGATTTACTTTTTCATTTTGATGTCCCCAGAGGCCAAAAACACCATTCGTTCAAATTTTTATATATGTATATATATATAGATTTATATATATATGTGTCCGTGAACACGATAACTTGAGTAATTTTTATCCGATTTTGATGAAATTTGGTTTGAAGGTGTAAGGCGGGATAAACTTGAATGAGTTCGCGATCCAGCATGATCGGACCATGGGAACAGGGTTTTATGGGGGGTTTTATGGGGTAAAAATTGGTTTTTCTCACTTTTGACCCTCAAAACACAAAATTTCCCAATTTTTCTCTAAACCTTCTTAAAGAGCTTAAAAAACAAACAATTCAGTAAATCAAAGTGTTTTTGTACGGTTATTGGTTACGGAGAAAACTAAAAAAATTGTAAATTGAAAATTCCCATGTTATTCTTATGGAGAATATTGTAAAATGTTGTAGTTTGCTTGTTTATGGATATCTTTTGATCGAACTTGGCAAATATATTCATTTTCTACTAAGCAATAATTATTTTACTTAAAACACACACTTAATTAGTTTCCTTGTAGCAGCAAACCTAGGTACTCGTTAAACCTAATGTCATTTAAATAGATCGATTGAAAATCAATTCAGCCAAATGGAAATTCGCTTAGACGGCAGGTTTGCTGCGCGGCGGGGGTATTATGATATATTTTCTTCTAGTCGTGAGCAGATGTGTTGTTAGCTGAGTATAGTTGTGCTCGCTTGGAAATGAAATGTGGTCGCAATTTCATAGAACAGTATTAACAGTATTAATCTATGAGTCACCGGTTCGAGCCTGAGCAAAACAGAAACTTTATGATGGTTTGCAACAGGACCCAGCTGACATTGAACTATAGGTTTTTCATAAATTAATATCCCTGGCTAAATAAATAGCTTGATTTAGTCAGTAACAAAGCTACAGATGATTTTACCCCTACAGTAATCTTGCATTCATTAGAACCTTATTATAAATTATGTTAGTCAATGGTTATGAGTTTCCGTCTTTAAAGTAATATTAACTTATCTATTTTGGTGAGCTTGTGACCCTTTCTTTCTTCTTAATTAATCCCTTAAAACTATTATGCACTAACATTATACTGTAAACTAACCGACAGCAGATTTGTACGATAAAATATGATCAAATAGGTACATGATCAAATAGGCCTACAGTTATATTTATAGAGTAAGGATTACTAAAAAGGTGCTGTAAATCACTGAACAGAAAAAAAATAGTAATGGATTTGTTAACAACAAAAGTCTACAGCCGAGAGCATTTAGTTCTCGCCTTCAAATCCGAAGGTCGTTGGCTCAATTCTATACGAGATCGTTTCCAGACAAAGACAAAATTACCATTTTTAATCTGGCCATTACTGAGCTATCTAAAAAAAGGTTCTCTTTTAAGATAGCAACAAGAACAGGCATTGGACCTTTCCACTATAATAAAGTAAAATAAATAGTTCTAGGCATACACAACATAAAAATGTTGTCATGTAAAAAAATATACTGAAATTATTACGCCTCATTTTGAGAATGTATACTTGTGCTTGCCAGGTATTAAAAACAAAGATTAAACTGTTTCATTTTGTGCAAAACCAACATTTCATAATAAATAATGTATTCTCGTGGATTTGACTTCATAGTGTATAAATTCAAACCAACGTAGACCTATAAAGAGTTACAGTATTGTTGTAGTTTGTTCCTGGTGTATGGGCCAAGAGGAACAGAGGTCAAGACGTTTGTATATTCAATGACGGACAAGTTCAATCAGTACAAACAAGAGCAATAACATTCCCTCCATCCCAACACTCTCCCCAGTCCAACATCTCACTCTAGTACTGCTACTGCTGACCTAGGATCAACTAGTTACAACTTCATGTTGAGTTTGTTTTAATATTTCATCTCGACACCCTCATTTCGTTAACTCAATACCACTGTTTTCTAAGGTTAAAATAAAAAAAATACCTAAAGCACGCTGCTGAATCACGAACAACGCGAAAATAGCAAGAATTTATCATCGATTTTGCCTGAAACCTCAACAGTAACAGTAGATTTCTACGGTTTATCCCTAGTATTGATCTCATTTATCAATATAATTTATTCAGACACAGAAAATCGTTACATCAACGAAATGTCAATACTTAAGATTTATATGTGGAGTCAAAGAGGTGCTTTATATCCACACCCACTTTTCAATGATCTATTTTATTTGGATATAAGGGAATGATAAAATTTGTGTTAGAACAAATCGTGGCAGTGAAAATATTTTTATAGAAGCAAATTATAAAACCGAATCAACATTGTAGGTAGCTAGGATGTTAAATTATATTTTAGAAAACTACCGGTCTAGTAGTTATAGCTTAGAATACCTAATTAATACGTTTACAGGGATGCCTCAACTTAGTTACAAAATTAACCATTTTTCTATACCTTAAAAATCCTTTTAGTCACCAAACTTTCCTAGGTGTCATGTTTTATCTCTGAGTCTACACACGAGGCATACTCTGGTGTTCTTTTGCCCCTGAGGTCAAAGACTACATTGTAACTATTATTATGTAGATAAGGCTAGTAACGTGAGCAAGCATACATCACCAAGCTGATCTTTCTGTCTCTAAATATGTCTCTTTCCTTCCTATCTCTTCACCTACACGTATGCAACTAACTGTCCTTAATGACAAAGTAAACGACTAGGCTTCAAAACTTTAACTCCCTTCAACGTTTTAAAATGAACATTAACTAACATTAGGTATGTTATAAACCGCTATATTGTGGTAATCTGGTATTATGGTATAGTATGGTGGGGTTAGGACTATTTTAATCTCTTTTTACAAAACCAATTGTATTTAAGAACCATTTGTTGAGAAACATATCAAAACCTGGACTTTTAACTACATCAACCTTTGACATTAGATTCAACATGTATTGAGATGTAATTTCCTTGAGCTTGTTTTTAGGTTAAACGTCTATTTGCAGTTTAATCAGATAAGTGTAAGCTATAGTTATGCATTTCTTTTAAATGTTAGGATTAAACTGTAATGTGATAGGATAACACCTAATTGGCATTTTTTTATGAAGACCAACTGTAAAAGTGGTGCACTTCTACCTGTAGAACCACATTTCCCACAACACGAGTCGTGTTAAATATTTGGGCAAGTGTGAGTTTACGGTGAGGCAGTAAAAAGACACCTTCTGTTGAATGCTGCAGAAACCTTCAGCATACAAAACAATGGTGTGTTACTTACAATCCACTTCTTGTTGTTGTTCTTGCTATTGCCTTAGTGAATGTGTGATTAAATTTATAGAAACTAATCCTTCATGTACTTGAACTTTTAAGTAAATTGAAAGTAACTCGGCTAACAAGTATCTTGTAGAAGCAATAAAATGTGGAGCCTTTCCTATACTTGGATCGTAATTAATACAAATTGTTTACAAAACTACTCATTATAGTGTAAATATGACATTAAACCACAGCAAAACTGCTTGTTAACTCTTACTTAGTAAGAAAACATTTCTGGTAAAATATATCATAAAATATATATTATTCTAATTCATTTGTGTTTATTATTCGTGTTACACTGTGTTTTCCTACCATAGATATTTGTTGTTGCAATATTTAAACTCATTAATGTCAAAAGACTTCATTAATTGAACTTGAATTTTTTGTTGGTTTGGCGAAGTGCATCAAACTTTCTTCAAATTAGCAAAATAGATTGAATGGTTGAAACGTCAGTATGCCTTGCAGCGTATCTATGATGAACTTTACAGAGTAATTAGCTCTTCACTTGATATTACTATTATGAATCAATATTAGTCAACAGGTTTGTTTATAATAGCAAATCGATATAAATATTATTTTGGAAGTAAACTGAGAAATAAGTACTATACACATATTTCTTGATTTTTGTGTTGGTTGTAGCTTCCCATTAATAGAACAAACACTAAATTATGAAGTATTGAACTATTACACATTAAATAGTCCTCATTTTACATGCTATGATTATTTATTTAATAAACATTCTACATTATTCTACATATATTCTGCAGTGAATAGTTTCAAGAAAAGCCTATTAAACGGTAGCTTTGTTTTCTTTGAGTTAAAATCTAGCAATTGATGGTCCTGATAGATAGGATGTCTCGTGAAGCTGCTGCAGTCAATGATGAACCAGGGTTTTGACTGTTAGCTTACAGTAAGCATAAAAAATGCTAAGTACAAAAACCGATAAAGCAATTATTTACACCATAAAAATTATTAATTTATGCCACACATAAAGTATGTTTTTGAAACATTCTCCATTATAATATAAAAATTATTTTAAGGTTTCCAAATTCAGAAACCTTAAACAAATTATTGTGATTGGAAACTACTTTCAAATAATGTTTGTGAATATTGAAATTCATGGTCAGAGCTCATGTATGCACAAATTTATCAGCAAATATGAGTCAAACCCAAATAAAACTCACTATAAAATTGGAACTGAAAAGACAAAGTCTGTAATGGCACTAAAACCATTATGAATTAGCCAAGGATTGTTGTAAGGGCAGCAAAGTTACTGGTTTCGTCAGTAAGGATGAACTATAACCAAGGACATGATTGCCACAACCAGTGCGAGAATAAAAGCGATGACCATCATTTGAGTGTCAGGCGGTGAGAGGAGACGAGAGAGCGCCCAGCAGGACGTGTCGATGTTGCAGGAATGGAAGATCTGGGTCCGAGGATTACCTGGCTCGTCTGGCATCTCTGCCGACTGGAATTCTGGCTCACACTCACATTCTCCTGACAAAACATCGGACAATTACAAATCGATTCTAAATCTCTAAATTTTTTACATCAAAGCAGAAGGTACTGCCACACAACTAACTTAAGACAAGAGTAAGTTTGTGCCATTTTAAAATTCTTTTAAAGAAGATTCCTTGAAGGGGCAAAGTTTAAAAAGGTTTTGCAAGTTATTTCTATATCGTCCATACTTTTTCTCTGAATGTATTCGTAAGCCAAGAGTTTTTTTCCAAAATGGTTAGTATATCATTTCAAGAAAGGTGCAACAAGCTTTCAAGACTGCTCAAAGGTTTTGTCTTTTGAAAATATTATTTTCCTAGCCCAAACTATAACATAGGAAGTGCGTTTGAATTTGAAGCACACTATCATTGAGTGTCCCTTGGAGTTTAAAGTAAACTGCCATGATTTGAAGTGTCAGGTTTCATTAAAACAGAATTTTGTGACAAAACATGGGTACATTCGATTACTTAATCACATTATAATACTCTTGATTGACATTGTCACACAAGAGACAACCTCAGAAGGAAGTACACAAAAGAAAACATATTCTTGCAAAAGCGCTAGAAAGGCGATAAACAAAGTCCATCAGAATGTGTGTATACTAACATTATTAGTGCGGTCGACATGTCTAAACATGAAAATTGAGATTTTTCAATGTTAAGCAATGGTGAAGAAGAAGAAGAAGAATTCCCGTCATCAACACTCAAAGTGTTAATAATATGAAATATCCTCAAACTTGTCGTTTAACATTGTCAAAACATCACCAACCAGAAACATTGCTGAGTGCCCCACGATGACAATCCAGATACGCCATCCTACTGCTGGAGTAAGGGAAGCAGTCCGGTTCTAGATCAGCGTGAGCCAGATGCTGAAGATCCTCTTCGTCCAAACAGCTGTTCATGTCAGTACATTGGTTGCTGGCCACATCGTACACAACGTCTGGCATGCCTCGTCTTTTGCTAGGCAGACACGCTGGGACAGGCTCACAAACTCTGGATGCTTTGTTGAAGAAACTCCGCAGCCCGAAGTACTTCATGTGACAGTCAACCATTTTGCAGTTGTTCAGAGCATCTTCGTCATAGGAGTTGCAGGGTGGACTTTCTACAATGTAGCCTGGGAAGCCTCTGACCATGCTGCATCTACAAAAATACAATTCTGGTGTTCATTCTTCATAGTTTGATGTGTGAATTAAATATAGTTTTACTAAGCGTGCTGGGCAAAACATATTTTTGAAGATGTTATACAAATTTTATTGATGACTAGCTGTTGTACCCGTGCTTTGCAACGGGAAGAGAACACATAATAGAAACATTTTAAAATCTTTACATCTGTTGCGTATACTAGTTACATATCCACCAAGGCTTTTAGAAACAAAATTCAACTTTCATGGCCTTAATAGAAACGTTTAAGTTATAACTTTTAAATCTGGTTAGTAGTGGATACCACCATTTTGGTTTTGAATAATTTTAAATCTTGTGTAGGCTGATATGAGAAAAACTGACCAAATCTTTGAATAAAACTTTCACATACATGATTTACCTTAATCTCCCTTAATTACATACTTTTTTCTTTATTTTTGACATTTTAAATTTCAACTTTGAAGTTGCAAAAATACTAATTATTAAATTTAAATGAACATGTTTTTAATTTCACTCTTCTTCGTATTAAATCACCAATCCTTCCATCTTCAGTTTCTTCACTCACAATAAATCATTAGCAAAACTAAGTCAGCTGTTATAAACTTAGAAATATTGTTGTGCCTTATCAATAGTCTTTTGAAATATTAAAGAAACTATATATATACTATAACAAAATTTAAACAAAAAATTAAGCATTAAGGACAGAAGACAAAAGTAATAAGATTATCAAAGCATCAAGGACTAAAAAATGTAATAGCAAATACAGTATGTTTCATTGCATCTCTGATTCTACTCTACAAAAATATCAACAATCAACTTAATATACAAACCAGTTCTTTTAATCAGTTCCATAGTTATTTATCAAATAAAGTAAATGGGAACTGAAAGCTATGTTAACATAAAATAAGTGTATTTTGTATTACCATTTGATAATTAAATATACTTACACATATACAAACGATTTTAGAACACAAAAATCAACGACGAACAATTTGCTTATTGATGATATTCTTTAGTTTAATTTAAGCATAGGTTTAGCAAAACACAATAACTAAATTTACCTAAATATACTGGTATATATAAAAATAAAAAAAATGTTATGTGCAAGTTATGTTAAGTTAATCTAACACATGTTAAGCAGCTCAAATTTATTTAAAGTAGCCTCTAAATTCATACAAAACATCTATACATTTTAATTGTCTTACTGTTTCCATGACAATATATCAATAACATAATTTTCATAACACTTTAAAATCGAAAGCAGAGCCATTATTTTTATTTCTATAATCATTGACATAGTTTTTGAATAAATGATCTTTGAATTTTTTTTTTATTAAATAAACCAACCACATAATTAATTGTCCAAAATATTATATTTAATTTCATTAGATCAGCTGTCTTAAATTGTAAAATATGCAATTTGACAGTTCTTGTTTATTTTGAAATGTCAAAGCAAATGTAAACATTGTGAGTATTCTCATTGCAGCCATGGTGACCAATCAATATTTACTTTTAAAATCCTCACCTCAGAACTTTTAAAGCCAAAGGGGCAAAACCCACGGTCAGTATTGAAGTGTGAATAGTCCTATAATGGTCCTTGGTATTGTAACTATATTTTTGTAAAATTTAAGCCAGGTTGTTTCAGTAGTTGTCGCACCTATTAGTAATACACATACAGACAGACACCATTAGATTTTTATATAATAGTATAGATTAGCCAACATATACATGACTCAATTTTTTTTAGTAACACCTAAAAAGATATACCTCCTCCTGCATCGCCAAGAGCAGATGATTATAACCCGGTAATTTCTTATTTCCTTGTAATGTGTGATCATTTAGTGTGTAAAGTGTTTGTAAAAGGTTCTGATTAGATTTTTTAGTGAAATCCTAGAAAATATTGTCAGCACAAAGCATGTAATAAAGATACACTTCACAATTGTTTTGTTATGATGACCTGATACAGTCCAAATAATAGTTCTGTAGCTACAAAAATGTGGTTTTAATCACAGCTATTTCTTAGTAGTGTCAAATTATAATTTTAACTACTCTCTATTAAAGAAAAAAAAAACTGTTGCTGAAGATCTTGTTCTCTGGGTCTTATCTATATAAAGCTCAAATACCACTGACTCATTCATTCACTCACTCACTCACTCATCACGAAATCTCAGAAACCATAAGACCTAGGAACCTGAAACTTGGCAGGCATCTTCCTTTTGGGTAGTAGACGCTCACTAAGAAAGGATTTTACCCTCCGACCTCTGGGCTCCGCCTCAGTGGCTCTGGAGTTTCCCATGTTAACCTTATGGGAAATGGAATTAATGAATCTTAACAGCTGTTTCAATTAAACAAGTTGGTTCTGTTCTATGATGTTCAATAGCATTAAAGTTACAAGGATTACCAACAGGGTGCAGCACTATTATTTCTTTTACATTTATGACAACAGCTAATTTGCAACCAAAAGGTGAGTGAGCGTAGTGAACGAACTTCAACCCGGAGGCGAGTTAGCGTAGCGAACGAGCTAACCTGAAGGCAAGTGAGCGCAGCGAACGAGCTCCAACCTAAAGGTGAGTGAGCGTTGCGAACGAGCTCCAACCTAAAGGTGAGTGAGCCTGGCGAACGAACGTCAACCAGGACGTGATTGAGCCATGCGAACGAGATCATCTTGAAAATTAAGAAGTTAAACGGGGCAAAGCCTGCGGGTTACAGCTAATTGTACATAAAGACAGATAAACCTATGACCAAAACGTAACCACCCCATGGGTGATGAAGACTTTTAAAGCGGAATGACAAATTAATTTATCTTTCATCTAAAAAATCCTTCAAAGTAAAAGGTATTTATCTGATGTTTCATTTACGTGTTTCTTTCATTGCAAATAGCAATGGCAAAACTCTTAACACAAGACTGTGCCAAAACAAAATAATTAAAACCACGCAATTATTGATCGTATTGATAGCCAATTGATCTTACTTGACGTTTTGTTCGCTGAGAGCCGTGTCGAAGGCTATGTGTTGTAGCGCCTCCTTTGACCGGTTACATGACGACATGTAATGCACTCCCAGCAGACATTCTCCTCGTCTGTTGTAGGGGTAGAGTGTCGGGTGGATGAGAGTGAAGTTCTGGTCCACGTTAGGCTCTACTATTCTTGTCTCTGGGATGAGGTGGATGTTGGTACAGTCAGTTTGTCCTCCTGGGAAGTCCTCACAGCACTGGACCATGCTCACTTGTACCTGAAACCATGTTCATTAACAGTTTTTTTTTACTTTATTTTCACAAGGGATCTTCTAACTTCTTACAGTTTTAATAATGGTAATTTCTCAAGTAAAATTTATTGCTGTAATTTAAACCTGTAATCGAACAATTCTGTAGTTGAAGTTAGGAAAGTGCCTTTGGTAATGTAATATTTGGGGTTAAATTGTAAAGAAAAAGTGTTTGGGGATGTTTTCCATGAAGGCGGAATGTGTTAATTTATTTAAACATTAATTGTCTTGCTTACCACCAAAAGTTTGTAATATATTTAAGAAGGTCAGTGTATTCAATATGAATATCAATTTGTGAGATGTGGTAGTGTGGGGTGTTTTAGACAAGAATCTCATAGAGGAGCCCAAGGTTCTTTAGCTTTTGTGTATATGTAAGGTGAAGTTTTTTTTTTTCAAATTGAAGTTGAATGTTCATCTTAACTCATAAGTAATATTATAGCTCTTTTCATGCTGCTATTTGCATTTTATTCTTTGCAATTTTGTCTTTGAGTTAAGACTATGTCAAATGGTCTGTTCTAAAGAGAGTGTTTGACTTTGATTTCTATGGTACCTATGTCTCTAAAATAATTGTGATTGAACTTAGGGGAGCCATTATAGGTTAGCCCATGTTACAGTAACCATGTCTGACGATTCCATAGTTAAGTGTAAACCGTACATAAAAACAAATCAAATAGATCTAAAACAAAAAGCGATTTTGTACGTAATTTGACACCCATCCATTCCCATGTAGTCAGTTTTAGGATAAAAAGAAAATTGTCCTACTGAGTCTCCTTTATAGGAGTTTGATGTCTATTACTGATTTAACTCCCATAATAAGCAAAACTGATAAGGTCAGCGTATTGAAAACATTAGCATTCCTTGTATCATAAAAGTTAATCATACAGAGTATCTCACTCATTTATGTTCTATTTGAAAAAAATTGGCTACAGCATTGCTGGTCCATATAGATGGGATTTCCACTCCGGTATCTAAACATTAACGGTTTACCAAGCTTTAAATATAATACCTGTAAAAGCAATCACATAATAAGAAGCATTCTTTGGTACACACCTCTGCCGCTTCATTCCCCTTGTTAACCACAGTTACGAAGAAGTGGATTCCAATGTGACCTTTGATAAGCGGAAGCAAACCTGCATCCACAATCTCCACACATTGTGAAGCACCCCGCACAAACTGTACTGCACTTAACAACACTACAGCCAATAGTACACCCATATCCTCAGGTTTAAAAAACAAAAATTTAAATTACATAACGGTTTCTTCAAAATATTTTTGTTGGATGGAAGTGGTTATTGTTTACAAATTATACATACATATGATGTTGATAATTGACATGTTTAAGTTAGCAAATTAAACTCCATGAAAACACATGATTAGTAAAATTTCAGTACCTAAGTAAATAAATAAAGAAAATTCTATGATACAAAAAAATTTATTTTGGTTTATTATTTTATCTGTCTTATGATTGTCTAAGTTGATATTATCCTCACTTAACCATGGTTAATGTCACAGAAAATCAGGGTTGAACAAAGAAAAACTATTTTGCAGCAGTTTCGTTGTGGTCTTGCATAGATTAGGACTATATTAGGTTCTCAAACCTTCTTCAAAACTAGTACTGTAAAAAATCTGTTTCTTTCTCTTTCAACCAAAACGGCCATTTAAATGAAAAATAGAGATAAAAAGTATCAAATATCATTTTGACAACTCTACCATGAAACAGAGAGGCTCAATTAAATCAATTAGACCAATTAACCTCTAATTATATCTGGTTTCAGCTGCCGATCCCGTCAGGAGGCTGGAGTGGTGTCCTGAATGCTACTGTGTTCAGAAACAAATGCCCTCAAGCCAACAACGAGAAGGAACTGCTAGAGCTGCAGCAGAGAATCGAGAGGAATGAAGATGTCGAGGACTGTTTGCATTTGAATATTTACACGCCTCGGGTAAATGTTTTAAAAGAAAATTTAGTGGATCATTAGTATATTTTGAATATGGATTGAGATTAGCTGGCTTACCTGAGGAAATTCAGGTGCTGATTACACAATATCAGTGTTTGGTTTTTTAATGTATTTTTATTGTGTATCTATCAGGGAGCCAGCTGGTCTAGTGGTTAGAGCGCGGGCCCAGAGGTCCTGGGTTGAAATCCCGCCGAATCATCAATGGATTTTATCTAAGTGATAATGCCGAAACCCATAGATCTATCCTGGGTGTAATGTGAAAAACAATCCAGGGCTCGTGCCTAGCGTCCTAGGAAAAAAATTGTGTATCTATTATGAGTACCTGGCCTCTAATTGTTACAGATAACCTAGCTAAGCTCACTGATGTATCCATCCTTAGGGAGGAACTGCTGGAAGTTGCTTATCTAAAGTTTTACGGTATTTCTTTTGTGAGTTCGTTTGAACCACAGACTGACACAAGCAGATTTCTCATTCTATAAAGCTTGTTCTTTATGCCTGTTCATGTTTGGTGACTGTGCCAACCAAATTTAGTGTTTTTTTATTTTAGGATTAATGTTATGATTTTACTTTACATTTTGGCTGTGACAAATGAGAATTAGCTACTGTTTCTGTTAAATACTGTTCTATGAAATGGCAACCATACAAAGTAGGTATTTTAGAGTGTAGGATGAGTGGCGCGATCTTGTAGTCTTGTTAGTGACTAAGGCCGACATTCCTTAGACACAGCTGTTAATTAATAGCCCATACAGCTAATGGCAACTAAGGGACCTACAGTTTAGTGGAATCCGAACCACATTTTTGCCTTGGTAATTATGAATTGGTCTAATTATCAGGATAGTACTGCAGATAGTCGTAGTACTCACCCGTGCGGACGTTAATCCACACTGGGGAGTATCGCATCCACAGTGCATGCCTATAAATATCCACAATTCGTGACCTCCTAGTAGCTAGATTACAGACGACGCCACCCGTCCCAGTCTTCATATAATTCATAATAATTTTATCTTCTAATTACGGTATCTGTTTATTTATTTCAAATATGGTATTAAAATAACAGAAAAAATGTTACGGTAGAAAAACATGCTCCTGTAGGCATTAGACTAAAAATGACAAATCTACTAAGGGACGTTTAGTTAGGGTTTTGATTGAATAAACTCGATAAACTTATCTATCTATATTATTAAAAGAATTTGTTGGATATTTGTATTCAGCAACTCGACCCCTAAATATTTATTTTCATTGGCATATTGGGTATCAATTTAAACCTCTTATCCTCTAGATGTGCCTTTTGCAGGTTGGGATGATATCCCGTGAAAGCCCTTCATCCTATAGGCTTTTACAATCTCAGAGTTTGTGCTGAATTCTATTGTCAATAATCTGAACTTTTAAAAAATGTACATTTGTTTACACCAAAACAGATGGCCATGTACAATTTTGTTTACAACCATACGAAAATGGTGTTATCGTTACAGTTGATGATGTTTTAGTGAATTCAAGTAAAATATTGTAATGCTATTTGTATAAAATGTAAAGAAAAAATCACTTACGTTAGATCTTGTGTTTTCATGGTATGTTTCATTAGTATTTTGTAATTTTCCTAAGATGCCTTGAAGAGAGCAGAAGAAAATTGTAAATTAATTCAAATATATCACAAATTTTGTACGCCAGCTGCTAGTAGCAAAAAAAAAAAAAAAAAAAAAAAAAAAACACGTACTTTGCTTAGTCTGCAGGTTTTTCTACATCAGGGTTATTTTATTTTCCATGTGTTTTGAAATGCAAATGAATTATTTACTTGAATATAATTTACCTATTCATCTTTACTTTACTCCAGGTTCCTCTCAACAATACTTGCAGCACGTACTTGCCTGTCATGTTCTACATCCACGGAGGAAGTTTTCGAGTTGGGTCTGCCAGAGATTTTCTTCCTGATTTCTTTCTGGAGGAAGACATAGTCCTAGTTGTGATTCAATATCGCCTGGGACCTTTAGGTATGTAACCTAGTAATCAAATTGTTTGTTAATAAATTACAGACTAACTTTAACATTTGAACAGATGAATTTGAAATGAATGAATGAAGGTTGTTTATAAGGCTTAGATGAATTAAAATTAAATTAAACATACAGTAGATAGTTTCCCCATGTTAATCTTTTGTAAAAGAATATTCCATAATTGATATTTCCTGGGGTTAGTACTTGTGTCTTTTATTTATCATTTGCATTGGTGTAGTTAGTAGTTTTAGTTTACAATTTAGTATGTGACCATCATACTAATACACATATTCATTAAACATAGGCTACATAGTTCATTTTGTGAGAATCCATATAGTCACAAAAAAAATGTTCGAAGAACATACTACTGTACTAGTACTGTGGTTAAATAAATTAAATCAATCAAATAAACACAAATTTTGGTTTGATTAAAAATCATGGAAAAGTAAAAACACACTCTAGAAATTAAAACAAAGTTTGTCAGAAAATGAAAAGGAGGTATGTTATATGTTAACAGAGTTGAAAAGGACATTTAAAACACTGACTTGACTTATCTTTCAACACTTTTGGCCAGGTGTAACGAGCTCCTTTCAATATAATGTGTGTTTGACTCACTTGCATTCATTTTCTTGGACTTGAAGTAATATAATTACATCACTAACAAAAACAATCATTAGATGGACTAAAATAAAGCTGTAGTTAAAAACCATTAAGTAAACTGAGTATTTTATGTGAATATTATTTTTTATTACAAAATAAACCAAAACCGGCGACATTAATACTATATTTACACAGCATCCCAATAGTCAGAAAGTACCTTCATTGGATGAAATGAAATGAAAAAATCTTTATTTATTCAGGCAAAGAAATATGCCTTTTCTTTTTACACTTTTCTTACACTTAACCTGGCTCAATGAAAAGTGTGTCTGAGTGGATAGGGGTTTGACTGGCATTACTTGATTTTGAATGCCCAAAATGATTAAAAAATGTTAAAAGCAAATAAAAAAATAGCGTTTTAAAATGAACAATTTTTATTGTTGATTTAAGTTTTAATTTACCTGAGACTTTAACTTGCTTGTAAATTTATTAACGTATTTGTATTTCTCGTAGGTTTTCTGTCGTTTGGAACCGAGGAAGCCCCTGGAAACATGGGTCTGCATGATCAGCTGATGGCGCTTCACTGGACCAATCGTCATGTGAATCAGTTCTGCGGGGATCCTCGTCAAGTCACCATCTTCGGACAGAGTTCCGGAGCTGCTGGCGTCACACTACTCATGGCCAGTCCTTTAGTGACTCCTGGTGTGTATAAACACATCTGTTTCCTCTGCTTATATAACCCAGTAACCTTGTTAAAAAATCAGGGTCTACCTTGCATGAAATGGGGTAGTAGGTTTCTTTTTTTTATGTTGTTTGTAATGATACCGAGATGCTAAATCCAAATTTTCGACCTCAGCGACCTTCCGGATCACCTCCAAAAAGCTTAAAAATCGGCGGAATTTCGCACTATTTTTACGTTTGTCCAATTTTGACCCTGAAGCATCACTTTTTCATAAAGAACAACCATAACCATTTTTAAAGTATATTAAATTACCTACCATATAAGACCAAAATGGTTATTACAGGCCTAATAGTTTTCAAGATATGACTCCGCAAACAACGGCTAAAATTACCAAATTTTGAATTTTTTTAAAGTTTGGCTAACGTTAACCCTAAAGCATAACTTTATCGTTATTTTTCATTAAAACAACCATAATTACTTTGAAACTGCATTAAATTACTCACAATTTAAGACCAAAATGGTGATTATAGGCCTAACACATTGAGATGCCTCTTCAAGGTTCATAAAATTAATGTTTGTATTTTAAGATTCAACTTTCAAGCTACCTATTCAATTTGGTCAAGTTTTATAAAAGAACCATAATAAGAAATAAACAAATTTATTTCATTTCGAGTACAGATTGTGTTATAACAATTTATTTTTAAATGGAAATAAATCTATTGTATCTATGTTCATAAACACACACGTACATTGTTACAATAAATGGTTCTCGGGTATAGAACACAGGCCTGTAACGAATTTATTTATTCTTACGTAATTTTGATTTTAAATTAAACTGTTTACAACATAGAAATACCTAATAATGGCTTAAATCCTATGATTTTGAATACAGATATGGCTTTTGTAATAGCATATAGAGTGTATAAAAGGATTACAATTGTATTTTTTCCAAATAAACCCCATTTAAGGGGTTAAAAACATTATGTAAATTAACTAATTTGGCCTAACAATTTTTCTGTCTTATACTTTGAAATGCTTAAAATTGGCTTAAATATTATAATTTTAAATACAATTATGGATTTTATAATTGCATGTAAAGAGTGTATAAAATAAAGACAACAATAAGATATAAAAATAAAGCTCATTTAATAGGTGAAAAACATTACGTAAACATTGATTTTGCGTAACAGATTGTCTGATTTCAACTTTAAAATGGCAAAAAGCTTAAATTTAATAATTTTGAATAGGATTATGGTATTTTAAATTACACAAAGAGTATATAAATGGAATACAATTCTAACTTTGACAAAAAAATCATATTTAATGAGTGAAAAACATTACGTAAACAAAATACTGAAATTATTTTTGCTAACATTTTACTTTATTTGTTTATTTTCTTACAGTTTATATATTTTTAACGCTTGAAAATGCTTCATTACACTAGAGGACTATATACTTAATGGTATAAAACCAATTGAGACTATAAAAAGTCAATAGTTTGCTTCATAATTCAAAAACAAAGTAAGATTTACAAGAATTTAAGCGAGTTTTGTTGTGCAAACTATACATTAATTGTTAATATTTTTCAAATTAATCACAATTGACTTTTTAAAACCTCATATATCAAAAGAGTACTAGTTGGAGCAAGGTAAGAAACCAAAAAATACCAATAAAAACCTATAGTTTACGCAGGCATTAAGTTTTAACACAGGAAAGAGCTAAAGACCACCCACATAGTGCCAAGGGGACTTATGGACACCTGTGGTCACTATTACCTACCAACAACCATGATATGACTCATGATAACATATAGTTTTTTTGGTCAGATATTGAATTATATACATCCTGCAGTTAATCCCATACTGATGGGTTGAGGCGTTCAAAAGTTATAGGACTTTGAAATTTCAAATTGAGACAACCTTTTTCACCCAAAAAATCATATTATTAGTCTTATTTTCAATTAAATTCTCAAAATTTGTTACAATTCGTCCTCTTGATTTAATTCTTAAAGGTATAGCATACCTAAAGGTTGTTTAATGAGTGAAAATTTAAAAACGTACGTTTTCATGTCCCTGGCCTTTTACTTCGTAGATACTGGATTTGTACTTTATTATTATGTGCTTTAATATTTTTTGGTACGGGGGCAACATGTTACACACATTTATTTGGTTTTCAATAGGTTTTAGGTATTTTTTTCGTATTTTTAAAGTCTCGAAATTCACGACCATGACGTGTCCCTAGGGTACATTTTCCAACTTTCACGCTGTTTTTAGACTAATTATTCATGCCGAAATATATAAAGCCATATTTTTATGTCATCAATAGTTATTAAACTTACAAAAAAGGAGCATATTATAATTTTATTGTCATTGCAAACTGACTACCATGACAAAATAAGTCTGTCCCTCCATTTGGCGTCACGACCATTTGGGAAAAATTTTCAACTTTGGAGCACGACAGTGGCAAGCCTGGCGTCAATTGTGTCAGTTCGTTTTAGAGACTAGTTCGGGGTGTACGTCAAGTTTTTTGTGCCAGTCGTTTTGTGTTGAAAGAAGTAGTTACAAGATTAATAAAGGTAAGTTTGTGTTTTTTGTAATTTTGGTGTGTCCATGACCGTACGTAGCCATTTGATGAAGTAGACGTGGTGTTAATTTTTGTTGATATGATATTTCAATTGCTACATTAACCTAGAAATCCACTTTGTATCCTCGAACATGAGGTGCAGGGCTACCGCTAGAACAGAGCCAAATAACACGTAATGTCACAACCAAAGTTTCACGACCACCGCGGATTTTTTCACGACCAATCCAGCCTTATGGATTATACTGTGTTTGGTCGTGACAATAACTTAAATATTATTCTTAATTGAACAGTTTAGTTCAATTGAAACACATATTTTTATTATAACTAACAATATAATTGAAGGATTGTTTAGAAATATTTATATTATTCCAGACAATTCACGACCATACCACTTGTCCCTGACCATCGCGTTTATGATTTCTATCATACAAATTTCAAAAATTAAAATATCATCATATTTCAATGTTATATACACAAAAGAAGCACACCTCTATAAAAACATTACGATTTTTCGGGACTCAGGTAAGTTTTTTCTGAGTTATACAAACTTAAAAAGATTTTATTGTTTTTTTCAATTTTTTGAGTTTTTTTATTTTTTTCTAGAAAGACCAAATATACCAACAGCTTAGTGAGCTGTTTATTGTATAATGGCCATAAAAGTAAATTAATTTATAGCAAATCATAGTTTTAAAAATAATATTAACTATTTTTAATATTCAGTTTTATGTCCGTGATGGTCGTGACAAAATTTTGTGTCTTTCCATCAAAGATGCTCTATAAAAAAAATCACCAAAGATATTGCGTTACCATGGACATTTTATGAAACTTCAAATGTCAATGAAATAAGAAAAATAAAAAAAGTTTCACAAAAAGGAACAACAAGTTTTAAAAGTGCTTTTCCTAAAAACGTATGTTTTTAAATTTTCACTCTAATCTTATTCCTTATCAAGAAATTGTGAAAATTCATTAGCATGCAGGCAGGCAGATCCAGTGTAAAAGAGTTCCTTATCTGTTATCAGGCTCATGTAAGGATACCTATATGCATGTCCTTCTAGTGTCTGTGCTGTAGTTTGAACAAGTTGGTCCTTCCCCCAGTACTTCTCAATTCATACAGCCCAGACAGGACAGGAGGTCCTGATGAGTGCCAGTAACTCCTGGCATAAAAGAAGTAATATATTGCATGGCAGAACGACAGTAAAGGTAAAACCTTTTTTCACTGTTGCATCTTCATTCTTTATATCAATTCCTCTTGATAGTATAAACATTTTAATTACAATAGATTTCTTCCATAAAAAAACTATTAATATGTTGTTGAAATGAAATAAATTTGATTATATTCTTATTATGGTTCTTTTATAAAATTTGACCAAATTGAACAACTTGATTCTTAAAATACAAACATTTATGGAAGATTTTATGAACCTTGAAGAGGCATATCTCTCAATGTGTTAGGCCTATAATCACCATTTTGGTCTTAAATTGTGAGTAATTTAATGCAGTTTCAAAGTAATTATAGTTGTTTCAATGAAAAATAACGATAAAGTTATGCTTTAGGGTTAACGTTAGCCAAACTTTAAAAAAATTCAAAATTTGGTAATTTTACCCGTTGTTTGCGGAGTCATATCTTGAAAACTATTAGGCCTGTAATAACCATTTTGGTCTTATATGGTAGGTAATTTAATATACCTTAAAAATGGTTATGGTTGTTTTTTATGAAAAAGTGATGCTTCAGGGTCAAAATTGGACAAACGTAAAAATAGTGCGAAATTCCACCGATTTTTAAGCTTTTTGGAGGTGATCCGGAAGGTCGCCGAGGTCGAAAATTTGGATTTAGCATCTCGGTACTATTACAAACAACATAAAAAAAAGAAACCTACTACCCCATTTCATGCAAGGTAAAATGCGTTAGGTTACTGGATTAATATATGATTGGTACATTTAAAATTTCATCAAAATTGGACCAAAGGTGTAGTCTGTAGATCTGTAGGCCTATGAGTCCACAAACACACACGCACACACATATACAAACACCCACAGAGAAATCACTTCAAAAAACTTTTTTTTAAGGGGACACTAAATGGATATTTTCATAAAAACTAAACTTGAAGATGTTGATATTAAGCTCTCCAAAACCACTTATCAAAGACCACTCCCACCCTACATTTTTCTCCTTCAATCCTCCTACCTTTCTCTGCTAAATTTCTTTTAGAGAACTTTTCTGTATCAATTATAGGGGAACAAAGTAGAAATAAAATTAGATAAGATTTTTACAAAGGCAACATACGAGGCGGGTGTGTATTTTAAGGTGACAAATAGTGAATCACAGGCTGTGTTGAATGAATGAGACGATCAGTGATGGCTTTGTTACTTATTAAGTTCATTTGGTTCTTTGGTCAAGGTAATTTATTAAGAGCTATGAATGGATATCAACTGTAGTAAACTCAGTATCAGTTATCAGATAATCCTTATTGTTTTACACTGGAGTGTGAGACTTTTAAAAACAATTTGAAATTATAACTACAGTGAATTTATCATTATCTGGTATACGTGAACTCATCTAAACCATTCAAGTAAGCCTGCTATTCTCAAAAAATATTGTAGAAACCTAGCTGCTTGTGCTCATGTTACATACTTCAATATTTATTAATTGTAAGTTATCCAACGGTTGTTTGTTGTAAGTAATGGCCGGTGGTTTATGAAGGCCTGTTCCAGCGAGTGATCGTTCAAAGTGGCTCCGCCTTGTGCGACTGGGCAGTAGACTTCAGTCCTGTGGAACATGCAGAGACCATCTCTAGGATGTCCAGGTGTGACCGGAAAACTCACCAGGAGATGGTGGAATGTCTGAGGAACCAGTCTGTCTACCAGCTGCTCATGGCTCATTCTGACTTTCTGGTCAGTTTTAGATTGAATTGCGTTCTTACATTTGTTTCAGATTAGTGTTTAAAGTGTCAACACATCCAACTTGCATCATAAAACCTTTGGTTGTTGTTTACCAATCTTGTTGCTGACAAAGATGCAGTTTCCTGCCGTTTTGCAATCCATTTTGCTTTTGAAAGACTTTTTCTCACATAAGCATATTTTGTTTCCAAAATAGTCAGCCGAGACTAAATTAGGATTGATGACGTAAAGTACATAAACCGATTTTACACGGCAAAAAATCAATACTGGAGGCAGAGGTGCCCATACCCTCATGGTCAGGGGCACAAAGCCCCCTCCCTCCATTTCATACTGCCCCTTGCTTTAACCCCCACAGAAAAAAAAAAGAAAAAAAAAAAAACGGCTTCCCGTCCCCTTCTCACATCAAAACCAACATTCATTTAAGGGATTTTCTAAAGTCAAAAAACCCCAAAACACCAGGTAACTGTCATTACAGAATTTTTATTAGGAATATTCATTTTCCAATTAAAAATTTTAAGGATGATAAAATAAGATGATTGATAGTTAGGTAATTTTGAAATGATGTAATGACCATGTTCATTTTAGAACATTTGGGCGATCTCTTAACCCAACCCAAAAAAAAAAATTAGCCTCAATGGACAAACGCTAGACCAGATAGCTGCTACAGGAATGAAGAAAATAGAACTATTTTCCTCCCAACGCCCTCTTCGAAAATGCAGGTTAAAGCAAGGTTTAACCCCCACAGAAAAAAAAAAAACGGCTTCCCGTCCCCTTCTCACATCAAAACCAACATTCATTTAAGGGATTTTCTAAAGTCAAAAAACCCCAAAACACCAGGTAACTGTCATTACAGAATTTTTATTAGGAATATTCATTTTCCAAAACAAAAATTTTAAGGATGATAAAATAAGATGATTGATAGTTAGGTAGTTTTGAAATGATGTAATGACCATGCCATTTTAGAACATTTGGGCGGCCTTTTAACCCAACACAAAAAAATTTATTAGCCTCAATGGACAAACGCTAGACCAGATAGCTGCTACAGGAATGAAGAAAATAGAACTATTTTCCTCCCAACGCCCTCTTCAAAAATGCAGGTTAAAGCAAGGTTTAACCCCCACAGAAAAAAAAGAAAAAAAAAGAAAAAAAACGGGTTCCTCGTCCCCTTCTCACATCAAAACCAACATTCATTTAAGGGATTTTCTAAAGTCAAAAAACCCCAAAACACCAGGTAACTGTCATTACAGAATTTTTATTAGGAATATTCATTTTCCAATTAAAAATTTTAAGGATGATAAAATAAGATGATTGATAGTTAGGTAATTTTGAAATGATGTAATGACCATGTTCATTTTAGAACATTTGGGCGATCTCTTAACCCAACCCAAAAAAAAAAAATTAGCCTCAATGGACAAACGCTAGACCAGATAGCTGCTACAGGAATGAAGAAAATAGAACTATTTTCCTCCCAACGCCCTCTTCGAAAATGCAGGTTAAAGCAAGGTTTAACCCCCACAGAAAAAAAAAAAAACGGCTTCCCGTCCCCTTCTCACATCAAAACCAACATTCATTTAAGGGATTTTCTAAAGTCAAAAAACCCCAAAACACCAGGTAACTGTCATTACAGAATTTTTATTAGGAATATTCATTTTCCAAAACAAAAATTTTAAGGATGATAAAATAAGATGATTGATAGTTAGGTAGTTTTGAAATGATGTAATGACCATGTTCATTTTAGAACATTTGGGCGGTCTCTTAACCCAACCCAAAAAAAAATAATTAGCCTCAATGGACAAACGCTAGACCAGATAGCTGCTACAGGAATGAAGAAAATAGAACTATTTTCCTCCCAACGCCCTCTTCAAAAATGCAGGTTAAAGCAAGGTTTAACCCCCACAGAAAAAACAAGAAAAAAAACGGCTTCCTGTCCCCTTCTCACATCAAAACCAACATTCATTTAAGGGATTTTCTAAAGTCAAAAAACCCCAAAACACCAGGTAACTGTCATTACAGAATTTTTATGAGGAATATCCATTTTCCAAAACAAAAATTTTAAGGATGATAAAATAAGATGATTGATAGTTAGGTAGTTTTGAAATGATGTAATGACCATGCCATTTTAGAACATTTGGGCGGTCTCTTAACCCAACCCAAAAAAAATTAATTAGCCTCAATGGACAAACGCTAGACCAGATAGCTGCTACAGGAATGAAGAAAATAGAACTATTTTCCTCCCAACGCCCTCTTCAAAAATGCAGTTTTTTGTCTGTCTGCATCATGAAGTCGTCATGGCAATAATCTGTGACCGTGGCAATGTCTTGTCATTTCCCGCGGTTGCAAAGAAATCATCACATCCTCTCGTGATCGTGGCAATATCACTTGACATCCCTTCACAGTTGCGAAGGTATCACCATCATCTCTCGGAATTACGGCAATATTTTGATATCCCTTTGTGGTCGCAGAGACATCACTACCTATCGTCTCTCGTGTTGGCGGAAATATCTTAATATCCCACCGCAGTGGTAGTTTGCAGTATTTATTTACCCTTTGAATGCTATTGCATTTTCAATTTACAGAGCCCCTTATACAAATAATTATATAATTTTCATAAAAATAGTTACTTTTTACTAAGTTGTAATATTATTCCGTACTAATTAAAACCACAGCAGATTTTGGGTTTAATGGTATGTATAATTTTAATTAAAATTTTTGCTCTCCAACTAGAATTACTCAAAATACAGTCACAAATTGTATTGATAGCATTTTATTTAGTGATTTTCTAGAATAGGTATCCAAAATTAAACATCTAAAATGTATATTTAATTAGGTGTTTCAGACCATAGGTGTGGTTATAGGTCTTTCAAATATCAGCTACATAAAAAAAGTAGAAAATCAGAAGATATTATATAAAATACCCTCGCCGCATTTTCCAGTAAGTTGCCCAAGAATAAAATTAGGTGCTGGATGAAGGTAACGTGAAAAAGAGAATTAAGTGTACTTGCTAAGACTAATAAGGATGCAAATTTTCAAAAGTATTACAAAAATTACAGAAAAATATTTAAAACTTATTTTGATAGAGCCCAGAAAATGTTTAGCTGTAAGGTAAAAACCACATCTAAAAAACAAGGAGCCAAGCAGTGTGGACTGTTGTCAATCTGAACTGTGTCTTGAGGTCTAAAGATATGGACTTCCCTGAGTTGTGTGTCAGAGATAAGCTGATAACTCATGGTCAGGCTATTTCTAACTTTCTCAACGAAAAGTTTGCAAACACTTCCAAGGACATTAATTAACTGTTTGAAAACTGCATCCGAGCAATGAATACAAACCCTTAGGTTTTGTATTAATTGATAAAAGTTAGTGATACATTTTATGATATTAATCAAAGAATAAAGTTTAAATTCAGACATGTATTTGTATCAGAAATAAGACTACCTACCTTAAAAAGTTAAAGGATAAATAATCAGTAGGTTGAGATGGAATTTTAGATTAAATAATAACAAATGTAATAAACTTTATAGATAAGCCACTTTTGTTTGATTTCAAATAAATGTTTTGATAGAGGGATTTTTCCATATGCATATAAAAAAAATGCTAAACTGAAACCACTTTTCAAAAAAAAGTTCTATAGATAACCCAGAAACCTATCGTAAAATTATCTTTATCAAAAGTTTTGGGAAAAAGTAGCGTATGAACAAAAAACAATACTCTGTTTACAGACAATCAATTTGGACATCACTCCAAGGTCGCAAAGACAGCACCATCGTCTCTCGACAATATGTAAAATGAAAACCCCCTATAATCTCCTACAAACTTCCCCCTCCCCCAAAACAAATCCCCGTGGCGCAAGAGCATCAACCTCCCTTCTGTGCACCCCTAACTAGAGGAAATGAAAAATAAAGTAGGGTCACAAGAAACTGGATAAATCAGTAACTCCGAGTTGAGATTTTATTTTTTAAAGTTGCATTGAAAATCTAATAAACCGGATTTAAACAATTGATGTGGTATCCCAATAGGTACCTATAGGCTTACTGTATGATTGTATTTTAGACTCAGGGGTTGATGACAAGTTTTACAAAAGCTAGTCTAAGTAAAGAGCTGGGTCTATGTACTTTGTTTGTTATACGTCAAAACAGAGATCGATAATCTTTCAACAAAGTTATCTCTGGATTTTCATTTTTATTAGCGAATTTCTCATATAGGGAATAAGCTATTACCGTAGTACTCATGGTAAGACCTGGACCCGGGACCGATTTACTTTTTCGTTTTGAGGTCCCTAGAGACCAAAAACACCATCCGTTCAAATTCATATATATGTGTCCGTTAGCGCAATAACTCGAGCAAAAATCATCCGATTTTGAAGAAATTTGGTACAAACGTGTAAACCTACGTTTATTCGAACGAGTTTGCGAACCAGCATGATCGGACTATGGGAATAGGGGTTTATGGGGGGTTTTATAGGGCAAAAATTGGTTTTTCCCAAATTTGACCCTAAAAACTTAAAATTTAGCATTTTCTTTCCAAACCATTTTGTTGAGCTTAAAAAAACAAACAATTTAGTATATTGAAGCGTTATTATGCGCCTAATGGTTACGGAGAAAATTCCCAAAAACTGTAAATTTAAGATTCCCATGTTATTCTTATGGAGGATAAGTAAACTGTTGTAGTTTGCTTCTTTATGATCATATTTTGATCAAATTTGGATAATGCATTCATTTCATACTAAACTATTAACATTTTACAAAAAAAAACACCCTTTTACCCTCCCTGTTGCAGCAAACCTAAGTACTCGCTAAACAAATGTTATTTAAATAGGGAATAAATGTGATATTTTTAAGGAGACATTTTAGTGTAAATCCAATCAGGCAAATGGAAATTCGCTTAGTCTGCAGGTTTGCTGCGGTGGGGGTATATTCCAGTCACAGCACAAAAATAAAAAGACTGCACCATCATGTAAACCTTATGTTGAATCTCCTCTATAAACTTATCTTAGCTTTGTAGTAAATGCGTTGTTTATATTTTAAAAATCAAGACAATTTTACAAAATATTAAACTTTCTGTTAGACAGAGGTTCTGATCAACGAAGGCAGAGCAGTGAGGGGAAACAACGGGGGAAACCACGCAGTGGTGGAAAAACCGGGGAAAACCAGTTTCTTGGTGGAAGATCCAAGAGTCAGTTTCCAAGATGGCCGCTTTGTCAAGGTGCCAATGATGGTCGGTGTGACAAAACATGAGGGCAGCTTTTTCCTTGGAAGTGAGTTTATAATCTAGATTAGATTAGATTTTATATAAACCCAACACAGCAAAGTTATAAGAACAGCTTTGTTGACTGACTAAGACCAGCTGGTTCCATTTACAGGACCATTCCATCCCAATGATCAACAGCTGGGTTCAATTTTTAATGCAAAAAAGATCATTATACTCAGGATCAATCTGGGGACATTATTACCAGACAAGCACTATAATATCCAGTCAGCTTGGTATCCTTATTTGGCATAACGTATACTACAGAAACTATTTGTGTTGAAATAACTACTGAAATATATTAGCCAAAGACCAAATTAAAAACAAAGTTTATTTGCTAAAAGAATTCAAGAAAATGCACATAGCACAGAAAATTGTAATTTACTTTTTAAGAAAAAGTATAATTTTGAATAAAATTTATGAATACTTAAAAACTCCTGTTATTAGACCAAAGGTCTTGTTTCAGATATACATGACTTCATCCTGGAAAGGAACAATGCAACAAATAACACAGATTATCTCATTAACGACTTCTTGAAAGCAACTCTTCAGTTTAGTGGTAAGTGAGTAAAAGCTAAAAATGTTTGAAAGCAGTCAGACTAGAATAATAAAGTTTAAATTAGCAATATCTCACACATACATACTGCTTGTTCGTACAGTATCGACGTTTTGGTCACTATATTAATCTTGTAAGTTATACCGTATGTAAATACAAAATATTGAAAGTACAAAATGTTTTGATACCTGAATCTAGTGAAATAACCAACCATTGACTAAACATAGCTGAACTTAATATATTTTCTTGGCTTCCAATTTTTACATTACAGTACTTGGGAAGTCTAGTACCTATGAAATAACCAACTTTAAAGGTACAAAGTTTCTCAAAATGTAAGTTTACACCAACAAATTGAATTTTTCCACATTTCAATAGAATTGCAGATCAAGTATAGCTACATGATTGGCTCTATCTGCACTGTATACGATACTGAAGCGAGGCAAGTCTGTTTTCTAGATACATTTTCCTAAAACTTAAATTTTTTTATAGGGATCGACGACACCACTGGAGCAATCACTGACGTTTTCTTAGACAAGTACTTCAAGATAGAAGAGATAGGGAACTTTACAGCGATGGTTCCAGGCTTAGTTGATGTAAGTGTAGAACACTTTTCATAATGTTTAACCTAAATATCCAACTGAGCATCAATCAGGTAAGTAGATTCATGTTTGTGTACCATCAAAGAAAATATCCAACCAGTGTTAGCTGTTAAAAAGAGCACTGTTAAAGAACAAAATTAAATAGTTCATGTTCTTTTATTTCTGCTTTCAGAAGTTTAAATATTACTGGCTATTGATGGTCATCTTTACAGTAATAACGGAGCTCAATTATCTACTTAATGCCAAAAAAAATAAGACAACGAACCAACAAAAGCTACATTGACAGGTTAAAAAACTAGTAACCATCTGCAATAATCCTAATTAAAAATACAATATTATTCAGAAATATACAAATAAACGTCTTTTAATCTAAATACAGTACCTTAATTCTAGTTGTATATGTTCCTTAGTTACTAAATTTGAAATAGTCGAATAGTCAGAAATATTATCTACTCATACAGTATAGTTTGAATTGAATAACAAATTGAATACTGACTGGAAGTTTGTCTAATCTTGTTTCAGATCTGCGGAGTGACTCTATTGAAAGCTTGCACTCTACAGCAAGCTCGACGCAACGCTCATCTGGAACCAACCTTCCTCTATACCTTCAACTACAAGGGACAGTACACCAAGTTCGGCCAGGGAGAAGAGGCCCATCACTACCCCTTTCCAGGAGGTACACTACTTGGTTGTGGATGCGTTTGTAGAACATTTATACGGTTAAATTTCAGTTGGGCCCAGTCGCATTCCAACAAAAAACTTCATAATTTTCTACTGATTGAACCATTAAGCCCTGATTTTATAGGTGTTTTTGATACACTGTGGGCATTTTTGTAACTTGAACTCCATATTCCAAAATACTACAGATTTGTTTACTGTTGTTATGGCAAGTAGCCACAAAAACGTGTTAGCTCCCTGAGAATTACCAGTTTCATTTCATACAAATTTTGGTTTATGTTCACTGTGCAGCCTGTGTTTGCGTCTTAAAACTTGAGAGTGGCCATCCTTGCGTGTATCTTTTCTATGTTTTTTTTTATGTTAACATCATGTGTGCTTATTGATTGAATGTGTCTATAAATTTGATTTTAAATTTGACAATGGGTTCTATGAATAGAAACAAGCCTAATCTTTAGAATAAAATGCATAAAACTAAGGACATAAAAAGGCACGTAATCTATCATATACTAGCATTATCAATCTTGGTGGCAAGAATCATTGTTTTATAAGACAGCAGTTTTTGTAAATGAATGTTCACGATGTTAGTATTTATGCTTTATGTTCTAAATGGTACTTGATAGTTAATTTCAAAATATCACCTGTCTCTATAGGTGTGGCTCACTCAAACGATCTACTCTATTTATTCCCCAACACTGACGGAAACCTGACTGGAACTGACAGAAAAGTGGCCCAGACGATCGTACAACTGTGGACTAGCTTTGCTGCAGATGGGTAATGTATTTAATATAATTTAGATATTTAATCCATGTCAAGTGTTTGTTTCTTATTTATACAAGGTGATTTATTTATACTTATATTTTGTGTGTACCCAGGGGTGTCATTTGGGGGGCTAGAGAAAAAAATATGCTGTACTAGCCAATATACAAATATTTTCTCCTGTCAAATCCTAAAAAGCACAGCAGACAACAATCTGTATATTCTTGTACCGTACAGTAATTTGAAACAAAAATTATTATTGTTGTATTGTCTTAGATAGCAAGTTTTGAGTTTACATAAATTAGTAGTTTTGTTATTCATTTACTTTTTCTGTTTGGTGCTGTACGATAATCCACTTACTTCTAGTTTATATATATACCCTACATAAAAATTCAGATTTTTTAGAAGCATTGCTTTGTCATTTACTTTTATGAATTATTCAAGCATTAAAATTATACATGTCTATAAATTTTACGTAATTTATTTTGAACATTGTAGACTACCAATTTATTATAGTTAAATAGAACCTTTTGTACTTTTGTGTCAAATTATTTTATTGGTGATAAAATTTGATTTGCTTTTAAGTTCTTGAATACTTGTATTTTATTTAAAAACCAAAATAAACTGTTATAAACTATATGCTATGAACAACTGTATTCATTGCTAAATGCTGTACAAGAGAAATTAGTCATGAATCTAATAACAAACATAATATTAATACATCATGGAACTATTGATCACATTTCTTAGATGACTAACTTACCAACATAAAATTATTGTGTTTTTGTCTGTTGTCAATAATTCTTAGTTTCATTAACTTTCTGCCTAAATTTAAATAAATTTTACTAATAATTTTTTTTTATTTGAAGTGCTTTTGACAATTAAAATAAGCTTAAAGCCCTCTTTTTTTGTTTCAAAACTGCTACATTTTCCGGGGGGGACCCCCAGAACCCCCTTGTTTGCTGGGGGGTATTCCATAACCCCCATGCCCCCGGTGTTTGCCCCCCCCCCCTAGGATTTGGTGAAATGATGCCACTGTGTGTACCAACAATATTTAGGTTTTTTCCAGATTGCTTTAAGTGAACAGTCCAAACCCTGGTCTTGTAACTATCTTATACGGTTGACCTTTCTTTAGATATATATCATCATTTGATAAACTAATGACAAATTACATTTGGTTCCACAACTGGCCCCCCCAGGCATGGATGTCCATCTGACTTTAGTATAGGGGCGCTGGGGAATGGGCTACGGAATAAACCCCAGTAAAAAGGGTGGTCTTTACTCCAGAAAAATAATTAAATTTAGATCAAAATGTTTTAATTGACATGTTATTAAAAAATTTGCTTTGTCAGCTTATGTTGCTTTAAATTAAAAATTTTACAGCTTACTACTGTGGCTACTGGCATAGTGTGAATTGTTTAACTTTCGGTTATTTCGGTCAGAACTTCTAGACAGAATTCACTGATTTTTCCAGGTTTACCGGCAGAAACCCTGACTTTTTGACTGTGATTCCTATTCTCCAAGTGTACCTTATACTATGAATCTGAGGGTACTCCATATTTTTGGGTCAGGTCGGACGAACGGTTGGGACGAGGGATCTATACGGACAGAAAATGTTTATCTGACCAAGCTTGGATCGAGTCGAGCCAAATCGAGTGTGAATTTCTGCGACCGCGGAGGGCGTTGAAAATTATGTGTGACGATTAAACCGCGATCGTGGGAGACGATGATGTCCAAGATTTTTTTACCTCCAAAGATGTGGATGATTTTGCCAAGACCACAGATGATGTTCTCGATTTGCCGTTACTGTGGAAGACTTTCATGATTTCGCCATGACTGCAGAAGATTTTTACGATTTCACCATGATCGCAGACAATGTTCTCGATTTGTAGAATATGTTCTTGATTTTAACGTAACCGAAAAAGACATTTATGGCTTTGCCAAGATAGTGGAAGATGTTTAGGGCTTTGTCGAGATCGCAATACGTATTTATGGCTTCACTGAGATTGCGGATCATGTTCATGATTTCACTGTGATGATGGAAGATGTTCTCGATCTTGTCATGGTCGCGGAATATGTTCTTAGTTTTGCCGTGACCTCGGAAGGTGTTGATGATTTCGCTATGACCACAGATGACGTTCGCAGACTTAAACTGGTTTTCCCAGTTCAGTTCAAAATTCCTGCATAGTTCCTGATTTAATAAATTTACGCAAACCTCCCAGGATTATCAGTCTGTATGGTCAGCCTGGTAAGTTCTCAAAGGGGGGGCTCGAGCCCATTCTGGCCCATATGGATGGACGCCTATGCCGCCCGGGACTAAACCAGAAACATTTACATTTTATTTAAGCACTAAACACACTTCTACCAAGAATATTGTATTTTAATTAGCTAAAACAAGTAACTTTGGTAGTAAAGAATATCTACACAAAGTTTACTTCATTTCAGTGTTTCACTCTCATTGAAAACTAACTCAAATCAATATTACTGCTGAGCTGTCGTGCTGGTGCTACATACAGAATAAAATACTACCGAATTCCACACCAAGATAAAAATTAGAGAAATTGGAGTAATTGGAATAAACAGTGTTTATTTATAAAATTACAGTGATTTTAAGGGTAAAGTATGATTATTTAGTGCCCCACTAATTAATTTAGTTCCAAATATTATTGTGTTTCCGTGTTAATTGATAATTACAATACTATTGTCTTTGAATTATATTAAGTTAGACATCCCATCTCCACCAGCCACAGGCAGTTCTTTAATCGAAGAAAACATAGTTTAATGGGCCTCTGCAAGTGAACTGTTGAGAAAATACCTGTACTGTAATTATTTTCACCACGTTAACTCCTTTTAACTCTAATATCTTCTAAATTATGCACTTTGGATAAATTGTGTGTTTATGAGAGGTAAGTAAAATTGTATATGCAAATGTAGCGGTACAAGTTTTGAATATGTTCTCAAAACTACAAACTTATTAAATTTGTTCACAGATATCCAAAATCATCACACATGAGGGGATCGTGGCTTCCTATGACCACTTCGGTCGGACCTTACCTCAGAATTGACGATGATCCGTCTCTAAGGGAGAACTTCTACGTAGAATACAACATAGCTGCAACCGAAGGGTTGGACGTGTACATGCAAGAACTATCTAGAGCTTCCACATTGAACTTTGTTCACATAAATATATTTGTAGTAATATTGATTAATGTTACTTGTAGATAAACTGTTAGGTTCAATAAATCCGTTGTGACAGGGTTATGAAAACTGTACTTAAAAGGTGATAGAAAAGCTTTTTCAGAGTTTAAAGAGGCCTAAGATGGCAATATGATGGAGTTCAGGACCTGCTGTATAATATATATTTTTGGCATTTATGCTGATTCCCATCCTTGAATCCAAAGCTTTAAAATTCTACTTATACCTAGATTTAAATTCTAGATTTTAAATTCTACTTTACCTAGAGGTGAAAAAGTTATTGGAAAGTTTGTTGACTAACTTTAAACTTACTAGGCCTGATATCAACATCTACATGAATTTTAACTTAATGTTTACTGTAGTAGTCACACAAGATATTCATCAGAAAAGTACAAACTAGCTTACAGTTGTTTTTAAGCATTTCATACATGGAATAGAAAATGACTACTTAGCAATGTAAATTGGGATGGCAGCAATGGACATTCCAAACTACAAAATGAAGGTTTTTGATTTCCAAATATATTTTCTTACTGTAATATCCTTCTAAAGACCTTTTTACTTTCAGATAGAGGGTAAGCCTCACATATTATACTGTCATATATTAGGCAATGTATATACACACATCTGAGTCGTTTGTAAAAAAAAATTGTAAAACAAGCCCTTGAATTTGAGGACCATTTAAAGAGAAATGGCTTAGAATTCAGACTTTTCAAATATTTCTTATTCTTATAAATTTCATCTAAGTATACAATAATATGTTTATATCTATGTAATTTACTGTAGGCGTATACATTTAAATTTGAATGGTACGGCAGGGAATAATAGAAAAATGAAGGGCTGTTAGTTAAACATACCTACCTATGATTTAGTGTTCTTAGTAGATTATTTTCTAATGACATACTATAGTTCGGCCGCTTAGAAAACGACCTGCACGCTAATGCTAAACTAATGCTGGGGGAGGTCGCTTTCTAAGTGGCCGAACTATAGTACTCTTATTTTTGCATTGAAACCACAAGCAAGTTCTAGTTTTACTGGACAAGAATAACCAATGATAAGTAAGATTAATGTGTATTAGTAATACAAACTAAATTTAAACTATAAATAGATGATATGTTTTATATCCAAATTTAGCTTTAGGTAGTAGATATGTATTTACTTTAATTCAGTTTGTAGTTTTGCTTTTAGTAGTAGGATGTTTATTTTTTTAATTTTAAACCTACAGTATTTACATATTTGTAAATAAATACTTGTTTTTGGAAAATGGTATTTTGATCTTTACCTTAATCATAAATGGTATTTAAATACATTATTTAACTTCATACCCTGGAACTCTAAGCAAAATAAATGCCGAGGATGTAGTTGGGTCGCATGACCGAAAGTTCTCGGAACGGTTGCTGTCGGACTGCACAGTATTTTACTGTTTTCACCATAAGCTCAGCTTTATACTTAATCAGATAAAAACAAGACTAGTAAATTGGGCCGTCATATTAGGAGAAATTGGTGCAAGATTAATGACTAGGCACTGTGTATTCCAAGTACTGTAGGCTATTCAGCCTCTTGACTCGCTACTGTCTCAGCTCTACCATGTGCATATGAAGTGCTGCTAGCCTTGGAAGTAATAAAACATACTCTCTACGACACACTATAACCTCGCCGCTCCCCTAGGTTGAAGATGGTAAAAAAAAAGTTGTTAAAGTTGGTAAAAGCCAAGAGTTGCTTTCCAATGATATATTGTAGCTCCAATGTCTTTGTAAATGTAATGTATAAAATTATGAGACTTGGCTTTTAGAAAAGATTCCCATCCTCATTAAACACTAGATCCAACTCTCTACTTGAACTTTCGTACCATAAGTAAATGTGCCAGTTAAGATTAAGGTAGGAAATTCGGGTCGCCGGAATTTTATCCCCCTGGAATTTTACCCCCTGGGCAAAGCTGACGTCACTATGACGTAGTAACCTGAGAGGCCAAAAGTTTGTTCGCGGCCGGAATTTTACCCCCGCGGATTTGGAAGTCTAATGAAAATAGTCAGAGCGTGATTAATTAGATTAGCGATGAAAACCGGAATTTTACCCCCTGTCCATATAACTAGCGCTTAGACAACTGAAGATGTACGGGCCGGATTTTTACCCCCGGAATTTTACCCCCTGGCCGATTTTAGAAATTGAATGATTGATTTTCTTATTTCTGTTTTTAATTAATTGTAAACATTTCATTATTTAGTAGCCTATCTTTATTTATTTTGTAATCTCAACTAAGTAAACAGAATTCGCTGTTTTATTTTGATCATATTACCCAACAGTTGGCTTCAAAGATCGAACCCTGATACTCGAATCTCAAAATTAAAATTAAAAAGCTGTTCGATTAGTTAATGATACAAATAAATTAAGATAGGCCACTTAATAATAAAATGTTTTAACTATTAAATTGAAACTGAATGAAGATAATTAATCATTCTCACTAATTTATATATCTGGCAAGGGGGTAAAATTCCGGGGGTAAAAATCCGGGGGGTAAAATTCCGGGGGTAAAAATCCGGGCCATACATTCTAGGTTTTTATAATTTGATGTGTTCTGATTAAATTCACAACCGTGAAAATATATGTTTAATTCCGCGTTTAATCCATCGAGCTGATGTCGAGAAACTCAAAAGTTTGCGGTCGGAATTTTACCCCCTGGTTTGTTACGTCACGTTTGCCCAGGGGGTAAAATTCCAGGGGGATAAAAATCCGCTACCCCGGAAATTCTGCCTACTCTATGTATGTGGCTAATGGGACTTTCTAATGCTTGTTAGGCTGCGTTTAAATTGGAGGCACGCTCGGGCAATTAAAATGGTGACGCACGCTTGGCCAAGCTTGCCCTTTGAAACAAAATTGTAACAGATTACTGAAAACCTGCGGCGTCTTGTAAAGTCGTGATTACGATGCTCACCACCAGCAAAGTGCACGCAGGGACAAGCTTGCGCCTCTCAAATCACCAAAGAAAATTTGTTTTTTTAAGCGTGCCTCAGTTTTTGTGGTTCACTGACAAAGTAGCATCTGGTTACATCTGAAACCTGTTGTTCTTTTTTATTTAAATGTTGTTATATGTTTTTAAATTGTTCAACATGGATACTGAGGCCTGGATTGATGCAGTTCTGCTTTTATAAATGTTTTATAGTTACTGCACTATCTTTATTTATACGCTATTTGCAAATGGATTTTAACTTGTCAACCAAAATAATATCTAGGTTATATTGAATTGATTTTCCTGCCAGAATAGACCTAATAATAATCCTAGTAATAGTCCTATGATAAAAAAACTAAGCTCCTCTAGGCTTATTAAAATTATACTCTTTTAGTTAGTAGGCCTATAGTTATGATGTAGGCCTATAAAATAATTATACCAACATTACATCGACTCCTACAGTTTCCCGTTCCCCTTTAGCTCTTTCGGATATGTAAGTTTAACTCCATTTTCAAGCACAATGTCCTCATCATCTGATATCTCCACTTTGACTGATCCGTGATGTAGGCCTACTGCGTTTAGTGGTGGGGGGAGCGACCACTTGTTCTTGGTTGCTCTGCTCTAGTATAACCACAACATCAGCAACGACACGCTTCCGCAAGCATGAGCCACCATTTAACTTGCCCTTTAAGCGTGCCTACAATGTAAGCGCAGCCGTAAATACAAAATAGGCCTGCCCACAATGGCAGTATGGAGTCATCAAATAAAAAAATTACTATAGGCTATATAAAAGACTATAGACTACATGAATTATTAAGTTTTTAGTCTTGGTTTTTATATTGCATTTACATTCCATGTATCTTTTTGTTTAAAGTCTCTTTTATTAAATCCTTAGGCTATTTAGTTATTTTTAACGTAGGCTACAATTTTTTAGTTTATATAACTTAAAGACAAGTTAAGTCAAAGGCACCAAATGCTGATTATAGATGAGACCAGATGTATTTTATTTTATTTCAAAAGGCGCATCCGTACATGCTGCATTCACCAAGCACCGAAGCAGCTTTTTAAACGACTAGTGTCGATGGGTATCTGTCTACTCGTAATTTGACAAACAGCAGTGCTTGTCGTTTCCTGCTTCATGTCAGTCTTTTCCGTACACCATAGAAACAAACAGACTGATCGGAGAGTGAAAACGTACTCAATTTAGTCACTCACTTGTTGGTAAACGGTGCTTGGATAATGCTGCATACTTTGCGGCCCTGCCTCAAACATTTCTCATATTTTTTATTTAGCTATGCTTAATAGTTTTAACTAAGATTGACTTAAGGCAATAATAATAACATAATTTTTACATATCAATTTATTCTAAGTAAATAAACAACAAATTGCCAAACACTCTCCAGGCAAGGCCAACGAACAAATAAGAAGAATATGGTAACACCTTAACTCAATGTTCTGTCAACTAAAATAAAAATTATAAACAATGATCAAAAAATAAGTATATATGTCTTAAACTGCAAAATGACCACACTAGTCTATATAGGCCTTAAAACACTCAAAACAAACATTTACTATTAACTTATGGAGTTGCCAAATATTGAAAAAAATGTTTAACTTATTTTTTTTTTGTGGATTACTACCTATGTACAAAAATCCTTTGATTATAATTACAATTTCATTCAAATAACAAAAAAAATAATGTAAAAAAACATATCATTAGGTAAGTTACAAGTCTTCGTCTTACTAACATTAATGAAATGTGTACTTTACAATTATTTTACCTGTGTCGGTACCAGTAAGCATTGTACTGCACTGTAACCACTCAATCTAGGCTATTGCAAATTATTTGTTGGCCACAACGTAAAATTTAAACCAGAGTTGAAATGAACATCAAACATAATTTAAGCTAGTGAATCTATTACTTGAGAGAAGGTTTCATAACTTACTTAGATTTGCGTTGAGTCATCGGTTACAGTAAAAAAATGATAATTCAACGGAAAACTGGGTCTCTGGTACAAGTTAAAATTTACATCGATCATAAACCACATTAGGCTTTGGTGTGCGGTAGTAAGTTAGGGCCTAATGCAAATTTGACAAGTGATTATTGTGTGATAGCACAGAAAACTAGGCTAGGGTCCTATAAGTTAGCTTCAACTTAAGAACTCAAAAAACATTATTGGCTAGGTACAAATTATTTACAAAGGAAAAAACTTCAAGTAAGATTAAAATGTCTATTGCGACTGAGAGTAACATGATGTAGCCTAACTTAAGTTTGGTCTATCGGTTCTAACACATGTTACCGCACTAGGGAAGTCATCAACCAGATTTAATGATGAATAATCTTGGTTATGACCACATTAATCTAGAACTAATTTACAATCAATATAAAAGAGTCCATATAGACACTTAGTGAATCAAAAAACTCTATTAAAAGTTCCAAGTCGGTTATAATATGAATAGGTACCCGTAGTAACAAAAAGAGTCTTTAAAATCAACATTTAGGCCTATATACAACACCTTGTGGATTTGTGGAAATTGTTTCAAATCTTTTGGATCTTTTGTCCGGTAACAACTGGATTTTTGCGGCGAATTTCTTGTACTCCAAGCTCACGGTAGTCAAATTTGCAATCATGTTTATCGGAATAGCGGTGTGCTGAACAATATAGACCACCACAACGACAGTCAAAGCCTGTAAGTCCTACCTTTTTACGGCACAGGGCACAACGGTTTTTCTTCTTCAATACTTCCGAGTCACTTTTGTTTTCATTACTTCCGCCAGCCTCTTCACTGCTGAGGGCCATTGAGGTGCCAGCTGTAGCACCTTCCTCGGTATCTTTGGAAATAGAAGAATCTATTGTAGATTTAGTAGGCGTCTTAGGGGTAGGCTCCTTGCCAGTGTCTGTTAAACTTGAGTTTGGAGCAGGAGATGGTGAGGATGATACATTTACATCTGGTGACTGCTGTTTCTTCTTCAATGAATCCTTAAAGCACTTGGAACACATTCCATCTGTAGCTGGGCTTCCAAAGAAACCACATCCCGATGAACATAATCGCATTGAATGGCTTTCACCCTCCATTCTTATGGGCCTTGTAAGTATGGTGTAAACTTATCTAATCTGTCAATATGGCCCTACTTCTTTGTGTAGGGTGAATCAATTGCGTAAAAATTTACAAGTTCTCTATCATAAAAACTGATTCATTGTTGTAAAAATTGAAGAAATGTGAAAAATATAAATTAAAATACAACAAAAATAATCTAAATCATAAACTAACCTGGCTGAAAAGAACTAGTCAAAGACAAAATGTCAGAGTCTACAATGGAATTTTCAGAGAAGCAGAAGAATAATAATGAGAACTTTGATTAGATGATTCAACCAACAACATTGCCAACCATACGGAAAGTGATGGTGGGGGGGAGGTATCTCCTCCGTGATATGTATATGATAATTATATGCATAATATTATGATATCCGTGATATAATAACGAATACTTTATAGCGTAGATAGAAAAAATCATGGTCTTCCACCATGTATAAAAATAAGACTATCGAGTGATTTTTTGGTGGCCATGCTACTTCCCAATAGGGAAATTCGCTAAAAATTAAAAAAAAAAAAACAATGACCACGTGAGAATGATGAAATGAGAATACTTTTTATACTTTTTAATTCTTTTCAATCAAAATGGCGACCATAAAAAGAAAACTAGTGTGGGGCCTTGCTAGGTGGCCGTGATGGAGATGAGTGTAGGATGAGTGGAGCGATCTTGTAGTCTTGTTAGTGACTAAGGCCATAGATAAAACATACTCCCTTAGTAGATTTCTCATCCTAATGGAACAGCTGAAGACAATTTTATTGTTAGTTCTGTACGGTTTATAATAGAGGTCGTGTTTTGTTTACAATTTGTTTCCCGTTAATACAGTCATTTAAAACCTCGTTTAACCAAATAATACGATCTAATCATAAACAATAAATTGTCCCCTAGTTATTTAACCAAACAGTAAAGCACAAATCAAGAAATTAACCCTAAAATAATATAAACAAAATTTCGTCGACACTAGCGCCCAGTGTGGCGTACATGAACCACACATGAAAAACGAGCTTCAAAATTTACAATGGGATGAGAAGTCTACTTGTGTTGGTTAGTCTATGCTAAGGCCAACATATTCCTTAGAAACAGCTGTTAATTATCATTTCGTGGTTCCAAGTACATTTAATTCCGAATAAATATAATTGTTATTGATCACATAAATACCCATATAGATTATAATATCTAGCTCTCACAATATTCCAAGCTTTATCTTAACTATGCCTTGGTAATTTTTCTACTATTTTCTGGAAACTTAGACTTATTTTGTTGCTGACATCCATGTTGTTTATGTGTTTAAAAAAATCAGATTATCTTCATCTACTTGGTATTGTTACAGATATTTAGGAGAAATGTATTATCATGTCTCTAGTCTAAAATACTGGAGATGTCTATTGGTATGTATTATAAAATAAATATTGACTGCAGGTATGGGTGTATGGGTATTAGAATTTGAATAGCTTATAATCATAAATTAAAGAAGTAAATTAATCTTTAATCTACGCTAATCCTGGAATCTATCACGGCCACGGCCACCTATATCGAAATTACACAGTCTAGTAAGGTATACTCTTACTCTATGCGTTGCTATAACAACATAACATTCTTTATGTTTGTTTGTTTACACACGACATGTCAAAAGTTGAAAGTAAAGCCGACAACTTATACAAGTTTAGTGTCACACGATTAGTAAATTTTTCGTAGTACAGTATCGCAATTTAATTTTTTATGAACAATGTAATTTCATGACTATTACTATTAGTCTACTAGGTTAATTTTATATCAATATTTGCCAGGTAAACGTAATTACAATTTTGTCCATTATCGTACTTCATTAGCTTAGGTTAGACTTTAATCTTGAGCCTATTGACTTTGCATTTGCAGGATATGTACTTTTACCTTTTACCTTTTACCTCTTCTTTCTTCACCACAATCCTCAGATCGGGGAGTCGTCAAAATTTCTCCTTCATCTTCTTGGCAGCCTTTCAGCTAGCCCAGTGTAGGTGTGTGTAAGTGTGTTCTTGTATGTATTCCTTCGTTGAGTAATAGGGTTTGTTTATAAGGTAGTTTTTTAGTGTCTTTACAAATGTGGTATGATTTGAAATGTTTTTAATTTTTTCTGGCAGAAGATTTATGTATTTAGATCCTGTGTATGTTGGGGTGTTGCTGAATTTTTTTAGTCTGTGTTGTGGCAGGTTTATATTGTTTTTGTGTCTGGTGTTGTGATTATGATAATGTGACCGGAGTGTTGGATTGGATTTTTTTGCTAGGGTTATGGTTTCTAGGATGTATTGTGAGAAAACGGTGGGGATTTTGAGCTGGATGAATAGGGGTCTACAATGTTCCAGATAGTGTGTCCTGCATATCGTCCGTAGTACTTTCTTTTGTAGGATAAAGTAGTTTGTCCATATTGTTTGCAGATGATGATCCCCATGTTGCAATTCCGTAACTCAGGTGAGAAGCAAAAAGCGAGAAGTAGGCTATTCTGGAGGTTTCTTCGTTGGTTATGGTGCGGATTCGTTTGATGCCATAGTGTGTGGTATTAGAGGCCAGTTTTTTACACAGATGTTCGATGTGTTGCTGCCAGGATAAATTTTTATCAACAATTATTCCCAGGAATTTAGTGGTTTCTTGCGTTGTGATACTGATGTTGGTCCAGTCGCTTTGATCTTCTAGGTTGTTGCTTGGTTTGAAATTAATGTGTGTAGTTTTACTGGTATTAAGTTTTAAATTTAGGTTGATGCATATTGTTGTTGCTTGTTCTACTGCTGTGGTTATGAGTTGTTGGTTATTTTTATTTCTATCTGTAGGTATTATTATGGTGGTATCATCTGCAAATAGAATACATTTGAATTCTTTTGATAATTTTTCCGGTACATCATTTATATATATCAGGAGGAAAAGTGGGCCAAGTATGGAGCCTTGAGGAATGCCTTTTGTATTCTGTTTAAGTGGTGATTTGGTTGTTATAATTATGTTGTTCACTTGCTGATCGGTTTCAACATATTGGTACCTATGGTCAAGATAGTTTTTTATTAGTGCCAATGCTTCTCCTTCAATATGTACTTTTTTTAGCTTTTGTATAAGTATATCCCAGTCCAATGAGTCAAACGCTTTTTGAAGGTCTAAGAAAAGTCCCGATGCATTTTTTCTGTCTTCCCAAATACTTGTTATGTCTTCGCAGAGTTCTGCAATTGCGGTATTTGTTCCTCGTTTCTTCCGGAAGCCATGTTGACAGTTTGTGAGTAGGTTGTTTGTTTCTAGGTGATTTATGGTTTGGTCGTATATCTCTCTTTCTAATAGTTTGGAATCAATACTGGAGTTACTGTACTGGATGCTTGCAAGTCGACAACTCGCCAACATATCTATCTCCTTCCTCTTCAGAAATTGCACTAAGGAGTGCCCGGTGTGTGCTTAGTTATTGCCAAGTTAACTCACATCACACTTATCACTAATGTTTGATGAGAATAATAGGTAACTTAATGTTTAATTTAATTATCACATTACTCTTCACTCATTTACACACCTGAAGAAGTATTCAAACTATTGTACATACTTATAAAATAGGCCTTCCTACAATACTAATATCCCACACACTCATAAACAAACATCCCACACTGTGTTTAATTCAACCTCTATGCTAGGTTACCATAGAAGTCGGAGAATTAACAATATAATGTACGTTCACCCTGAGTATTTAGGTACACTTGGATAGCCTAACATTTATGTTTTTTTAGATAAATGACGCTCTATTTTGATTATCGAGTAAAGATAGAAGATATAAGCTCTACTACAACTGCAGTGGAATGGCATCCACAACACCCTTTCTTAGCCATTGCATCCTACAGTATTGAGCAGGGTGGCTGTGTCAATATATGCAATGATCAAGTAAGTTTTAGTTGTTATTTTTTTTTTTTTTTTATGTTAGATGCACATGATGTACATCTAGCAGCCTAAGTTTATGTACATATAAGGGGTAGACTTCCGTATCTGTTGGCAAAAACAACCGATTGAAAATATCGATCGTAAGGCCTATAGGCTATATGTTTGTGCCAACAGGAACAGATACAGAAGTCTACCCCATAAGATTGAACATTATAAACTAACAGGCGATCTACCTATCTCTCAGCAACTCATTCATGTTGTCAAATGGTGGACTATCAACAGTGAACTGAAAAAGTTACCAAAGAAGATGATTCTGTTCTAAACTTTTGAATGTCATTGGCCTTATAAAAACCTGTTTTTATTTGTGTTTATTTTGGTTTGTTTTTCTATGCTATTAAAATGCTTTCGTCATACTGCAGCAAAAACAGCCGTTTTTAATACATGCGTTGCAGGTCTAAAGTAGCATTTTTACTCTCTAGGGAGTAAAAACCAGCTGTTTTAAACAGTTGTAGATTTTGATTGTGGCAATTGTATCGATCAAAATTATCTATCGATTTATTTATTATTTAAGGAGTTAGCCTATTGTTTGTGGATCGTTCGACATGTCGATGGTATAATGTACTGTACCTAACACATCGGTAATAGACAAATTGATTGAATCTTTTAAGCTGACAGCTGCTTATTTGCTTTGGCAGAATTGAAAACAAGCTGGAAGTCGTTTTGAGAGGTTATATTTTCATGAAAATTATTTTGTTTTCTAGCTTAGTTTGTTAATTAATGATGCAATACGATAAATATAGTTTACCACATGAGCTTAAAGTGTCTTATTAAACCTCGCTCATTTTCCGACCTCGGCTTCACCTCGATCATAAAACTTGACCTTGGGTCAAAAAGAGTCACTTTATGCCCTGGTAATGAAATATAGGTACTAGGCCTATTTATGTTTTGTCAAAGGAATAATAAAAACCTTACTTTTTCTTTGTTGTGTTAACTGTTTATTTGACCAGTAAGTACAATTTAATAAAAAAAAATTAGGCCTATGTATAATGCACTTTTATTTGAAGAAAGATGTTATTTTATCAAATTTCCTGTTGTGACAGGGAGAGATAGTGCCAGATGTGCAGCCAGTGTGTGTACCGTCGTGCCAGGCACTGGGACTTGCGTGGCACCCAGTACGCAAGACTCTGGTGGCTGGTTGGGAAGACGGAAGTCTCCGTGTGTGGAATGGAGAGAGAGACTTTGCGGCGATGTCGTCGCCTCACACCACACCCGTCCTGGTGCTCAAATGGAGCAAGATGGGCGGACGGCTGGTCTCTGTGGACGCGGTATATACTTATTACAATTTGCCAAGAAATAACACCATTTATATAAACATATATAAATCTGGAAGATGACTTTTTTGTAGAGAAAAAACAATATTATTAACCACAGATAATATAATAATTAATTTATTCTTTAGAGTTTTTCCACCTCTGTTCACAACAAACTATAAAAGTATGTATGAGGACAATGATGTTAAATAGTCAAGGTTAGAATACTGATGTAGGCCTATTTTAACTTAATAACTGACGTTATTTAGTACAAATCTGCATGAAATAAGTAGGCCCAAGGAATTTTCTATCTGATTTGATTACGGTTTCCATCACCAGAGTGGACTCATGGTGGGTTGGAGACTAGATTCACGTTGTCAGCTGCAGTCAGTCTATCAGCTGGCGTTACCTAGCATTCCTTGCGATGCTGTTTTCCGAGTTTCTCGTCCTGGACCAGACCTGTCGGGATTGGCACGGAGAGCTGTTGCTGGAGATCAGGTAATCCTAACTATTGTTTGTTCACTGTTACAGACCATAAATCAATAACTGAGTAATACTCTCATGAGAAAGAAATTGTAGTAAAACTTCACTTGTTTTCTGTCACATTATTTGCTTTGAATACTTTGCTGAAAGATAAAGTTATCTAGGCTAGTGCTATTGGATTTTTACCATCATATCTATATATCCTATAGTTGAAAGAAAAAAAACTCGCACCTAATGCTAAATTAATATTTCCTGATATTCAAAATTTTACTCAACTATTGTATTTTCAGCACATTGTTGAATAGCACTATCTGGGAAGAACAAAAAGAATAATAATCAACTATATTTTTTATACTATATTACTTCATCACACTAATTTCTAATCAAATCTTAACTCAAGGGGGAAATCAATATTCTTTCTCATTATATAGGCCCACCTACTGAAAAATTAGGGCCTAATAGAAAATGATTGTTTTAAGTCGGGTGCGGAAAAGCGATTAACATGGCATTCCGCTCCGCTTCTAGGAAAACAGTAATATTCAAGAGGAGTCCGCTCTCCGTGTTCCTCTCTCCTTGCTCCACTTCCGCACCTAGGAAAACCCGGTTTTAAGTTGTTGGATACAGTAGAGTCTTATTTACCCAATTTTCCGGTTAATTAACCGTCCATGTTATCTAATCATCCTGCAAACATTGAAGAAACCAGAAATGGTGTAATATACCCAAGTACTCTGACTGTACTCCCTAGCAGGTAAGTCGATACCCTCTCTATACTTGGGAGATATGTGCTAGGCTAGGTACCGTACTCGCAATTGACTATTTCCTAATTATTTAATCGTACACAACATACCACACAAACATAGATCTATGGCTGGGTTGTCGAGAATTGCTTCATCTAATGTTTTACAGTTTTAATAGTGGCATTTTTCCTTTGTTGTTCAGTCCTTTCCATGGAAAACCAATTTCAAGCCTTGAACAAGTTTGAAAACAGAAGCTGCATCAATTGAATTATTTCTAAACATGGTTACAATGGTTTATTTTATTTTTTATAGGCTATTCGTCTTTACATGTAATGCTTATCAGACCTTTCTGATGCCAGATTATAATTGAAACTCAACTGTAGGTAGGCCTGATAAAAATAATTAAAAATAATTTTAAAAAGTATTAAATATGCAGAACTCGTTTTTTACAACTGAAAATATCTAGGCTTTTATTTGTACTTCATTTAAATATCTACACTTTACACACCATGATTACCTACTTGATTACTAACACGGAGATGTTATCTAGATGGCATTGGACATGTTCAGTGCTTGGAGGCCACGCACAGCTGGCAGACATGTGTCTGTACATCAGGACAACTTGGCGCTCTACGTGGCTACTGCCCAAGGTAGACATTTGTGATTTTATATTAGTCTTTAAACGCTTGAGGCATTTTTTATGGATGATATTGGCCTACTCTACTCTCTAACTTTTTGTACATGCCAGGGAACGTGTACCTAACCCCCTTGCACCAAACCATTAGGCTAGTAGATCAAGTAAATTACAACAGATTGTTTTTTTTTTCAAATCTAACTGTTTGTGACTAACTGTTTCAACAAAAGGTTAGTGTAAGATATGTTACTTACTGTTATGGCCATTTATATCAAAATCAGATGTACATTGTAAACAGTAAGATGTATATTGAAGCATTTTTCTTTCAATTATTGAAGGTTACAACCTACATCTAAAATTAGCCTACCATGTTGTTCTTATGGGGGAAATCTGTTATAGGTAATCCAAAAATCTGAAAGTAGATATTTGCCTTGTATGCTATTTTTTAAATCCTACAGGATAAGTTTTTGTTCTTATAAGTTAAGACATGTTGACGCTGTTATGCAGACAATTCTATGCTCAGTTTGACTCAATTAAACTCAATTTGAGTTTTGTTTTATCGATGGAGAATGATATTCATTGTTTGATCGCTAAGGATGTGGGTTGTAAATATTTCAATCCACAATCTTTTTATATTCCAGGAATTGTCTTGTACGTCAATGAAACGGGCAAAGGCCAGGAAGTGTTACAGTTGCCAGGGAGAATTGAGAAATTACTGTACCACGACTCCGAGGACGGCCTGATAGTTGTGGGCCTGGGACTCAACCTCAGTTACTACTCGGCTGAATCCAACGGGACCTTGAGTGAAGTCACAACGGTAAATACAACTTACTGACACAACATACCATGTTGTGTTTCCTCTGTAACCTTACTTCTCTATGGTGGAAATCTTGATTCCTAGTGAGGTCAAAGTTATATGTACATGATAACTGCCTAGAACTGTTTTAAAATTTACGGCTGAACAAACTTCTTGAAAATGTCCTACAAATTTGCATTGTAAAATAGTAATGGTCACCGTATGTGTTTAGGTCAAGTTGAGTGGTAGTGGCAATGTTGTAGTGTGGGCTGGGAACAACACAGTGGCTTGCACTGTCAGTGACACAACAGTAAGATGCTGGGAGCCTCATACAGGGGAGACTTATGTTCTCAGTGCTCAACTACCAGACGTCACAGTACAGACAATCACAAGTCTGGCATACAGTCCCAGTAAAGGTGAGTGACATTGGCAATGTTGTAGTGTGGGCTGGGAACAACACAGTGGCTTGCACTGTCAGTGACACAACAGTAAGATGCTGGGAGCCTCATACAGGGGAGACTTATGTTCTCAGTGCTCAACTACCAGACGTCACAGTACAGACAATCACCAGTCTGGCATACAGTCCCAGTAAAGGTGAGTGGTAGTGGCAATGTTGTAGTGTGGGCTGGGAACAACACAGTGGCTTGCACTGTCAGTGACACAACAGTAAGATGCTGGGAGCCTCATACAGGGGAGACTTATGTTCTCAGTGCTCAACTACCAGACGTCACAGTACAGACAATCACCAGTCTGGCATACAGTCCCAGTAAAGGTGAGTGGTAGTGGCAATGTTGTAGTGTGGGCTGGGAACAACACAGTGGCTTGCACTGTCAGTGACACAACAGTAAGATGCTGGGAGCCTCATACAGGGGAGACTTATGTTCTCAGTGCTCAACTACCAGACGTCACAGTACAGACAATCACCAGTCTGGCATACAGTCCCAGTAAAGGTAAGGGTTATATTTTTGACCATGCTGTATACTGGGATTTTTTTACACTATTTCAGACTAGGATTAGAAGTCGCAGCACTATGACTATAGTCCTTTGGCGATTGGCGGGATTAGAACCCAAGACCTCAAGAGGTCAACACACCACACTCTACCACTAGTTCACTAGACTAGCATGCTCCTGGTAACAATACAGTGGCATGTACAGTAAGGGTCAAAATAGTTGTGGAAGTTAGCATTCCTAACCTAATAAGGATACAAATTTAGGATAATAAAAGTTGTATGGTTAATTACTGCAATTGTCGTTGGTTGGGTGAAGTTTACCCAGATTAGTTCAGGTTTAGGTAGGTAAAGTTATGTTTCATAGCTTAAATCAAATCTAACTGTACCATCAACTCATAACTTAGTTGAACATGCTGTCATTGATAGCAAAATATTCTAATATTTTGAGTATGGTGATAGTCTAAAGTTTTGTGTTACATCTACAGTGCCAGTTTAGACTCTTTCCCATTCAGGTACCCTTGCTATCCTCACAACAAATCCTAAAAACCTTTGTGCTCTTTGGTACATCCTTGACCTTAATTTAAGTACAATACATACATTTTAGACACTATCTTTCAAATTTTATTAGATATTCTCAAACCCAATTAAGTGTTATTTTATAAATCTGAAACTTTTGCATGCTGAAAAACTTATTACAAACATTTATCCTATACTTAACCCTTCCCGGACGGGCGAAATCGTGACATAGGACGGGCAAAAATCATAGGAAAAAATAAAAATTAATTTTCCTTTTTTGTGTTTTATTATACGAATATACATAAAATAAACACAATGGAACACTTCATACTGTCCAAATAATTTTTTACTCGTTTTTATTTGAAAAAAAATTATGCGGATATATCCGCTCCCCGTCCGCAGATGAGTAGAAAAGCTGCGGATATATCCGCCACCCGTCTTTGAAGATATGACTATGACAACGTTAGGTAATAAATAAAGAACAATATGTTGTTGCGTTGTTTATTATATAAAACTGTTTCAAGAAAATAACACTTCAAGAAAAAGTTTAACTACAATTTCAGTTTTCAAAAAGTTACAAAATCATTTTACGGGGTTTTAAGGTGCCTGTAAATAGTCCATTCTTATAAAACAAGAAAAAATAACAATAATTTCAGTTTTCAAAAGGTTACAAAATCATTTTACGGAGTTTACAAGGTGCCTGTAAATAGTCCATTCTTCTAAAAATAGTCTTTTTGGGTGTGGTACACCTCAAAACATGTGTCTGGATGTAAGTACGGTTTTTCGTCACATGTTTTACAAAAGTACACAGTTTCCTTACGAACTTTGTTCTTTGCACAAACATGACATCTGAAGGACCCCTTCGGTGATTTGCCCATAACATGGAGTTTTCCGTTCAGCCGTTGAATATCATTTTTCGGTCGTCCTGGTCGTCTTCATGTAAAATTGCAGGTCTCCTGAACGTAGTCTCTTACTAAATCTTCCACAAGGCTAAGTCTAAACTGTTTGTGAGACATTGCTACTCTGTTGTTGTCTTCTTGCAAGGATTTATATAGAATATAAGAGTTTATAGTAGACACTTCAAGGAGCCAAAAGAAAAGTTTGCGATACCATTTTTTAGTACGCCTCATAAACTGATAACTAGATATCACGTGGTCAGCACGATCAACTCCACCCATGTGTTTTGTGTAATCTAAGACAACATCAGGCTTTAGAACAGGAGGTTTATTTGGCCACTTGCTGGGCTTCTCTGTCATCTCATTCCGGCTTATTTTGTGTTTGGTTGTAAGCATAGTTACCACTCTTTTGTCCTTCCAATAAATAACACCCAAGTCTTTGTTTCTTCGTGCTTCTACATCACCACAATTGAGCGGTTTGCTTAGTGTTGGCATTTCCTTTCTATTATTCATAACCGTTCCCGTAACAAACATATTTTTCTTCAGCAACTCTTTAGCCAGTTCAGGGCTATTGTAGTAACGGTCGACGTATACATGGTGACCAGATGGAGGGTCCAGGGGATCTTTTACTAAAGAATCGCAGAGTTGTAGAACAGTATTTGTTGTTTTCAAAAGCTCATCCTCGTTACCATCACTTTTACCGTAATATGGGCTAAAACTGTAAATATACCCATTCAGAGCATCAGAAAGAACAAACACTTTTAGCCCAAATTTTACAGGCTTGTCGGGGTTGTAAACTCTGAATGAAATCTTGCCCTTGAATGAAATAGTGCTCTCATCCACTGACACATACGAGCTTGGCGTATAGAATAGTTTACATTGCTCTTGAATTGTGTTCACAATATTTCTTATTTTGAGGTCACGTGCGCTTCCCTGTTCATGACTAAAGTGTAATCTCCAAAACAGCATCAAAAACCTATCTCGAGTAAAAACATCGGAAAAAAAGGGCATCTTGTTTACCCAGGACAATGAAAAGTAGTCCTTTATATCAGGCAACGGGTGAAGTCCCATATTCAGTACAACCCCGAGAAGAGCTCGGATCTCTGTGGCTGTTGTATCAGCCCAAACCTTTTGTTTCCTTTGGTTTTGAATAGGCAAACTTTGAGCATATAGGTTGGTTTCATCACAAATCAATTGTATTAGATTACTATGAAAGTAAAGTGAAAAGAAATCAATTGGTTTTGAAGTGAGATCAAATTCTGTAGGCAGATTACGACCGTAATTGCAGTTATAAATAGGAATAGTACTTACAGGTCCACTGTCACTGTCGGTCACAAAAGCATACTCCTTATCCCACTTCATACGAAGGAGTTTAGCTTTAGTTAGATTTGGTTGTTGTGCCTCTGTAGACCTCTTTTTAGATGGATTTTTAGAGTTCTTTGCAAATGACTTTTTGGACGCCATTGTAGATTCATTGGTTGAACTATGAAGGCTTTCTTTTTCCGAGTCAATAAAACTTGAGGCATTCCCAATATCGTCCTCACTAACTTGTTCATCACTAATACTTTCCACTTGAACCACATTACATTCATCTTGAGGAACATCAGTGTCTTTGTCATTTTCGGATACAAAACCATTTACTATATCAATATCATTTCCATCGATATTTGCATTATTTACATCACAACTACGCACAGATATGTTGTCATCTTCGTCCAATTCCATCCCATCAACAGCAACATCACCCTCCGAAAAACTCTTGTTCAATAACTCAATAATATCACCAGAAAAACTAGTACTATTTACGTTATAAGCCATCGTGCATCACTATCTCATTCTGCTAGACAGACAACTGTAACGTTTGGCGCCAACACACAGACAACGTGGTTTTGAGCGCGAAACGTCGTGGGGGGTGTAGGAGAGGTGGTTGGTGTGAGGGAGAAAGGGGCGGCGCGGGAGAGAGGGGCAGCGCGGGAGAGAGGGGCAGCGCGGGAGAGAGGGGCAGCGCCTGAGAGAGGGGGAGTGCGAGAGAGAGCGCAGCCATGGATAGAGCAGGAAAGTGGCGCCTTGGTACCGCGAAACATCTGGTTACTGTTTAAGTACCTGCCAGTCTGTCTGAAAAGAAGGCGGATATAACCGCTTCCCGTCCGGAACATAAAAAACCATAGGCTGATATATCCGTCACCCGTCCTTAATCGCTAATGACTTATGTGGATATATCCGTCACCCGTCCGGGAAGGGTTAATATTTCTTTATGAAATAGCAACTATACGAATGTAGGTATTTTAAGCCAAGTGTGTATGGAGATGAGTGTAGGCTGAGTGGCGTGATCTAGTTGTCTTGTTACTGACTAAGGCCGACATGTTCCTTGGACACAGCTGTTAATTAATAGCCTATTCAGCCATTGGCAACTAAGGTACCATACCTACAAGTAAAATTCGAACCACATTTTTGCCATGTAATTAACGAATTGGTCTAATTATCAGGATAGTACCGCGGATAGTCGTGGTACTCACTAGTGTGGACGTTAAACCACACCAGGGAGTATCATATCCACAATTCGTGACCTCTGATTATCTGGATTACAGGATGACTCCACCTTATGAGTCACTAAATTAATGAAAATAGAACTAATTTAAGTTATTTCCGCAGGTGTTCTCTGTGGTTGCACTACGGCTGGTAACATAGTGTTCTGGCGCTACTCAGCCGGGGGATGGGACCCACTGAGTCCTGCCAAGGTGGCCGGAGTAGCCAAGCTGTGTGCGTGGGGTGGGGGCGGAACCTTGCTGGCCGTCAATACTTCTGCAAACACCTACATCATGAAGGAACACAACCTGTGCGCAGCGTACCATCGAGGGGTAAGATTGCTGTATCACTGTTTTACACATCTGGGCCTCGAGGGTTGCGGCATTATCACTTAGTTAAAATCCATTGGTGATTGGTGGGATTTGAACCCGGGACCTCAGAGATAGAAGTCCTGCACTCTAACACCAGACCAGCTTATTCCTCAGTTTACTGACGGCCAGCTTGGGAACCTTGTATATTTTACTTGCTAAAAATAGGCCTAACAGAGGATAGGTTTGACCATTGATGTGTAAATACACAGATAAATAAATAAGTGAAATGAAAATCCTTTATTTCATATTTTATTTTTAGGGCCACATAGCCCTTTCTTACACTTAACCTGCATACATATATAAATAAATATAAAATATAATAGGTACACAATTTAATAGAACACTATATTATTTACACGAAATCAATAATCAATACTTTTGAAAACAAAAACACAATGTCTAACAAAATCTCCCAAACACTCAGTCAGCAATTACGCAAGTGCCAAAACAGTCCTAGGACACACCAGCAGCTGAGGCCATACGCTCTAAGTACAATTTTTTCAGTGCCACCAAGAACCGAGGACGATTATCAAATCAAGCATTTTAATGGATAAAGGTAGGTTGTGCTAAAGACGGCAGGCAGTTACAACAAAGGCCCTGTTATTATGCTGTACTCCTATGATGAGGTATGCGCAACATGAAAGATGCAGTGCGCTACATAAGTATATGCATAAATAGTTTTGAAGAGCTATAGGGTACAGCTAGTTTACCTGAGAAAATTAGGGGAGTCAAGGAACTAAATTACAAAATAAAATATCACAACTCATAAAACTTTTTTTCCTTACATACAACTTTTACAGCATATAGATTAAAACCTATTTTTAATTTATTTTTCTCTTTAATTCATTATCTGATAATGTCCTATATCAGGGCGAAATATTAATATTATGTGTTTTAAATTCTATTATCTTTTATTTGTGTGTCTATTTTGCGACTGGACTCTAATTTTCTCATATAAGCCAGCTAAACTCTTATCACTTAACATTAATTGTTATGCGTTTACATAGTCTATGTCTGTATATAGATAGACTATGTACCTATATAGACTTACTCATATCTATATCACATAATATAAAAATAAAAACCTATACATGATATATATGTACATACAAACATTTTGAATAAGAGTGTTTTTTGTCTCTAGTCTCTATGGACATCAAAATGAAAAAAGTTAATTGGTCCGGGGCCTAGGTCTTTCCATGCCGCCCCCACCTACAGTATTAGCTACTTCCCTATAGAGAAATTTGCTGAAAAAAAACACAAAACATAAATAGGGTAGACCAATATGTTTATTTATTAAATTGTTTACAGGGTCGCCTACTCAGGTATTTGTTTTAACCAAACAGAATTAGAACAGGGTTCTATCTTCCATTCTGCCTGGCGGGGTACGGCCCTTGAGGGAACCATTCCGGCATTTGCCTAAGTGAGGAAAGAAACCGTACAAACTTTCCTCAGAATGGCCGACCTGATAGTCAGACCTCCCGAATGTGAAATGGCATGATGCCACCTCACTCGGTCAGATTAATAACATTACAAAGATACTTACCTAATTCTAGATACATAAGTTACCTTATACTAGATACATAAAATGTTTAAGACACTTAACGCTAAAAGTCCGTCCTAAATCATATTTTACATTTTCTTCCTCCGCATCCCTGAATGCTTTGATGTCCTGTGTTTTCCGCTGCAACTCATCCTCAGGCAAAAATTTAGTTGCTATCTCTTCGGCGTTCTATTCCTCTTGAAGTTCTCAGATGTTCCATTATGTGCCTTAATTTTCTTCTATACATGTTTCTTCTGATTTCTTCAATATTTTGCTAGAAGAACTCTTTTGTCCTCTCAATACTATTTGTTCTGAAGAACATCAAGTTGCGAGTATAACATCAGTAGGCCTACTATAAACTCCCAGGTTTTCCCGGAATCTTCCTTTAGTTGCATTTTAGCTGTAGGTACTCTGCAAGATTTCTTTTTGGAGCAATGGGATCTGCCAATGGACAAACTTTGTCATGTATTCCACAGAATTGCTTTGCTTGATCTTACTCTTAAGAATCCACTCTGATCACATGAAGTTACCCAAATTTGACTCAAAAATCCAACAGCACCCATTTAGATTTTTGTCAGAAATTTAATTTCAGACTTGAATTGTTTCCATAGAAATAAGTATTTATGACTTGTTTCTTGGTTTGTTTACTTTTAAGTTTTAACTTCTCTTGTTGTACAGTAATGTTAAAATGTACACTCCACATGTGTGTTATAGGCTACAATATTAAATTTGAAATGAGTGCAAAAGAGATATAGATTGATATAATTAAAGGTGCAATTAGTTAAATCTGGTTGATGCTTTTTCATCTGAGTTTTCCTAAAATTAAAATTAGCAACCAATTATAAAATATTGGGCTTTAAGTTTGTTTTATTAATTATGTTTTTTTCTGTAATTCAAGGCTTTTTTAAATACATTAACAACACTTTGCCAAACAAATTAGATATAAAAAAAAATGTTAATTTACAGTCCAATTTTATTGAGCACACATTGTAATTTCTTACAATGTAATATGAAATATTTTATTGTTGATAAGCTTTCTAAGATTGGAAAGACACATTTTATTTTTGAATGATTTGATTTAGATAGATATATAGTACCTACTTCCAAAAAGAAAAAGAATTACAAGTAAACAAGTGGAAGAATGTTTGTGCTAAAAGTGAATGTTGCATTATTTGCATTCATATTTATAATCCCCCTCCCAATCTTAGCTCTGCCATTTTGAAACTGAATGCATTGTTTCTAGACAAAACTTCAATTTATAACGTTGTTTCTGTACTCTTAACAACAAACTTGCGGCGTTTTCAATTGTGACAATGAGCACCACTGAGCACATCGAAACTCCCTCTGTGACCGCTAAACGGTCATTGAGAAGGCAAACATGTCTCTACTAGAAAGTGTGCAATCAGCACAGATTGGACAAGGATCAGGCAGAAACGACCCTTACTTCCTGAATAGCCCTCTTATTTTAAATAGTCCATAGATTGATTGAGCGCTGCTCAAGGAAATCAGTGCTAAGTAACATGTGGTTGTATGTTTCAGTTATCAGTGGTACAAGTGTCTGCGTCACAGCTGACTGTCCAGTCTGGTTCAGACACAGCTGATCTCAACACAGACCTGCAGGTGTTTGGTGTCTGTTTGTCTAGAGACAATGCAGCTGTTTGGAGCAGCAAAACTGTGGCTGTTTATGTTATCAATCCTGTCTCTGCCATCAATGCTATGGGTGAGAAAGATTTATAGTATGCAATGGAAATAATATTTTTCAAACATGAATAAATGTGATTTCAAGTTAGTCTCATTATATCCAAGAAAATATCAGATTTAATTGGCAGATATCAGGATCGATTGGCATACGTCTGGCATGTTCAGTAGACGCTGGCCTTGTTTGTAAGACGCCAGGCTTATTCAAAAGATATCAGGGGCTTTCAGCAGACGTCGGGAGCAATTGGTAGATATTTCAAAAACTCCGACAAATAAAATATTCACCTCGAAGATTGGGAAAATATTTTATCCCCTGAATCTCTAGGTCTTGATCAACTCTAGACTGGTTTTTCCAGGGTCATTCAACTGTGAGGTGGAGTCAGCAGTTATGTACGAGCAGAGCCTGGTGACCTTGAGTGATGCCAAGCTACAAGTCCGCACACTTCAGGGAACTGTCAAACAGACACTAGACACCGAGGGACAACCTATCACCGTCAGCTTGACCAATCACTACCTGGCTGTGGCCACCATCAGTGGCTATATTCATCTGTGGGACGTCTCACGCAGGTAATTGTTCAAGGGATTCCCTGGTTTGAGCTTTGACCAGACCCCAACATCTCTTTCTATCTGTATACTGTTTATTTCCTCCAACATTTGCCATTTAACTTCTTTCTTTTCCACGTCCCTTTTCACCTCATCTACCGAACCTCTTTCAAGTCTTCCCCTTAATCTCCTTCCTTTATCATCGCCAACTATATTATGTTTGGTATGTTCAATTCCCACATTCTTTCTAGTCTGGTTTATCTACTCTCTCATAAGCTTTATTCAACTAACTCTCTCCTAATGGCTAATCTCTTCATTGAGGGGTTGTATAAGAGTGCCTGGTAAGGATGAAAAAAAGAAAAACTTGAAGAGAAGAAACTAAGAAAGACTACAAAAGACTCTGTTCTTAGTAGGAAAACTGTTCAGGGAAGCAGCCTGGTGAACATAAGTCTCCAGCTAAAACCAATGGTAGAGAAGCTGCAAGATTCAGCCAACCACCTCTCTAATCTTTTAACTCCTGACTCTATCCCTTATTTTCCACTTACCCCTAAAAAAAAAACCCCAATTTTGCCCTACTCTCTTTCATTCCATACTTCCGTCTCATACACAACTAATGGCTGGTGTGTCTAACTCGAGTCCAAACTCAACAAATTCCTGCTGTATAATTATATCGTAATGTGTTTTTAAACCTGTCATATTTGTCTTGTTGTTAAATAAGAAAATTCTATTTCGTTTTCAGAGAGGCAAAGCTACATGGAAGAGCCAAAGACTTAGCTGACAGCATATCAGACTTTGCCGAAGTCATTTGTGCAAGAGCAAATGCTAATGGAACAAGGTAATAATTGTATTTTTTTATTGCAGTGCATTTTCTCTGATGTCATTCATATGAAGAGTAATAAATTGTTGTAAATTTTCTGATAATGGCTGCTCAATGGAAAGAATTTGAAATAATTGAAAATTACTTTGTTTCACAGCAGGGTCCTTGATAAAAGTTTCATAAAAATACTGTGTCCCTCCTTTTGCACAACACCTATTAATCATTGAGTCTGCAACTATTCATTTTTTATCTATGAAAAATACATTAAACTTGTATTAATTATAGTCAGTTAATTTTTTTTCTGATAACTGAAAATTAGTCAAGGTTTGGTGTGTTATCAAGGTTAGCCTATAGTTTAGTTTAAAATATGTGAAACATTCTTGAGATATGTATAGTTTCTGTTCTGTGAATTCTCTGGCCTACCTGTACTTCTTTTTATGGCATCTCTTTAATCTATCAATCAAAATCCTGGCTAAGAGTATTTTCTTGTACAAAACCGTGATTGATTTTATCCATCTCCCCTATCTTTTTTACTTAGAAAAAGAGTTTATGTATTTTGTACTGCTTTTTCTACCCAAAACTGCTCCTTCATAAAAGATTCTTCCCTAATTCTGTCCTTGATGTAGTGTTTCAATAGACAATATTCTTATGAGATGTTTATACTGTGTTTGCTGTACAGAGTTGCTCTAAGTGTAGCGGGCTCCAATCTGCTTCCTCTCCCTCAAGTCTATGTTTGGGATATGGAGTCTGACACAATACTCAGTCATAGTTTTGGTCCTCAAGATATGTAAGTTGAGTTTACTATGAAATAAGTTATGATTAGTTAAAAACCTAACTAATTAAAATTATATATCGGGCACCGTGCCTAGATTTAGCATCCCTTTAGCCACATTTACACAAAGCTGTTAGGTGGGCAGGTAACCTAACTCAGATGACATTCGAGGCAGGTAATCTGCCGGCCTATAGGCCTTGTTTAAACATGGCTTTTCTGAGCTGTAGTCTTTAATAATATGTTGTTTGAACAGTTCCTTCTTGTTCTGTATTGGCATACCATTCTGTATTGTTCCTTGCTTTGCTTTATACCTTACCCTCACACAGGCCTGAGACACATGTAGATGGGAAAGTTCATAGTATAAAGAGGCAGCCAAAACCTCTAAAAAAATCATCATCTTAATAAAAAATTATTCAGATCTGTAGTGCATATTTGTAATTTTTACTTCCTAACAACTTCGCAAAAACATACTGCCTGAATTGACACCTCCTATCAAAACATTTTCTACCAAAATTTCACAATATGCAACTATATACATTACAACCAATGCTTTATACAAACATTAAACGATTAAACCTGTATTTTTGTATTTACTTAGACTTAAAATTGTGAGACAATGATTTTAAAACTTGAGTATCAAGTTGTAATGAATTAACAAATTTTATTTTTTAAAAGGGAAGTGTCGAGGTTTGTTGTCAACTTGTTCTGGGATTGGGAGGAACCTCGACTTTTGGTGTGTGAGACCAGACGACCCCCGGGACAGACTCAGGTCAACAATGTGCTGAGAAAAGTAGCCAATCCTCTGGTCAGCAACAATGTGAGTCGTCAAACTTAATAGACTGTCAGAAACTAAAGCGCAAGGAATTTGAGAGTTAAAGTGTATCGATAGTGTGGTGGTTAGTGTCTCAGACCTCAGTGCAAGGGGGAGGAGGGTTGATCCCTGACACAAAGGTTTGATGAGTTTACTTAAAAAAAAAACACTTTGCGTTTTTGAAGCGTTTGTGATTCCTACAAAATTCCACTAGTTACACCCTCACTAACAAATCTTTATGGAAAACGGATCAAACAAATTGACTTATTTCTACAGGACAGCAAGCAAGACTTTTTTACCCCAGGTTCGGTCAAAAATTTTGGGTCGGGCCAAATTGGTTTGCTTTGGTTAATAAATATTAACTGTAATAATACAATCAATCTATACATAATAATGCTCTTGATCTCCCCCATTAATATCGACAACATCTTCTGCGATTTTGACAAAGTCATTAACATTTTACGCAGCCTTCTGAGGTATTGGCAAAATTGTAAACATCTTCTGTGGTCACGGGAAAATAATGATGGATGTCTTCCTTTGCCACGGGGAAATCTAGAACATCTTTTGTGGTCGCCTAAAATCATGAACATATTCCGCAGTTTTAACAAAATCGTGAACATCTTCTGCGGTTTTAAGCAATAAATTTGTCATTGTTCGTTTGTCCAGGTGTTGGTGAGCCTGATAGCGTCCAGTGAGCATGGTTTGTTGTTACAAGACTCTCGAACAACGGACCAAGAGTTTGTCTCTCTTTTGGCTGTGGACACTCCCAACTACATCGTCTTGAGCAAACCGACCAATCAACAGGTGGGTAAACAGGCAAACTCACTGCAAACATGTTCATTAAACCAACATTTTTTCTACAATATACATTATTATTACTATTCAATATTGTTTGGACAAATTATCGTTGTAGATTAAGATTAATGATAATTATTATGTTGGGCTCCTGTGAAAGTTTTGTTCCATCCAATTTTCTTTAAATATAAGATTTGGGTTTGGATCATATCAATTAAATTGGCGAGCAAGATATAAATGCCCACATCTGCCACTTGTGTTATTTTGTACAGTCATTTGCTTAACAATTATTTGCTGATGGATTGATTTAATTTTCATTTTCAATACCACTAGCACCTGTCTAGTGACTTGGCTCTCAGTGTTGTTGGAACTGTTGGAAGCCTTCGCCAGAAATAATTGGAAACTGTAAAGATAACTATTTTAACTTACCCAATTCAATGGACAAGTTTTAAATGTGTTTTTTCTTATCATAAAAAAATTGTCTTCTCTATTATTAGAAAAAAATAGCTAAAGACTAAAAAGTCTTATTGTTCATTTCAATCAAAAAAAAAATTTCATGTTAAACCTGCTTTATTTTGTAGCTTTACTACATTATAAGAAGTTGAAAATATACCCTTTTACTTCAAACATAAATCGTTCAATCATTTTCAAACCTTATGAACTTTCAAATAGTATGATTCACAATTGATTGTTTATTTTCCAGAATATATCAGTTGAGAAGATTCTGATGCGAGACTTCGAAGGACTGGAGAACTGTGATGCGGCCACTAGGAGCGCTGTCATCAAGTTTAGCTTCAGTCTCATCATTGGCGACATTGATCATGCATTCAAAGCCATCCACAACATACACAGGTAACAATAATAGCTTGAAGCAGACAATAAGAATAATAATAAGAATTACCATTGATAATTATTCCATTGATCTTTTTACAAAGAAGTAGGGCACGTCATATACATTACAAAATAATCATCTAAAAACAATCAAATTTCTGATACATCAAAATATTACATAACATATTGGCATAATAACTTATTGTATTTAAAATTAAACATCAAAATTACACTTGATAAAGTCACTTAGGCTGTAAAATGGATTTTGAATTAGCCAATTATAAATTATATTTAAAAAATATCATAATCAACAAATTTTGCACTGTCAGGTAGTTCATTAAAAAAGCGAATTGAGTTGATTTTGAAGGAGTCACCTGTTTTAGCCAGTCTATGAGGTTTCATGCTGAGCTTGCCTCCACCCCTAGTGTCCACTCATGAGTGTCAGATCTAAGGGGGAAAGAATGCAAGTTAATGTAAGTTAACTACAAAAGTTTTGTAGGCCTAAGGTTTTTTTTTTAAAGAGGTTGGCGGCCTCTTTAAACCTTGCATTTGCCTGTCCACATAGACTAACTGCCCGTGCGTGGAACGTATACAGCAAAGCAAGGAGTGAGCCGGTACAGTACAAAGGTGAACTGTACTGATAAAATGTTTTCGGCAGTGACCAGGATCCGAACCCACGACATCGCTGCCTTGGGCCCGAAGCCCACAACGCTACCGACTCACTATTCTGGTTTGTAATGTATAGCTCTGTAATTCACGCGTACACTGCAACGAGGCTCCCCCTCACTTACAGTCATCATTTGTGAACACAATGGAACCATTTGCAGCTCTGTAGCTGATGTGTATACTTTGCTGCATGTTTTTGAACATTACTGAAAATACCGCCGCATGCGAGATAAGGTCGGGGATAAGTTTTTTTTGACCACAAGAAACACATCTGATGCCGACAGTCATCGCCAGATGACTGAAGGTTATAGCCTTAGTACAATGAGCGAGTGTAAATACGTAAATGGGTTAGGCAGTTAAAAGTATCTCTGAAAATCCTTTTCTTTTGTGGTCTTTTGTGAGAAGTTTGGGTACCTACCAAAAACACAACTTCGTCTAAAATTAACATTTTCATGGCCCTTTTAAACTCTCTAACCTATTTCTGCACTTTACTCTCGCTCATTGCACTTTGATATGGTTCTTGTGATGAAATAATTCAGGTATTGTTGTTGATGGTTGCAGTGTGCCTGTGTGGACCAACTTGGCGCGCATGTGTGTGAAGGCCCGTCGTCTGGACGTGGCACGAGTGTGTCTGGGCAACATGAAGGATGCTAGGGGAGTGGCTGCACTGCGCCAAGCTGAAATACATCCTGAGATACAAGCTCGGGTAGCTATGTTGGCTGTACATCTGGGAATGTTGGTGAGTTTAAACTTCTATGTTTGTTTTCAATTAAATACTGGTCTGCAGGCCCAAATTGTTAGTTTCGCACATGTCTTCTATGCCATTATCAAACATCATTCTTCTTGAAAGAAAATTAACAGCTGTTGCTTTCTTGACGAGACAGATTTAAAAAGACATAATTAATACAATAACAGTCTGTTCCCGCCTGTTACTGCATGTTGACGAAAACCGCAATAAATAGGTCTATTTCAGTTTCAATACGATTGTAACCTCTTGATCTTTGAGAAAGCCAACAGCTGCAGATATAACGTTTTTGTATCATCTACCAAAAGAAATATTTATATAAAATATTAGGTCCTAAAAAAAAACTTAAACTGTTTCTGTTTCTAATTGATAGAGCATATTACTCATTTGAAGAGTTTTACAAGATGTAATTACATTAATTAAATTTCCCTGTTTTATTTAGCTTAGGTTATTAAACCGAGTATTTTTAGCGAATTTCCCTATAGGGAAGTAGCTATTACCGTAGGTGGCACGGTAAGACCTAGACCCGGGACCGATTTACTTTTTCATTTTGATGTCCCCAGAGGCCAAAAACACCATTCGTTCAAATTTTTATATATGTATATATATATATAGACTTATATATATATATATATATATACGTCTGTGAACGCGATAACTTGAGTAATTTTTGTCCGATTTTGATGAAATTTGGTTTAAAGGTGTAAAGCGGGATAAACTTGAATGAGTTCGCGAACCAGCATGATCGGACCATGGGAACGGGGCTCTACGGGGGGTTTTATGGGGTAAAAATAGGTGTTTCTCACTTTTGACCCTCAAAACACAAAATTTCCCAATTTCTCTTTAGACCTTTTTAAAGAGCTTAAAAAAAACAATTAATTTAGTATATAAAAGTATTTTTGTTCGGGTAATAGTAACGGAGAAAATTAAAAAAATTGTAAATTTAAAATTCCCATGTTATTCTTATGGAGAATATTGTCAAATGTTGTAGTTTGCTTGTTTATGGATATATTTTGTATTTTGATCAAATTTATTTATTTTGTACTACTACTAAGCTATCAATATTTTACAAAAAACACACTTTATTAGTTTCCTTGTAGCAGCAAACCTAGGTACTCGTTAAACCTAATGTTATTAAAATATATTTTATTGAAAATCAATAATTAAGACAAATGGAAATTCGCTTAGTCGGCAGGTTTGCTGCGGCGGGGGTATTAATTAGTAATAAGCTGTTTTGATGCCATTTTGTATTTATGCATTTATTTCATGTATATATTGTATAAATCTTGAATAAAGCTTTTCTGATCTTTGATCAGTTGTCTGAACTTATGTGTTGCTCCTCTCTGAGTTACACAGAGAATACTCAAATTTTTCTTAACAAGGCATTCCTTCTAATATCACTTATTGCTTGGCAGTGCTCATGGGTGTTCAGAATATGTTATTGTTCTCAAAGGAGAATCCCAAATTGGCCACTACGTGGCTGTGAATTAGTGTGTGATTGTCAGTCCATACTCTTCAGTCTGATCTTTAGATTGTATCATGTTTGTGATTGTAGGAGGAGGCGGAGAGGCTGTATGCAGAGTGTGGCAGATGGGATTTGCTAAACAAACTACTACAGACTTGTGGCAAGTGGCCTGACAGTGTCCGATTGGCAGAGGACAAGGACAGAATACATCTACGACACACGTGTCACTGGTGAGACTAGAGTTAATGAATAGATTTCGGTGTTTCAGATAGAAAATCACCTGAAATTAGGAGTCTGAGGACTTTTTAAGGTCGGGTTGAGTAAAAAATGTCAGCCTGGGGACACAATCAAGTTGCTTTGGAAAGTATTGATTTTTAAAATATTAATTTTAATATTGCAATTGTTTCATACGTAATGGTATACTTGATCCCCTCACACATCGGTGAAACTATGAACATCTTCCACATCCCAGCAAAATGTAGAACACCTTCTGTGGTCTTGGCTAAATCAAGATCATCTTCTGAGGTCATGGTGAAATTTGGAATATCTCCTGCGTTTGCGGCGACATCATCACTGTCTCCCACGATCACGAGAAAACCGTGAACATCTCACATGCGATTGTAGCATAATCGTCAATTTTAGATGGCACATCTTTGTAGACACTTGTTCCAATCGGGAAAATAAAAGCTAAATCGAGCTTGGCCCACAAATTATTTCTGGGCAGAAGCAATCCTTCTGGCCAACTGTTAGCCCTGAGTAAAATATCGGGGACTTACTTAAGATAACATCAAGAAAGAAGAAACAGATACAGTACTCTTAGGGATGAAACTCACAGAGTTCCAGGCAGTTTATAGCAGAAAAATGTCCATTAGATAAGTTAAATTGATATTTGCTTATATTTTGTAAATTCTTTTTACTACTTTCTTCTGAATAAGCTTACTTGCAGTTAGCTGAGTTAGTTGTGTATCCATTTCTTCTTCCTTCTAAAGTTATGTAATGTATTACATCATTTTAGTTTTTCCTTGAATCGTAGCAAAAATTGATGTGTCAGAAGTATTTGATTTTGTTGTGGATTAATTTAGACTAGATAACACGTTGCTCGAAATCGAGCAAAACTGAAACTTGTATGTAAAAAATAAACAAAAAACATAAACAGCAAGACCTCAATCAAAGATTTACTCTAAAATAAATCATATGACTGATTATAGAAATATTAAAATATTATGATGTAAAAAATATAAAAGTAATCTACAATATTTAAATTTACATTCACTCTCATACTACTTTGGCTATCTCTTATGTACAGTAGGCGGGTGCACTCTATGCGCACGTAGATGTCAACCACACACTGTAAATTTTGACCTAATGTAGCTCAATTCCTCTCTTGACGCCAACCATAGCTCCTATTATTCTTGCATTGTTAAATTATTTCTTTGATGTGTTCTAATTTAGGCGTGTTTAAATTAGGGGCCCGAACCCAAGTCTCCGGTTGGTAGGGGTTGGTAGAGGGTAAAGCAAGTGTTTTCAGCTTTAAAAATTTGCTGCGACATCAACACAGGTAGCACCATTGTAGCGAGGGAAGACACTTCTTCTGTCTCTTATCATGTACATTACAACCTCACTTTGACTCCTCAGAGCTCTCGTCCCTACATAATGTCACAGAAAACATACTATAATGTCTGCCACAGTCTTCAAAGATTTGCAAATGGGTTTGCGTTGTGACCCTTTTTCCCGCTTTTTTTTTTATCAAATTGTTTGTTTAAATTGTGCTTAATTCTCTTTTGGTTTCTAGTGACATTGTCGTATTTACTTATATATCTATGCGTATTCAGGATCATCACCTTATTGAGGAATTAGAGGACTCACTCGGAGATAAAACGTGTCACGGACCTTAAAATTGTAGATCCCCTGAGGAACTTTCTCATCTTAATGAGCTTCGGAGCTGACAATGGTAAAAGCAGAATTGAATTAACAAACTTTATCCAAATAATTTCTGGATATAAGTCTCAGAGTCCTATTTTCGGATTGGGAGTTTCCAATAAGAACCCGAAGGTATGGTGAATTGCACAAATGAGGTAAACGAACCTTTCATTTATATGGCAACAAAGATTAAAAACTTAACTGTCTCGGCCAGTCTTTTCTTGCTTAAAAATATGTAAGCCACTTTAATGTAAACATTTAACGTTCATTTTGTCCGAGATTGGACTATCACAACAGTGGTACTACCACTATGTACCCATCAAATGTTCAATTGAGAGTCTGATGCAAGTGGTCATGTTCGCGTTCCCTCCAGCCACTCAAGTTCTTCGTCGTACTGGCGGCATCTGATTTTAAATTGAAATGAAATAAGGAAGTTAACCAAACAACAGAAAACACTATAAAGGAATTGGAATTTTGATTCACATTGTAAATTACATGATAATATGGTAATGTAACTAATGATAACTGCATAGCGAATAATCACTTTTAAACATTCACTTCATCACATCGAACTGTAACTACATGATAATCAGTAAAATACGATGTAAAGTAAATCAATTTAACCATAGACAAAATAATTAAATATTTATTCTTAAACTCTTTATTATGAACCAGACTTAGTTAACAGATTGAAACAAAATATAAATTCCAGCTTTGCTCTGGAAGTTTTAAGTCCTGCAGTCTGTGGTTAACCTTAAAACTATTTCAAACTGCGTCCATATGTTATTTGTAAACAAAGGGAAATGAGTTTGATCAAATGTCAACAGAGAGCGCCACCTTCCAAACTTTAGCCCTTTAGTGTACTTAAGTGATGCCCTTTCTTAATATTCTGAGACGTATTTGCACATCTACGTGGAAATACCTTTAATTTGACACCTCAAACGTTAAAATCCATCTAGCCGTTCTTGAGTTATGACTGTGAAAAGAAAACTGCTTGCGTATTAATATATAGATTATACATTAACATGGCATCTGGATACTTGGCTACTTGCAGTTGATCTGTTCTAACACTTTATCATGGTTGCAATCTTTTAAATTATAAAGTAAGTTTTATTTTGTGTGGCAGGTACGGGAAACATTTAGAGACGGAGGGAGATGTGGAGGCTGCTGCAGAGATGTACAAGAGAGCCGACACTCACAGACAACAAGTACCTCGGATGTTGCTGCATGACTACACAACTCTGGAGAAATACATCATCAAGTCTAGTGACCCGTATGTGATTACAATATTGTGAACCCTTTTCAATAACCATTAGGATGACATAAGTAAAAAGCTCGGAAGATAGGAATAGTCCCTAAGTTAACTTGGAATTGATTTTAGGCCTGTGTGTAACATATTTAATAAAGCAAGGGGTGGCCCGGTACAGTGCAAAAATTAACTATAATTTCTTAAGTATATCCCAGGCTCAACAATTTGAATTAGGTATATTAAAATAGTTACTACCCTTTTCAGTGCCTGTGTTCTTTAGTGGTATATTATTATTGTATATTCTTGAGTAGGGTATACACATACAACTTAAGAACACAGGCAACAAAAAGAAAATAACTACTACAGCAAAAGTACTTTTCATACAAAAAAATTTAATTGGCAAAATTAAGACTAGAACCCCTGACATCTTTGACTTAGCTTACAGTCGATTACACTACCATGTTTTCAAATAGAGTGTACTAAATGTTTTTAAAACATTCAGGATTAATAGTTTATATGTCTACTGTAGGGTTTGATGCCACGGAAATCGGACAAAGAATAAGTAATTAATTTGGAACTAAACATTTCTCGCTGATTGTTTTGAACCTGGTTAGTTTATCTAAACCGGACAGCACTAAGACATCGCAAGTCACATTTTTGTATGTGTACCTAGAGCACTGATCAAGTGGTGGGCACAATACATGGAGAGCACAGGAGATATGGAGTCTGCCATGAAGCATTATACGGAGGCCGGTGATCATCTGTCTATGGTACGAGTCATGTGTTTTCTAGAGGACTTTGACAGAGCTGCGGAAATCGCCAACAGGTAGACAATACACTTTTTTCATCATGTTGTGCTATATGATGTTGGGTTGGAAATAAAAAATGACATCCTGGATTTAGTCCTTTTACTGATGATTGGTGGATCTGCTTAAAAACTGAGATCCGACTATTTAATAAGAGGATTCTGCTACAATCTTGCGTAAATTTTTAAATCTATTTTGGCCTACTTATTAGGCTACAATGACAGTTAACATTTTGATTCAGGCTAAAGGTAGGATTATCCACTAATTTCACTTTTGTAAAGAGATTTAACCAATTTTTATGCATTTTACATTCATTTTATGGAAAGCTATGTCTGTTAGATATTTGAGTTTCCAGTTCCATTACATTAATTCATAGATAATTTTACATTTCATGATATGATTCAAAATGCAAAATTTATGTTTACTAACTCAAATTGACAAATTAGTGAAACACAATATGTTAATCTTTCAATGTATATGCAGCAATCGACAGTAAACTTGTTTATAGTTCTGGAGATCGAGCAGCCTGTTATCACCTGGCCAGGCAGTATGAGAACATGGGTCGGATACCTGAGGCTATCCACTTCTTCACTAGAGCCACAGCCTTCGCCAATGCCATCAGGATCTGTAAGGTAAGTGGCTACAAGACAGTTGGTAGTTTGAGAAACAACTATTGTTCTTTGGAATGATCTACATTAGTACAAATAAATGGTATCATCAAACAGACACATACCACACTCTTGAGTAATACCTTTGACTATAGACATTCCATCCCCATGTTAAAGTTGTAGCCAGGTTTTAAATAAAATTTGTCTTAGTTGATGTGAGCCACCTACAGATTGCGCTGATCTAAATTACTGATTTCTGCAGATTACACGATGGTTTTTACCAAATCAAAGTAATATAATGACTCATTATGAGCTATAGCAACTTTTGTGACCCAGCAACTATGTCAGTAACAAAAAATAAGGTACAAAATAGAGTTTTAGACACTAGCGCAATCTGTGACTGGCTCACACAACTACATTCTTTTTTAGTAAAAAATTGGCGACAGCTGATCCATATAGATGGGATGTCTTTAATACACAAACTACTCCTAAACACAGGCAAAATAAAATTCATTGCAAAATTTGTACTGGACAAGAAAGCGAGCTAATAAAAACGTTTTAAAAAAAAGATAACAACTATAACTGATCTTACTAAAAAAAATTAACTAGAACCTTTGATCCATGCTTGGCTTACCGTCCATTAGACTCCCTTTTAACTTGACATTAAAACTTTACTACTTTTGTTATGAAATTTATAGGTTTTTATGGCAAAACCATTAAAAACAGAAATTTCAACAAGATGAAAAACGTCTGGAGATACCACAAGCTAGTAGTACCCACATACCAAATTTCTTTTGGGCCACAGGTGTAGTAGTCTGTAGCTCTGTACACATCCACATACACACAGACATAATTTCAAAATGGTTCAGGGAGATCCAAAACAAATATTTCCACCCAAAACATTTTTACGGAAACAATTCTTTCTCTATTTGTACTATGTATAAAAGGAGAAAGTAAAATAGTTTCTTGTATAGAGAAAGGAAGGAATATCTTCTATAGCAGTCACAATTGGTTGTTAACAGGAGCAAGGTCTGGACCAGCAGCTGTGGACATTAGCCCAGGGTGCAGGTCGTCGAGAGCAGCTGGAAGTTGCTGGCTACCTCGCTCCCTCTGCCCCAGACAAAGCTGTACAGTTGTACCACCGCGCAGGCATGTTGCATCGCGCTCTAGACCTTGCCTTCAGGTCTGTACTCAGAATACCCTACCATTAAGTAGCGAAGAAAGTCGTTTTGATTCTAAATTAAGAGTCTTCCATAGTGGAAGCCATGTTGGATTTCTTCCCCATAAGAACAATGTTAACTTTGGGTCCAAATATCTCATCAGCAAATTGTCATATAATTATGGATAAGGAGTTAAATTTAAGGAATTGCGGTCCTCTAGAGATTGACTTTTTTATTTCACAATTTTTAATTTTTATAATGAATAATTGATTATTAATTAGCTTGAAATTAAGCTAATTATTAAAAGGAAATGAAAATGGATTTTCGAAATTCAAAAACCTCAGTCACGAGTCTATTATGTTAAAAATATAAATTATAAATTTCAAAGCTATATCTTAACAAATAACGCCGTTACGTGTCCACAAATGATGTAATGTTTAACATTGTTCTTATGGGGAAGAAATCCAACATGGCTTCCACTACGGAAGACTCTTAACTATAAACATTTATATCTAGGTTCTTATCAATATCGTGATAATTTGCAATTCTGTACCTTGTACATGGAGTAGACAGATGTTACCAAACTAGATCATAAAGTAGGTGTCCATTGTGATTAGTAGGAATATTTTTCTCTTTGCTTTTAGGGTGTTTATGCATTAGCAATATTATCAGTATAATATTAATAGTATAGTGAAAATACTTATCAACTAATTATTTTGTTTAAATGGGTCTGCCTCACTATTTATATTTAGACAGTACAGTACTGCAACAAAACCGCAATATACCACTCTCTTATTCACAAAACCAAAATTAGGAATTTTTACATATTCAGTTTCTTTAAACCAAAATTTATCATAAAGGTTAAGAGAGAGTAAAATTTTTTACTCTACTCACTAAACCACTCTTTTACTTAATATAAAGGCCCGGTTTCCCCAACTCATTTAAACTTTGTTTTAAGTTAAACGGCGATTTAAACTTAGTTTAACTTTGATTTGTGTTTCCCCAAATTTAAACTAGGTATTAATCTAAGTTCAAACTAAACCACCTCTCAACTTGGTTTAACTACTGGGGATAAAATAAACTGAGTTCAAATTAGTAAATTACAACAGTAACATAACCTCAAATCAAAACAAAAAGTAGGTGTTAAAACAATAATAATTGAAGCTACTTCAAATTCATTTGAACGAAAATAGGCTTGGTTTAGGGATAGTTAGTTTTAAGTTAAGTTTTATTTATATTTTAATTTATTGTTTTTATTAAGTTCTTTTTTTAGTACATTTGATTTTATTTCAAGTTAGGCTACTATTAATTAATTGCAGTAACTTATTTACCCCCTCAAATGGAAGAGTTAATAGACATTTCCGAAAAAGTAGAAGATGAAGATTATGACACTTTAGTACCTAGAACAAGAGGGCCTACTAAAATAAGGGACAGAATTGACCATTTCAATAAATGGAATGAATCTGAATTTGACAACAACTTGTAATAACTTTTTAACATAACCTTAAACAGTGATGTTATTCTATAGCTGCATTCGCACTTTGCTGTCTGCTCTACTGAGTTGTAGCGTAGCTTTGTGGTGGTTGTAGGAAACACTAGCCCAAAGGCCACCGAAGATTCCTTACAAATACACATTCAGGATTGCCAACCACTCGAATTGCCATTTATCTTAAACGAAGCCAGTAAAATGTTGGAGAAACCGAACACACATTTTAAACGGAGTTTAAAAATAAACTAGTTTATTATAAACGTAGTTTACACCATTTTGGGGAAACCAGGCCTAAATATCTATCAAATTAATTGTGTCAATATCCTCAACACCACATATGTATTGTATAGGTATGAGCAAGTTGAAGCAGTCCAGATGATCGCCTCAGAACTCAACTCTGACTCGGACAGTGAACTGTTGGTAATGTGTGCCCAGTTTTTCATTGACAAGCAACACTTTGAGAAAGCTGTCAGACTTCTAGCCATTGCCAAAAAGGTAAAACATTATGGTTTAAGATTTATTTTCTCATTTTTAGCGAATTTCCCATATAGGGAATATTAGCGAATTTCCCATATAGGGAATAAGCTATTACCGTAGTACTCATGGTAAGACCTGGACGCGGGACCGATTTTTTTTTTCGTTTTGAGGTCCCTAGAGGCCAAAAACAGAATCCGTTCAAATTCATATATATATATATATTTATATATTTATATATATATCTAATATATAAAATTCTCGTGTCACAGTGTTTGTCTGCAAACTCCTCCGGAACGACTTCACCGATCGTTATGAAATTTGGTGTGTAAATTCTGTAGGTATGCGAATCGGACGTAAACTATTTCCCGTTTCGAAATTATTAAAAGGGCTCCGCCCCAGTGGCTCTGGAGTTTCCCATGTTAACCTTACGAGAAATGGAATTAATGAATCTTAACAGCTGTTTCAATTAAACAAGTTGGTTCTGTTCTATGATGTTCAATAGCATTAAAGTTACAAGGATTACCAACAGGGTGCAGCACTATTATTTCTTTTACATTTATGACAACAGCTAATTTGCAACCAAAAGGTGAGTGAGCGTAGCGAAGGAACTTCAACCTGGAGGCGAGTTAGCGTAGCGAACGAGCTCCAACCTAAAGGCAAGTGAGCGCAGCGAACGAGCTCCAACCCAAAGGTGAGTGAGCGAAGCGAACGAACTTCAACCTGGAGGCGAGTTAGCGTAGCGAACGAGCTAACCTGAAGGCAAGTGAGCGCAGCGAACGAGCTCCAACCTAAAGGTGAGTGAGCGTAGCGAACGAGCTCCAACCCAAAGGTGAGTGAGCGTAGCGAACGAACTTCAACCAGGACGTGATTGAGCGATGCGAACGAGATCATCTTGAAAATTAAACGTAACGGTACTTTCTTTCCATCGGTCTGTCTTAGGGGAAACCTATAACTTAGGCGATACGAAGTTCGCCGGGTCAGCTAGTATATATATATATATATATATATATATATATATGTGTGTCCGTTAGCACGATAACTCGAGCAAAAATGATCCGATTTTGATAAAATTTGGTACAAACGTGTAAACCTACGTTTATTTGAACGAGTTCGCGATCCAGCATGATCGGACCATGGGAACGGGGGTTTATGGGGGGTTTTATGGGGTAAAAATAGGTTTTTCCCATTTTTGACCCAAAAAACATAAAATTTAGCAATTTCTTTCCAAACCATTTTGTAGAGCTCAAAAAAACAAATAATTTAGTATATTGAAGCGTTATTATGCGCCTAATGGTTACGGAGAAAATTCCAAAAAACTGTAAATTTAAAATTCCCATGTTATTCTTATGGAGAATAAGTAAACTGTTGTAGTTTGCTTGTTTATGAACATATTTTGATCAAATTTGGAAAATGTTTTTATTTCTTACTAACTATTAACATTTTACAAAAAAAAAAAAAAAAAAAAACAGTTTTACCCTTCCTGATGCAGCAAACCTAAGTACTTGTTATACTAATTCTATTTAAATAGGAAATAAATGTTATACAGGGCGTTTATAAAAGAATCATCAGGTTTTAATGGCGTGTACCTCACTCAATTTTTGTCCCACATTAATATTTGAAACGTATGCTTAAAAAGCATGCTTCCAAGTTTTATAATCAGCTATTCAATAATCAGTCTTGGTTTTTTCTTGGACGTGTTTGCATCATTTTCAAAATGATTACAATTCAAGGAAAGACATTTTGTGTTTTTCATTATGACTCAAGTTCATCTTTAATATCCGTCCAGTGTGAGTTTGGGGGGCATTTTAGACGGACTCCTCCTACACACCAAAGCATTTTAAGGTGGTATCGCTAGTTTAAGAAATGTGGTAGTTTATTAAAACGTAGAAGCAGTGGTCGCGCAAGAGCTCTCTTAAAAACTGAAATGGATTGGCAAATGTAACGATAATGACTTTACCCTTCTCAAATGGGTCCCTAGATCCCCTGATCTTTCTGTTTATGATTTTTCTTCCATGGGGCTATGTAAAAGACAAAGTTTATATACCGCCAAAGCCTTAAACACTTCAAGAGCTCCGTGGACGAATTCGCAATGCCGTAGAATCAATTAATCTTGCGATGCTAGCCGGTGTATTAGACAATTTACAGCATAGATTGGAAACTTGCTCCACAGGTAATGGACGTCACTTTGACAGCTTGTAGTGGTATCTATGAAAAATTTAAGAGTTCTTCTTAATGTTAGTAAATTTTATATCCGTATTTGTTTAACATTAACGTCAATAAAATGTTTTAAAACCTGATGATTCTTTTATAAACACCCTGTATTTTTAAGTAGACATTTTAGTGTAAATCCAATCAGGCAAATGGAAATTCGCTTAGTCTGCAGGTTTGCTGCGGCGGGGGTATTTTAATGATTAAGTATAACTTTATTTATATTTTATTTTATGATTTTTTAATAGAAAACTGTGTAATAAGTAATGTAAAAATAATTTGTGCAAGTAGTGACCTGGAATTACTCTTGAACATAACTACAACTCAACAAAAACTTCATCCACTATTTTCACCAATTCACGGCCATCTACAGGAAGACCAAGAATGGACAGATGACTTTGACCATAGGAAAAGCCTATCTCAAGATTAATCCGTCAAAATTTAATCACAAATTCTATTACTTGCCCATCTCCTGTTTACTGTTAACTTTATGTGTACATCTTGCAGTATGACGAGGCTATAGCGTTGTGTTCAGAGCACGCTGTGATCTTGACGGAGGAGTTGGCTGATGTGCTCACACCTCCCACTAGCACACCTGGCCGTGCTGAACTACTAGACCTTCTAGCACAATGTGCAGCTGCTCAAGCCAACTACCATCTGGCTACCAAGAAATACACCCAGGCAGGCAAGAAGGTATGTGACTGTGGAGATGAAGACATTGTGTTGATGTTTTGGCCGGTTGTATGATGAAAATAAACGTACTAGTCGAATTGAGCCTCTGACAAAGTGTGAATTAATGGATCAAAACTTTCTTAAGTTTCGGATATTTTGATATTTTGTGACCAGCAACAAAAGTTTATAGTTATTGTACAAAACTATTTTGTGGTATTAATCAAATTTATAGCGATTGACAAGTTTATTAAAAGTAGCTGAATAAATATATAGATTTTACTGGATCAACTAGTCCTTAGCTACGATTTCATTCCAGGTAAAGGCAATGAAGGCTTTACTGAAGTCTGGTGACACAGACAAGATAGTGTTCTTCGCTACAGTGTCCAGACAACAAGAGATCTACGTGATGGCTGCTAACTATCTACAGTCCCTTGACTGGCAAGCTAAACCTGATCTGCTCAAGAATATCATCACCTTCTACACCAAGGGCAAGGCTCCTCACCTGCTGGCTAACTTCTACATGGCCTGCGCTCAGGTATACAAGTCTAAGATTACTGATGTAATTGGTTATTTTGTTCTACCTTTAATCTATATCCTTGCAACATATTCTAAAAAAAAAGTAAAGAGGAAGATCTTTCAAAACAATTTCCAACGATGTGACTTTGTAAGGCCTAGATAAGAGGTGAACACACAAAATTCCCTGTCATTTAACAGGCCTTTGTGGTAGGGGGAAGGAGGGGAGGGCTTAAAGATCCTATTTTTCGGTTTTTCGCTCAAAAGTTCTAAAAAAATATGTATAGGCTACTAGCGAAATAACTGTCTTGTACAGCATGAAAGCTTATTAATTCTTAATTAAGCTTATTAATATTTATTGTGTTAGTTATTTACCATCAAAATTTAATTAAAAGAAGTAAATTTATAACAATACATAAATTGTTTTGACACTTTTAGACCACATAACTCTTGAACTATGACACCAAAAATGATTTCTTTGAAATTGTTGAAATACAGTAATCAGTTCATTAGGAAAATCCAGCAACCTATCCCTGGTTTATCAATTCGAGCTTGACCTTATTTAACAACATTACTGCCTGCCGAATGATTCATACTATTCATTCACATCAGGTAGAGGTGGACGAGTATGGTAACTATGAGAAGGCGCTGGGAGCTCTGAACGAAGCCTCCCGCTGTATCGCCAAAGACGCAGATCAGTACAGTCAGGTAGCAGAGGCTGTCAGCAACAAGATAGCACTGGTGAAGAAGTTTCTGGACGTTCGAAGGTAACCGACACAAATGTTAGTGTTAGTCAAAGTATCAGATGCAGGGCTCAACTTGAGGAAAACCTGGTAAATGGTGCTCTGGGGACTAAAAAACTATTGAGTATAATTGTGTATTAGACTGCTGTTTAGAATATTTTACTTTAAACTATAATTTCTTACTGGGTATCGTCATTCTCATTTACAGGATGTTTGACAGAGAGGTGAAGGACAAGCAGGGCTGGTCCAGTGTCAACACTACCTCAGACCTGGTCAGAACAGGGGATGTGTACAGTCTAATGATAAACATACCACTAAAGCTAAGGGACTGTACACTGGTTGTATTGTCATCCTCATTTACAGGATGTTTGACAGAGAGGTGAAGGACAAGCAGGACTGGTACAGTGTCAACTGCTACTCAACACTACATCAGACCTGGTCAGAACAGGGGATGTGTACAGTCTAATGATAAACATACCACTAAAGCTGGGGACTGCACACTGGTTGTATTGTCATTCTCATTTACAGGATGTTTGAGAGAGGTGAAGGACAAGCAGGGCTGGTCCAGTGTCAACTGCTACTCAACACTACCTCAGACCTGGTCAGAACAGGGGATGTGTACAGTCTAATGATAAACATACCACTAAAGCTGGGGACTGTACACTGGTTGTATTGTCATTCTCATTTACAGGATGTTTGAGAGAGGTGAAGGACAAGCAGGACTGGTACAGTGTCAACTGCTACTCAACACTACCTCAGACCTGGTCAGAACAGGGGATGTGTACAGTCTAATGATAAACATACCACTAAAGCTGGGGACTGCACACTGGTTGTATTGTCATTCTCATTTACAGGATGTTTGAGAGAGGTGAAGGACAAGCAGGGCTGGTACAGTGTCAACTGCTACTCAACACTACATCAGACCTGGTCAGGACAGGGGATGTGTACAGTCTAATGATAAACATACCTTTTAAAGCTGGGGACTGTACACTGGTTGTATTGTCATTCTCATTTACAGGATGTTTGAGAGAGGTGAAGGACAAGCAGGACTGGTACAGTGTCAACTGCTACTCAACACTACATCAGACCTGGTCAGGACAGGGGATGTGTACAGTCTGATGATACAACATGCCACTAAAGCTGGGGACTGGAAGTCTGCTGCACAATGGGCTCATCAGCTACGCAGCGCTCAGCCTCTTCACAATCTGGCACTGTATGTGCCTAGAGGTGGGTAACAAATTGTATTTGTATTGCAAAGTGAAAGTATTAGGTATTACTTGCTATATGCAGTAGGCCCTCTACTGTTCAGTTAAATTGCTGAAAGTGAGGGTTTTTTTCTGCATAGTCATCAGAAACTATCTTCCGTTGTGGCATAGCCTCTGAATCACAATGATATATTATAGAAATAATAGGTTAAGTTTGATTGTTTATAGCCAAGTGGTTTTTTGGACCAAGTTAATTTACCATGATTTCCAAGTCCTTGATGGTATTATTTTCAAATTTGCAGACATGGTGAATCCTCTTCAACACAGACGGAGTGAACATTGTACAAAACACAGAACACTCCCGAAAACATATAAAATCAGTGTGACCACAATTAAAAACTTGCTGAACAAAGAGGGTGCGGAACCGTTGGAAGTTTAGTGAAAATGAAACCATTAAAGTCTTCAAAGCCATGATAGTTTAACCATGGTATACTTCAAAGTAGCACAGCAAATTACTTAAAAAAAATATATTTTATAAGTACTACAGTTCTTACAAAATGTACCGTAGTTGAAAATGTCCACTCAGTCATATATTAAAGTAAAATGTTGCCTTACATATAATACAACACTACTAGCTACTAGCATTGACTAAATATACCTATGCTAGTCTTTACTCTATGTGCGACTTTTTGTTCAGATATTCTTGAAAGACTTGGTCTAGCTAACCAGACTCAAGGCAAAGAAGAAGAAGAAGATGGGCAGGAAGTGGAAGAAGAAGTAATTGTCGACATGACATAACCTCCAAAACTTGCACAAAAATATCTTTAAGTATTTTTTTAAATGATTTAGGATTAATATTAGGTTAGTAACGCCACACCTTAGTATCTTGTTATTTAAAAAGATCTCATAATTTTTTTACTGACTTTTTAGAAAATTTTTCATTTGAGAACATATAAATATTGTTTTAGTTATGTATTTCACATAAGGTACCCTCGGTAAAGTGTCTTTAAGGGAAATTAATGGTATTATAGTTTCTGTGATATGACTAATTAATTATGTTTAGGCAGAAGTGTAACACAGCAAGTTTTTGTCAATTAACTTGTTGTTATTTATTATTTAAGATTCTTATATCGTTTAGTTTTAGGATTAGCACTCAAGGCTTTAATGTAAACATCATTCCGTCCATAAAAATGTGATGTAAACTTATTTTGTCTTTAAATTTTTACCACACAAACATCATTCAAAATTAGTTTTCCACTGACTAAGTTACTGGTGCTGTTAGAAGAAAGCATTTTCTGGGTAACAAAAACACTTTTGTTAAAGAATGTGTCCCCACCTTTACAATTACTTAAACCTAATGGTATCCGCATAGCCACCTTAAGATAGGGTTATCTATCTAAAAAACAGACACAAGATTTGTCCCATTACCTTGACATTAAATCAGATCTTAAAAGTTCTTGCCTATTCTTGTTCAGCTCGCTCTGCCGGTTAATTTGAGTTCATGACCAATTTTGGCGTAGCAAATATTTTTTCTGTTTTTCCACTTTTCCGAAGATTTGTGGGGGAAAAACTATAATTTTAGAATCAAGGCTTTATTTTCTACATTTTGATAAAGGAAAATTTAATTTTCCGAGGGTACTTGGAGAAGGTAATAAGATTTACCACACACACACACCACTGGATCAGTTCCAAAAACCCAATTTGGGGTTTAAGGCAAGAGGGTTCAAAACAAATATTTCCACTGAAAACTCAAAAACACAAACATTTTGACAAAAGGATGCTTTCTCCATATAGGCCTGCTCTGTTCAGGAAGAGAAAGTAAAAAGTTCATTAGGGTGTCTACTACATTCTGGATAAAAAATTCATGGACAATTCCCGTAAATTAAAGGACACTTTGCCGTAACCTTTGTCGGTGTCATTAGGCCTACCGAATAATTTTCCTGATTTGTCAAACTGTATTAATCTTGTTATTCACTGTAGTTGTACCAGAGAGAAAAGTAAATAATAATAGATAAGAGTTAAAAATTACAAAATAGACATTTATTGAAAGTAAACAAACATAAGCCTACCTATACTTTAGGTAAAGCTTGTATAGTGTAACAGAGAAACGCAATCATTGTCTCCTGCGATAGCGACAAATATCTCCATCGGTCACGTAAACTTCATAACATAGCTTATCCGATCCAGGCCGATTAATTTGGCATGATTCGCCCTGGCACAACGTTAGGTTCTTGACTAATTTTGAAAAAACATCTTTAATGCATATTGTTACTCAATTCTTAGTACAAAATCAAGTTATGGATTATTGTATTTTCATTTGCAAAGTTAATATCGACACATAGCAATCATTAGTTGTTTATCTTAGGCTCAATTACATTTTTTTAATATACTTTACAGCTCTTTCAAGAATCAAAATACCCAGGCCTAGACCTAATTATTTAGGAGGGCCTTTATATAAACTGAGTAACAAACAATGAGGTTATAATAGCAGCAAAGTCACTATCATCATTCTAGTTCATAAGATTTAGATTGCTTAAAGCATACAACTCAATAAATAAATATATGGGAAACAAAATACCCCCGCCGCAGCAAACCTGCAGACTAAGCGAATTTCCATTTGACTGATTGGATTTACACTGAAATGTCTACTTAAAAATATAACATTTATTCTTGATTTAAATAGAATTAGTTTAACAAGTACTTAGGTTTGCTGCATCAGGGAGGGTAAAACTTTTTTTTTGTAAAATGTGAATAGGTAGTGAGAAATAAAAACATTTTCCAAATTTGATCAAAATATGTTCACAAACAAGCAAACTACAACAGTTTACTTATTCTCCATAAGAATAACATGGGAATTTTAAATTTACAATTTTTTGGAATTTTCTCCGTAACTATTAGGCGCATAATAACGCTTCAATATACTAAATTATTTGTTTTTTTAAGCTCTACAAAATGGTTTGGAAAGAAATTGCTAAATTTTATGTTTTTTGGGTCAAAAATAGGAAAAACCTATTTTTACCCCATAAAACCCCCCGTAAACCCCCGTTCCCATGGTCCGATCATGCTGGATCGCGAACTCGTTCGAATAAACGTACGTTTACACGTTTGTACCAAATTTCATCCAAATCGGATAATTTTTGCTCGAGTTATCGTGCTGACGGACACATATATATATATATAAATATATAAATATATATATATATATATGAATTTGAACGGATGGTGTTTTTGGCCTCTAGGGACCTCAAAACAAAAAAAAAATCGGTCCCGCGTCCAGGTCTTACCATGAGTACTACGGTAATAGCTTATTCCCTATATGGGAAATTCGCTAAAAACATTGAAACCTGAATAGCCAACAATATAAGACAAAGATACAGAAAATGCAATGACATAATTTGAAACCAAGCAGGCTTACATAGTGATAAAACATTAATGCAAACAACAATGCTTGTGGTTTTGTCAATTGAAAGATAAAATGTCCATAAAAAAGGGGTTAACTTACAAAATAATAAGACTGTAGATTATTTACAAGTTTAATATGAAACCATAAACAGTTTTATGGCACTAGGCACTGGCCGCGGCAAATTGAATCTTCAAGCCGAAAGTACAAGTGAAGTAAGAAGTGAAATTTAACAGCCATTATAAAGCTATTATTTTCACGATAAAATAGGTTTGGGATCTAATAATAATTACCCTAGTAATAAAAAAAGAAGTTGTAAAGGAATAAAAGTGACACAACTTTTATGAGCTAGCTGCTGAGTCAAACAGTTCTTGGAAGTACTTGACTTGACACTTGATTGTCGTGATAAAATATTAATGGTTTTGAGATTGTTAATGGGATTTTTATTGCATAATTACTCTAGTAACAAATTATGAAAATGTAAACAAACATCTGATAAACCTTTTATGTGCTCCTAACCAACTAGCAATCAATAAAATTATGGCCCATTAAAAATTTAAGGACATAGTCTGGCATTTAAGGACAATTCCCGTACATTTCATGGCCAGTAAAAATTTAAGTACAATTCCCGGTTTTCCGGTTGGTAGACACCCTGTTCATACAATCATGTTCCTTGAACGAGAACTACAGTAGTCGCAGCTAGTCTAGGCGCGCGGCCGCGCTATGGCGGGGGGTGTGGGGGGGGTGTTGTTTATTGCTCATTTCCAATAACATCTGGCCCACACGGCTCTCTGGGGTTGATCAGCGCCTCAGCGCTGTCTTCCTGGCTTTGGCGTGGGGGACGGTTAGTACACAAGGGTCCGCGCGCCCAGACTAACTGCAACTACTGTATCATGTGTATCAGATTAAGATTGATTTCTTCAGTCCACACAATGTTTATTTTAAAAACTCCTGTAAAATGAAACGTAATTAGAGATGGAAGTGTGAAAAAGCAACTACAGTGTTTTTGTGTTGCTAATTTCCCTAGCGTTCTTTCCATTTGGTTTGCAAACTTGTGTTTTAAGGCTAACTGTTGGTTCCATTGGATTTTATTGCATTCAATTTAATTTAATAAATACAAAATACAAATTTTTTACTCTTACAGAAAACAACAATTTTGCACCAATATGATGGACCTTAAAGCTCAGAATAGAAAGATAAATAGGCAACAGTTGAGGTAAAATTGAAACTACAAATAAATTTGCTGAACCGTTTATCACAATACAATTTTTTACGGTTAAATTATATTATAGTCTGAGTAGGCTAACAGGTAACAAAGTAACACGAGTTCAAATTCGGCATTTATATACATATTACAACTACATTATGCATAATATATTGTATAAAAACAAATTATATTTCAAATCCTTTATATTACTTGGCAAATAATATTTGCTAGGACTACGATCCCACTGGATCACCCTTTTCACTGACCCCCCCTCCCACCAAAAGCGATCATGAGCCGCCACTGCTTGTGGCCCGAGGAAAATTTGATACAAACCAAATTAATTTCTGAGATATTCTGTTGAGGACTCCCTGCTCTATCAAAATAAAAATTAAATTTTTAAGTCTTATAAAAGTATTCAGTTTGTATTGTACATGTAGATCTGTAGATCTAAACCTGTAAATAAAAAATAATACTTGCCCTTCAACTTAAATAGTACGTACAATCTCTTTAAATTCAATCAATATTCAAATACTTATGACTATTCCTTTAAAGGATAAAAAATAAAACTACATTTCAATAAAACTATTGTCCAATGAAAGCTCCATAACAAATTATTTGAAACACGCACATATCATGTATCTATAATTATGTACATAAAAAAAAACATTCCTCAGTAAATGTACCATGAGTTAGGTCTGATACCACTTAAAATACATTTTTGTTAAATAAAAGGAACAAAAAACAATTATTTATGGATACAAGAGAGAGATATTTCAATCCAAACTTGATCAGCAAGATACAAGTTTGATTTAATATATTTTCTAAATACAGTGGACACAATAGAAGAGCATTTAGCAGGAAGTTGGTTATTTTTAATGCTAGATTTGCAATAAGTATGTGAAACTTACATTCAATTCTATGATATCACATTTTGAAGGTAACCACTATCTTGCATTATGAATTAGTATCAAGCTTTTTTTTTACAATACTATTATTACAGTAGAGTGTGGATTTTCTAGAATAATGGGTACCAGATATGATCTGAACAATAACAAATCCAGATAGAGAGGAAAAAGAATAAAACAGGATGTCCACAGAAAATTTGTCATTATAATTTCCATGACTGACCCTTGCATAATTTTATTTTAACATAAGTGTTTTTATCTGAGATAAGATTACATTATTTGAAAACATTTAAGAATGAATCTCTTTACTGATTTATAATCATAATTACAAACAAAATGAATCATTATTTATGTATTTCATACATAAAAAAAATTAAATTAGCTCCCCGTTGACCTGTAGAGTTTACGATTTGTTGGTTTTTGTGGGTAAAGTTATTACAGAATTATTCAAAAAAACAATTTTAATTTAACTACTCAAACCTCTTGACTTAAAGAATATTAAAGTTGTGTTTGTAATTCCTGTGTTTTTATGCGTATTTGTGTCATAAAGTGAACTTTTCATAAAAAATGTGACCAAATTATTGACTGTAAAATAGATTACTTGGTAAAACTAAAAATATACTTCAATTAAATGACGGCTATAGACCCTAAACACTTTACAAAATCATGCTTCAAGGCTCACTATCACTGATTCAACACATTATCCATTCCTAGTCTCCAATAGTACAACTTGTTTACATCCTATTTGTACAGGAAACATGGTACTTAAAACAGTGAAAATATAGACTTATTATTTATATTTTCAGCTGACGAAAAACTAAATCCTACGTCGTTCACTGAGGACCGTTTCACGCAATATTTAAATACTCCGTGTCTAATGTGCTACCAGTAATATAAGGGGGGATTATTTTAAAGTTCTGTCCGTCTTCTGATGTGAACTCTAATGTAGAGATTGTTTCGTCTGCTATGTCGTGTCCTACAATCGTGTTGACAGGTAATTCAAGATTAGCAGACGACAGTTCGGTGCTCAGTGGTTGTCCGTCCGAAGTAGTTATTTGCACAGGGATGATTTGTCCATCCTTAGTCGTTACTTGGAGGTTCTGTCCATCCGTTGTGGTTATCTGGATGGACAAAATCAACTTTAGTTTTCAATTCAATGATTTTTTTTTATTTAATACCAATAAAATGACAAAGGGCATTATAACATTAAGCTACATAAGTCTCATAAAAGGCTCGTCCGTAGCATTTCTTGATTTAACTTGAGCGTCTTTTCAATGCACCACAATGAGTCAGCCATAATTTATTAGTTTTCCCTTCCCAAACAGTAACACAGTGAAACAAAAAGAACTTAAAACTTGCCCTTCTAATGTTTAATATATTTTTCCTACAGTTACCTAACAATGTATATGTTCTCTCACTGATTTGAGAAAGCAAAGTGGCCAATTTGTTCATCAGTGAGACAATGTTAACATTGTCTCACTCTAATTACTTTGTCTCACTCACTCCAGATTTGCAGCGTGAAGGCACATAATAGTGAGCGTGTAACATGCAGACAAGGTCGTATGCACGCGAAATACGTTGGCAGCACTGGCTGTAAATCAGCTGGTCAGCTGTTGTACTGTTGTATCATTATAATGTCATATTAAAAGTTCACTTCTGTGTAAATGTCACGTTTCTTTACCAATTTATTTGTTTTATGGTAACTGTAGGAAAAATATAATGTGCAACTCGAGTACAAACTGCAATTGCCTCACTCGAGAAACCATTCTTTGCTCGCCTACGGCTCGTGAGTAAGTATTTCTCTCGACATAATCATAGACAAAACAGTTTATGATGAAGGTTGGCTTAAAAAAAACTAGCCGAGGCTATTTTTAGTGATGGTTGTAACCTGGTTGTGGTAGGAAAATCAATCTTTTTGGTAAATCTACGATAAACAATTTAAATTTATTTAGAATTATTAAATTACTATTTTTATTCACCTAACAAATGTCCTAAACAAACATAATCTTGGGAAAAAAATATTGCAGCATTTGGTATCAATAACGAACGTTTTTTGAAATTTGAACCCCAATAAAAAGCACAATTTGTGCACCATAACAATGCAAACTACAAGTGTTTATCTATAGCCTACTCCAAAAGAATAAAATGGGAATTTCAGTCCCGGGTCTAGGTCTCACTATACCATCTACCAAAATTTGCTAATACAGTACTAGATGATAAATTCACTACAAATTAGATTTCAAATCCAGTTGTGTAATTAGCCGCACAATACTTAGTTATCAATAGTAAAACACTACAATACTTACATAGTTATAATAAATGTTAACACCTTTATACAAACTTTAGGTTAGCATAGGATTGACGAGGAAAGGAACAGGTCAGGTGTTTTCAAAAACCTCTTTATCATCTGTAAATTGACAAATGAATTGTACAAAACAAATGGAAACATGTTATAAATTTACTTGAAAATTAACCGTAACATTAATTTGTAGTACGGTACAAATATTTCCAAAACAATGTTTTATTGTTTTGTCCACTTATTCACTTGGTAGCACCTCTGAGAAAAATGATAGAATAAGTGGGTTACTCCAAAACCCTAATAGATGGCCAATTCAAGATTGATTTTTTCAATGCTTATAGTAGGTACTTTTTTGTAAGGGTAACAAGGGGGTTGTAACAACATCAGGGGTTGTAACAATCCATTGGTCTTGTTACTTTTGAATATTTACATGTTGTAAGAAAGCATCATAAATAAATAACCTGATGGCAAATTGCGACTGGGTCAAGGAATTGAACCCAGCAATCTTTAAAACTTAACTTGTCAAGTTAACTTTGTGAAAAAAAGGTTTACCCTTAACTGAAACAAGAAAATATTATTGAAACTATTTATTTATTTCTGAAACAAAATGATATTTTGTTTTTCAATAAACAAATCATCATCACAATGTCTGTAACATCTTCTAGACACAGTTTTACCTTTAGATTGTTTAAAAAGTCAATGGTTTTGTTGGAGATACTTTATTAAATTTTTAGTATTAGGCCTATTTGTTCCACAGTTCATTTCTTGCTGGGAGTGTTGAAACCTCAACCCACTTTCTTAACATTATGTAGACTCTTTGATGCTTGGATTCACTTAAGTAGCACTTTTGTTAGTGATAAAACAAAGGTAACAACTTTCGAATACTGCTACAAGTAGTGTAGTGTTTACCTGAAGTGAGCTGCCGTCCTGCATGGTGAACTGTAGGGGGTTGCCCTGGTCGTCTGTGACTTGTAGCGGCTGGGTAGGCAGAGTGATGTTGTCATTTTGTAGGGTCACGTCTCCTCCCATCAGGTTAGGCAGGATGAACTTGGGAGTTTCCTGAACATAAGTTATAAGGTGATTAGCCTACTTTGTTAAATTTACATTCAGTGGCGATTCAAGGTGGGCGGGGGGGGCTGTAGAGAATAAACCCCTCCTCCCCCGCCAATTGGACCCTGGAAGTATAAATGTAAACATACATTTTGTCATAAAAAACGTAACGGAGGTTTTTGGACTAAGCTCTAGATGTTAAAAATTACTTTAAAAATAGCAAATTTTCTGGGAAAGGACCCCCAAACCCCCTTTTCTGGTATAGAACACCCCAGTTAGCTGGCCCTTGACAAGATCCTAGAACCGCCACCACTCAAAACAGCTACATTCCTTAACACGTTCGCTGCTGAGCGCTAGATGCCGGGACGGCGCCAGTTGCTGAACTACGCTCGGCCGCTGCGTGACATTGCCACCAATACACTGAATTACAGTAAAAACAACAGTAGTTATACTGGATGGCAATGTTCTGCAATAAAACTGGCTTTGGATATAGTACTAAGTGATTCTGATAGATAGCAGCACTACCCAGGTTACAGTCGGTAAAGTAGTGTCGCTATCTAGCAGGAAAGAGGTAAAACAAAGCCCTGTTCCAAACGACCCTGGTGGTGATTTGGGAAACTATATTTTTTATTGTCAGAAAAGTACGTCCCCACGAGCTGCAAAGAAATATAGAACGCTTGTGACGTGCTGGCTTATCCATAGCAACGTTAAACAACAATGAACGGTGACGTTCTGGAACGTTCTTAGCTCCTGGCGCCGTGGCCCGGCTGACGTTCCGGAACGTCCGTAGCAGCGAACGTGTTAATCATAAAAGAGATAAGTTTGTACAAATTAGTGATGTGGCAATACCAAAATTTGTCAATTCTCGATACTGATACCAAAAAGTCAATCCTTGATACCTATAATTTGTTTTTACACAAAGTAATTTTGTTTGTCAAAAATAAAGCAGCAATAGAAAATTTTAACTGGCCAACTCAAATTAAAACCCTAGTAAACATTACATAAATACCATATCAAAGGTAACTAAATATCTTGCAAACAAATATCAAAAAGAAAATTTTATTACAGCAAGAGGTCTGCGAGCCTGTAGTTTTCGATCAAGCTGAGCTTGAGTTAATTTCGTGATCATCCCCCACAGTCGTGGAGACATCTTCATCGTATTCCGCAGTAACTGCAAAATCCTGAATATCTTTCTCTGTCATGGAAAAATATTACTGTCTTCTGTAGTCACAGTAAAATCCTGAATACTGCTCAGCGCAAATGGAACCAACATCTTCGTCACGGCAAAATATTGAACATCTCCTGCAGTCACGGGGGCGTCATTATCGTATTCCGTAACTGCGGCCAAATCCTGACTATCTCCTGCGGTCTTGTTGACATCATTATTGTCTTCTACGAAAAACCCTTAACATATCCTGCGGTCACTTGATCATTATTGTTTTCCATGATAACGGACGCAGTCATGGAAAGATTATTGTTGTCATCCACGTCTGAACTTTTAAATCACTTGTTCTTCACGTTCGTGTCGGGTATCAGTATCGATTCTTGACTGATTCTCAATACCGATACCAAAGTCCAAGAATCGTTGGTACCAACAATCTACAAATACCTATTAAAAATAAGTCACCTTGAGTTTGACAGGTGCAGTCTCAGGTACAATCTCCTCGTTGTCCTGCTGATAGGTGACGTAGAAGATCTGCTGAACATCGTCACTCTGCTTGAGACTGTCCTTGTCAGCCAACACTGTATTCTCCTGAAGATGTGACTGTATGATGTTCCATACAGTGAGATCCACACCTTCAATGCCCGACTGTTCCTCCTCCACGACCTTCACTTCTCGAGCATGAACCTTCAAACAGACCAAGGCAACAACTGCTAAAAAATATCCATCAAAAATTTTAGTGGAAAAAGTCAGACATGTACTACACATGGTGTTCATCTTACAGAGAAGTTATTGGTTTTTTGTTAATAACAATACTGTATAAGAGGTTTCTAGAGATTATTAGATAACAGGAGTTGGGGTACAAACTTTCAAGATATTTTTTACAGATTAAATTTTAAATTATGTTTGTGGTGGCAAACTGAAATCACATGCGTAGTTGTAAGAATTTTTTTTTTTTTTTATTTGTGGGGATACTAATAAAACACCAGTTTTATATAAGTAGTATGAGGGATAAACTTGCCTGTGCATTCCTAATCTAATAAATAGGCACGAACCTAGGATTGTTATAGCCTACATATTACTTCATGCTAAGCCTAGTGGTTGTGGCATTATCACTTAGATAAAAACCATTGGTGATTAGGCAGGCTTTGAACCCAGGACCTCAGTTACCAAAGTCCCTCGCTGTACCACTATACCAGCTCACTCTTCTGAGCGTTAACTATACTAACAGTAGTAGTATATTACTATATTAACTACAATACTCTCCAGTTAGTTTGCTTAACGTTTTTCCAACTATTTTGTTTATTTTGTTGTATATTGTTTATATCATAGGAAAGCTTTTCTTCTTTTTGGGTAGTTGAAATGTTGCTGATTTTTTAAAATTTAAAACAGTTCAAACTGACAAAGTATTTACCTTTTTGTGTTTTGTGAGATTTGAGCAATCGGCAAAAGTCTTGCCACAAATTGTGCAAGAGTATGGCTTTTCACCTGAAATAGAAATATAGTAGGTTAAAACCACAAAAAATAAGTTTAAAGCAAAGTTACATGGTGAGGTTTACAGTAAATTGGTAAATTAAACACAAAACAATTAGAAAGTAAGCATCTTCACTTTTAAACTAAACCAAAAATAACCAGAACATAGTAAACAAAACCTCTTATACTAAAAACAAAAAAACCTTATCCTCATTACTCCAAAATTTCAAAAGAAAACACCTATTGCGGAAAATCTTATTTGAACCACACTAACAAGAGATCCCTGTTGTAAAATACAAAAGATTTAAAGATTACACAAATTGAAACATTTTCCTCTGTTTTTTGTAAGGAGCTTGACAAGCTGTTTGAGAAACGGGTTATAATTAAAAACATAACTTTGGTTTAAGGAACGACATGAATGGAATTCTTCACAAAACGGAAACATCAATGTTGTATATCGAGTAGAAATTGTCTTCCGTCTTTAGTCACAAACTCCAATCTTCATCTAAGCTTATTAAACTCCACCTTTTTCAAAACAATCCTTTATAACTATCCTTGAAGATTCAGTAAAATTTAACCTACTCAAAATAAAAGCATGCAAACAACTATTTTTCTACAATAAACTAAACAAATACCCACCCGTGTGCAGCCTCATGTGTTTCTTGAGTGCCCACTGCTCAGGAAAGTCTCTGTTGCATACGTTACACTGGAATGGCTTCTCTCCCTTGTGTCTGCGAATGTGACACTTCCAAGCGTCCTTGTGTAGGAACGACTTTCCACAGAACTCACACTTCCACGGACGCTCTCCCGTGTGTCGCTTCATATGCAGCTTGTACTGCGCAGGTAAAGACAATTTGTTATTACACAACGGTGTGGTAATTTGACTGTGGTACAGTTGACTGGGTAAAAATTTATTGTGTAAACAATTCAAGAGGAACCCTGCGATGGAAATTACTGGGAATTCTTATAAAAATGGGAAAATTTGAATTTTAACTAAATTAACTCAAAATAACCTGTTTACATTTGTGTTCTCTTTTTAAAATGTACACACAATTTAACGTGGTTTTTGTTTTCAGCTCTTTCTAATTTTACTTTGTGGGGATAAACAAACTCTTTCACTACTATTCAACTATCCTCAGAAAAAATCAGACTAGAGGTCACCCTGTGGTCAAAACCTCTCTTTCATTTGTTTTGATTTTCTGTTTATATTTTGTTGTTATTTTGTCTCCAGCATGGCAACCCATAAGGCCCATGTTAATTTTTCTATTTTATTTTAATTTAATTTGTTGCGCTTATTTTTTAGTCCATTTTAATTTATAAAGGGATTCTGCGCTTCTACAGGCAAATATCTTTCTAACAGTATGTGTAGATTTTCCTTACAATGCACACGAGCTGAGAAAAAAGGTGCCCAAGAAACATGCTTGTCTATTAATATATAGGACTAAAATCTGCTATTTCTTTAACCAGTACCTCTTATTAAGGTCAATAATCAAGGACAGCTGGGCCCAGTTTTGAACCATTAAAAATCTACAGACTTTTCCCAGGATTGAACCAACAACACGACAACATTCTCATTACTATGCAAGCACTAGATTGCACATCCTACACACCAATGGAAATCACTCCCTCTAAGAACAGTTGTGCTTGAAACACTTTATGTGTTTACTCCACCTGAGACGATGTGGTGAATTTCCTGCTACAGATGTTGCAGTCGAAAGGTTTCTCCCCTGTGTGGATCCTGTAATGTTCCTGGAGGTTGCCCTTCTGTGAAAACATCTTCTTGCAGACAGTACACTGGTACGGCTTCTGACCTGTGAAAGAATCAAGGTTAACATACCGTTGGTAGAGTGTGTATTTTTACTTCGTCACACAAACTAAATATTTCAATTATTTTTTAATATTTTTCTTGGTCTAAAGATTTAGATATTAAATATAAGTTTATAAATTTTAATCTTCCTTTCTTACAATTAAATTATAAATTACAACCGTCTTCCCACTTCCGCTTGGACCACAAATAACACATCCAATATTGGTAGGAAATAGACCCAACTTCTTTGGTATATTTTCCTTAATATATGTGTTATTTTAAATTTGTGTTTTTGTTGAATAAAACAATAAAAGACATTTTTTATGTAATAAAAATGGTATGAAATGATAGAGAACATGTAAAAAAGGGCAAAGGTTTATTCTTAAAGCCCTACAGGGGTCGAGGGTTATTGAATACTCTCATAAATAACCTTCCATTCCCACTTCACATGATCGTATCGGTACTGTGGGCCTGGAACTAATATACGTGAAAATCTAGGCAAAAATGTACCTCCAAAAAATAAGCTAGACTCTTATTGTAAAGAGCATGACATATTCTACATGAATAATCCTGATATTTTAAGAAAGATATTTCAAAGGAAGGTTGGGGATTCAAGCATGGTGGGAAACTAAGTAACGTGTTTTAAGCACCAGGTGTAGTTCAAAGACCAAAAAGAATATTTGAGATGGGCCAGATAAGTAGAAAAATAGGGTAAATGAAGCTATGATAAAATAAATATGGAAGAAGACCTCCTGTACTTAAACATGAGATGGAAAGAGGAAGTATAGCCAAAAACAAGGATTTTTTGAGAGTAGAGACCTGAAATTTTGGTAAAAAATACTCCCGATCTTCAGGTGGGATTATATTTAGTTCGGAACTTTCCCAGGATGGGTTTTATCTACTGTTAGTGGTTGCAAATAACAATGATCTTTGTTATAATGGGAGATGTCCAAGGATTCGCCACTATGGTAACGATTGTTCTGTGATTGTGGGAGATAGTAATGATTGAACCATAACCACCACACCACCACTTACAGTCATGAAGTAGAACAGTCAAATAGAGACTGATCTTATTTCGTCATTATTTCCATTTACAAGATTTTCCTTTGTTTTACAGAAGCATGATCCCATTCTGTTTACATCCCAAAAAAAAATCCCCTCCTTTTCACATCTTGAAATCCTAATGCTGTTTTGTTCACTTTCTTTCTGAAATAAAAATTCAGTCTTGTTTTGAATTGAAAGTACAACCCCGCCACTGACCAGAATGCCACCTGTAGTGCAGTGTGAGGCTGGTCTTGTGAGCAAACTGTTGTCCACAATGTTCACATTTATGCTTCTTCTCCCCAGTGTGTGTCGCGTGATGGTTCATCAGGTTGGCTTTGGTCTTGAAACTCGCTAAGCACACGTTGCAAGTGAATGGCCTGCAACATCAATCAACCTAATATAACAGACAATGAAATCAAAAGTAGGCATACATAGCTTTTATGGAAATTGGCATGCCATTGATTGACTTAACGTCTCTTAACGATGTCCAGTCTGTGCTCAGATGTAACTTATATTTTGTAAATACAATTTCAATCTATACATTTCTTTATATTTGCACATTAATAAAAAATATTCTCTTCAACAGTCTGTTACAGCAATAAGTATAATTCTTAAAAAAAAAATTTGTAAATAAAGTTGCAAAGTGCATTTAGATTTGTAGATTACTTGAGTAGTTTAATTTTGACCTCTCTTGACCTTGCATTAGCTCGTCCACATTGAGAGAACGTATCAAGCAAGGCAAGGGGCAAGCTGGTACAGCGCCCCTGTAAGTTGTGTTAGTAAATATTTTTTTTTTATAAGAATATTTTCTGAGGCAAAATAAATGGCCCACCTTATATCCGAGTGGACCAGCTGATGTCTTTGTAACAGCTGTTTGTGTTTGAAGCTTTTACCACATTTGTTGCACACAAAGCGTCTGCCGTTGTTGTGTTCGGCTTCACGATGGTACAGCACTGAGCTCGGGTGGTTCAACTTCTTACCACACAGATTACAGGGGTAGCCCTTCTCCCTACTGCCGACCTGGGACCACTTTTCTCTTTTGCGGACTTGAATGATTTTGGGCTTCTTCTCCTCACTGCTGATCTGAGAGGGAACAAATATTTTTTAAAGAGACAATTTAAATTGTTAGTTAATCTAAAATTCAAAACAGTGTAAACATTTTTCATCCAAATATTTGTGCTTGAGGCATTTGGTTGTCAAAGGCTTTGTTAACATTCTGATAACAATAAATGCTGGACAGATTTGTGGATAGACGAAAGACCAGAATTTGATGCCTCTCTAATGTTTTTCTATTTTTTTCAAGGTAAATTTTACATTGGACGCTTTAATCATTGGTTATAATACCATTGAGGACAAGCAGTGGTCTACAAAACTATTTTTTTATATTTAGTCATAATGATTTTAAAGTTGGTCAAATTTAGGAAAAGTTTAAAATTTAGTTTAATTTTAGGAAATTAAATTAATATAGGAACACACCAAATCAACTGTAGCTCGGCTCAGCTGTTTTATAAGGGGTTTTTAAATTTACAAAAAGCTTCTTAATATAATGTTGCACAGCAGAAATTTCCCGAATATTTTAAAATTTCAATTTTATCCTACCTAACTTTAAAGTACCAGCCTAATGAATGTTTCAAACAACAAAACAATTTACCTCTTCATGAGTGAGTAAATGAGTCTTCAAGGTTGCTCGGAAAGCAAAGCTTTTCTGGCAAATGTAACATTGGTAAGGCTGCACTTCTTCACTGTGGACTTCAGCCAAATGATCCTTAATGGACAAAATCAATAAATCACTCATCAATATTGTTGATGTACTAGTTTGACAGCAACACGTTTCAACAATTTATTTTTAGGGTAAAACAATCAGGTCATCATCTAATCCAAGCCTAAGCCTAACGTGGTGACGGTAGGCTCCCACAGTCACAACAGACTCTCGATAGTGGTCTTCAGGAAATGAACGCATTGTTGAATTATAAAAAAATAGTGGTTAAATTGAATGGGTTTAACTGTAGTTGAATCGGATGGGTTGGATTGTAGTTGAATCAGATGGGTAGATAGGGGATCGGATGGGAGAGGTCTTTGTTGTGGGGGTGTGGTTTTCCCTGAAGCCGGAATGCTGCAAATCATGCGAAACATCACCACTAACTTTGAAAACCAAACGGCGTGGCCATCTTCCGAAGACCACAATTCATCGGACTACACCTAACAACATTTTATTTGTTAGAGGAAATAGCACATTTTATCCTAAAGGCAACAATGTAAAAGTAATAAGTTGACAAATAAAACATAATAAACGTTGACAAATAGAAACTGAAAACATTTCCAATATTAATTAGACATACAGCAGAGTCCAAATAGTCCGAAGATCTGCCTAAAGTGAACCGGACTTGTTCAGATTTGTATCCATTAACTAAAAGGAGTAATTGATCAATTATTTTCAAAGGAGAAGATATTTTTATTTTGTACTTACAGAAACAAACCAACTTCATATTATACCACTTGTACTGATATTAAAAATAATTACTAACAATGCAAGTTACTTCTAGAATCCACACATTAATATCATCTTCGAGTTTAGTTTCCTTCATTACTTTGTTTTTCCTCCCTTTTGGACAAAACTTATAAATCTACGTGTGTTTCAAAAGTTAGCAACTGTACCAACTGGTAGATTAGAAAATATAGATAGAAAACCATTCTTTTCTTTTAGGAGGTTGCCGGCCTCTTAACCTTGCTTTTTCCTGTCCACATAGACTATAACTACCCGTGCGTAGAATGTATCCAGCAAAGCAAGGGGTGAGCTGGCACAGTACGAAGGTGAACTGTACTGATAAAATGTTTGTGGCAGTGACCAGGATCTGAACCCACAACATCTCTGCCTTGGGCCCAAAGTCTGTGACGTTACCATCTAAGCCACCGACTCACCATGTCAATCTAAAATTTACTGACAAATAAAGATTTCTACCTCGTAGCCTTGTTTAGAAGGCAACACTTGTTCACAGTGTTTACAGCTGATTTCTGAAGACTCTTCTGTGGTTTTCTCTCCATTTTCTTCGTCAAAGTCTATTATATCTACAACACAAAATACAAATTAATGATAATACAGTAATCTTAACTGATAAGGAGAACTTATAAATGCCAAACCTAATCTATATAGCCTATTTAATATACTGAACATGGCAAGTTTGTTCCCGATAATGGCTTTTTGTTTTTAAAAAGCCTTACTCCACGTATTATATATCAAAACACACGTCTGGGTGTTTGATTTGCAAACTGGCTTTAGATTTTCGATTCAAGCCATAAAATTCTAGAGAAACGCAAAAAACACTTGTTTACATTCGTTTGTTAACAATGTAAACGAAGGCTTTACTTGTTATACATAATTTAAATATAATGGATAACGTATAGCGTTCATTTATTTATTATAACGATCTTGAAACCATAAAATATAACATTTGACCTAACAGACATGCCTTAATTAATTAAAATGAAAACCGATTCAAAAAATTACATTTTGAATCTAAGGAAGTAAAGCAACTATTGTTAACGTCCATTTTTTACCATCCTCAAATTTTAGAGACATCCGAGCATAAGGCTTTGTAGAGAAAAACAAGTAAAACAAATGTTTACTTGTTTAAAATACCTACTAAAATAATTACTTGTAATAGATAATAAATCGACCTACCTTCGCCAGTGTGACCCGATATCTTCTGATGTAATTCAAAGTTTTCCTTTGTCGAGAATCTTTTTTGGCAAGTTGTACACTGGAACTTAACTCCTTTATGTATAGACCTGAAACCAGTTAAACCTTTTACTTGGCAAGCTTACAAAGCAGTGAAGATCCTCATCAACTTTGGGCTAGAAATATTAAAATGTTATTTTATCCTCACCTGCTGAAACAGTTATAGGCCTACCATAGAGACCACATATCATCTGCCATAGAGGCATTTTGTCATGATGTTCTAGCATTAGGCCTACACGGTTTTTAACTTACATTAACGATTGAAATATTCAAAACGCCTTTCACTGATTTTATCTGCCACATCAGCAGACAACCAACTAAATGGGTTGATTGATGAAAAATGTGATAGCCTAGTGAACTAAACTTTTTTATTGTATCGTAAAAAATCAATAAGTAGCAATTTCACAGTAATTTGCCAAGTTTTAAGTCTTGAAATTAAGATCTTTGTTATTTTCACCAGAGTTATAAAATGCAAGGATAATATACAAAGCATTAATATTTTTAAAATCCTGGTTTCTAAAACAATTTTTTTTTTAAATAACTCATAACAAGATGTTAAAATATATTTTTTTAATACACCCATTCAGGGCCGTACCTAGGCTGTGGCAAAGGTGGCCCCTGCCAAGGGCGCAGGTTAGACAAGGGCGCAAAATGGGCGCCGGTTGGGCAAGAACGCAAAATGGGAAAGAGGGACAAATTTTACTTTTTTTATGAGCTAGATGAAAAAAATAGAAATTGACGTTTTACACTTATGTTACGGTAGCTATAATAACGGTTATATGAAATTATTTTATGTTTTTTAATGTAATTTATTGATTTATTAACAATTATTTATTACAATGTCAACCATTGTAGTTGTACAGAAAAATGGGCGCAGGGACGTTCTCACAAGGCCCGGTGGTAAGCATGACACTATTTTCGTTTTAAAGTTAATAATTCTAAGTTGGCAACGCTGGGCGTATTATTGTTTGATTTGCAAGCCTGTCACTTCACTTGCCAGTTCTCCTCCACACGCCAGTCCACTCAGTCCAGTCCCAGTGCCACTTTCAGTGCTAAGCCTTTATAGTCTACTTAGCCTATGTAGGCCTAAACCGTATTCGTATTGCGTACATCGCTTCACTTCATCCATCAGATCTCACTCAATTAATTAGGTAAGATTTGTTTGAAACTAATTACATTGAATAACCCTTTAGCCATAAGTTCCGTTTTAGCTTTTGGTGATTATAGGCCTAGAGCAAAACTACTGCATAACCTTTAACCTAATCTTAGGCTTATATGTCATGCCATCAACAACATCTGCCTTTCTGCCTTGTTTTTCTGGAGATTAAATTAACTGCCCCAACTTTATACTGATTGCAATAAGCCTACTCGCATATTCCGACTGCCTATTTCCTCTCTATTTTCTGTAATACTTCCATTCCTTGGTCCGTTTGTAGGTTATACTATAGTAGTATAAGTGCTTGGGTGCTGCTTACAAACTCTCACTGTTGGCCTATACAAAAGAACGAATTATTGGCTAGTTTGTATGTTCTATAACAATGGGCTATGTTTGTTATTTGTATTTGTAAATTTTCCCTTAAAATCCACGTCTAGCAAGCTTAGAAATCAACTTGTCCCGTCGTTTTCCCTCCAATTGGCCATGGGACCCAGGGAGTGCTGCTATCTGTGGACGCTTTAGCGAACTACGTTGACTCTCGTCGTAACGCAGTACAGTAGTCGCAGTTAGTCTGGGCGCGCGGACCCTTGTGCACTAACCATCCCCCACGCCAAAGCCATGAAGACATTGCTGAGGCGCTGAACAACCCCAGAGTGCCGTGTGGGCCAAATGTTTTTGGAAATGAGCAATAAACACTCCCCTCTACACCCCCCCCCCCCTGATTGTATGTCTTAAGTTTATGCAATTCATTTTACTGTTCTGTAAAATTCTGGTTAAGAGCCCACTTCCTGATATTATTTTTTTAGTAAAAAATAATATATATTTTTTGAATTGGGGAACAATAAAATGCATTTATGGATGCTATAAAGCATCCTTGACAATCTACAAGAATTGGTATTGCCTAATAGGATTGGTGACGATGGTACAAATATGGATTCTCTATTCTATTAGGAATTGAATTTTTTTCAGAAATGGGTCCAAAGAAGAAACTTTCTGGATGTCAGTTTAAGAACATCCGAAAAGAAAAACAAAAAGAGGACAAGAAGCTAGCATCAGCACTTGGTGGCTGGCTTTTAAATGAAAATAAAGAAATGAGAAAAAAAGATACACCTTCTCAAATACAAGAAGAAGTTAAAGAAGAAGACATCAAAAATAATGAAGGCGAAGAAGAAGAATGCAGCATGATACCTTTATCAGAAGAAGGTGAAGACGACGACAACCGCAGCTACATAACTCCAACAATACCAATGGACGTTGACACAAACCTCGCTACTTTAGAAGAAGACTGTGGTCCTCAGCTGGAACCATTCACAAAGAATGAACGTTTGCGTGCTGCTGTTGAGGAAGAGGAAGGGTGTAGTTGTACGCCTACAAATGAAGGCAAAGAAATTGAAATAATCTACGACGACCCCAAGCAATGGCCTGAAAATTTTCGATCTGATGCAGTACGTTGTAAACTTGTTGAACGAGGTCCTCAAACTGTTGACTTAAAAAGCTTTAAATTTCCCTGTACAGATGATGGAAGGCACTTTTCCCGCAATTGGTTTTTTAAAACTATAAGAAATGGTGAAACTGTACAAAGGCAATGGTTGTTGTATAGCCAATCTAAGGATACACTGTTTTGCTTCCCTTGTCTTTTATTTAAAGACGATAAGTCAGCTTTCTCGGATGTAGAAAAGGGGTTTAATGATTGGAAACACCTCAATCCAACACTTCACAATCACGAAATTTCAGCATCTCACCTACAAGCATATGGCGATTGGAAAGAACTAGCTACCCGATTGCAAACTGGGCGTACAATTGACGCAGAGAACCAAAAATGCATAAAAGCAGAAGCTGAAAAGTGGCGCAGTGTTCTCAAGTGTATCGTAGATGTAATTCTTCATTGTGCCAGGAATAACTTACCATTGAGAGGGGGTTCTGACTCTATAAATGACAAAAATTGTGGTGTATTTTTAAGTACTCTGGAACTCATCAGTCACTACAATCCTCAGCTAAATGAGCATATAGCTAATGTAAAAAGTGGAAAATATGTCCCAAGCTATTTCTCTCCAAAGATACAGAACGAGGTTATTGAGATTTTAGGTAAAAAGGTTAGGTCTGAAATATTGCAAGATATCAAAAATGCCAAGTACTTCTCAATTATGTTTGACTGCACCCCGGATACAGCACGTTTAGAGCAGATGAGTCAAATAATTAGATATGTAAAAATTGTGGATGGAGAGTGTGTAATAGAAGAAAGCTTTGTTGACTTTATCATAAGTCATCAGAAAACTGGAAGAGGTTTATCTGAAGAAATATTGGACAAGCTGATGAACGACGGCTTAGATATCCAGAACTGTCGGGGGCAAGGCTTCGATAACGGTGCAAATATGGCTGGAAAATATGAAGGTGTCCAAGCTCATATATGCCAGCTGAACGACCTTGCCAAATTTATTCCTTGTTCAGCTCATAGCTTGAACCTAGTTGGCGTGCACGCAGCAGAAGTGTCAGTTCTAATGATGAATTTTTTTGGAAAAGTGTTGGAGTTTTTTAATTTCTTTAGTAGTTCTACAATACGTTGGGAAGCCTTACTTGATTGTGTAAAAACTACCCTGAAGAGACATTGTGAGACAAGATGGTCTTCTAGACGACAAGCCGTTACAGCACTGCAGAAGAACTTGCCATCAGTATTTAAGGTGCTACAAAACATGGCCGATAGAAGCAACAATTGGAACTCTGACACTACATGTGGTGCTACAAACCTGTTAAGACAAATTGATTTCGAATTTGTATGCCTCCTAGAGATTTGGACTGATGTGTTGATCAGTTTGGACTGTACCAACAAATCACTACAAGGAAAGACTGTCACTCTTGATGTAGCATCAAGTTTACTATCTGGCTTGGCAAAACAGATTCAACATCTACGAGAACAAGGTGTACAAAAGTACATAGACAATGCCAAACTAATCTGTACTTCTATGTCCATCGACAGCAGTTTTGCCGAAAAACGACTAAGAAGGGTCAAGAAAATGTCTGGGGAGATGGCTGAAGATGAAGCGCATTTAATTAGCTCTGAAAAAATCTTTGAAAGAGAGTGCTACTCTGTATTTGACAAACTTATGAGTGAAATGGATAACAGATCCCATATTTATCACAACATTTCTTCTGACTTCAGTTTCTTGTCTGGCAAATCTTTAAGTAGGAACTCTGTATGTGACCTTCAAAAATGTGCAGCGGACTTGGGTGTCAAATACAGCAGAGACATTGACACTTTTTAACTAGTAAATGAAGTAGCTGCTTTTAAGTTCCAGGCAAAAGAGCTTGTAAAAGACTTGGAGAAGGCATCTCACTTGGATCTCTTAAAGGCCATTTCAAAATACGAGTTGAAAGATGCTTATCCAAATGTAGAAATATCCTTAAGGATATTTTTAACGATGCCTGTCAGTGTTGCATCTTGCGAGCGTAGTTTCAGCAAGCTCAAGATAATTAAAAACTACTTGAGATCGAGCATGTGCGAAACTCGACTGACAAATTTGGCAATTTTATCAATCGAGTATGACAGAGCATCCAAAATTGATTTCAATGAAGTAATCAATGAGTTTGCTCTCGTTAAAGCAGGGAAAGTGCAATTATTGTAAATATTGATGAAGTCAGAATACAGTTGTAAATATTAAAACTTATGTAAATAACTCTGTACAAATTGTACTTATTGTAACTTATTAAATTCCACAAAAAGGGATAGGCCTACTTTTGTTTACTACCTTAATATACATTGTGGTGAAATTGGGTTAACGGATCATTATGTTTTATAAAAATATATTGTTTAGCCAATCATTTAAGCATAAACCATAAAAAATCATTATAGTGTAGCAAAAAGTTAAATTTTCAATGTCAAAATCAGAATTATTTCTTGATGTTTTAAGAGCCAGAATTGCTTAAAAATGTGTTTTACTGATGTTAAAATTTAAAATTTTTTCCCGGGGGAGGACCCCCGGACCCCCCGCCTTTCAGGGGGGTATTCCATACCCCCCAGACCCCCCGGAGGGCGCACTTACGCTGGTTCGCCACGTACAAAGGAGCATCTAGGTACGGCCCTGCACCCATTGGGCTCAAGGTTGTGTGCTAATATAAGTTCCTGACTTACTTATGGAATACGTATCTTCCATGGTGTAGAAAGCCTCTGCCACAAATCTCACATTGATAACGTATCTTCTTTCTCAGTCTTCTCCTCGTCTTCACTTTGTTCACTATGACCACTTCTCCCAAATCTGTGCCTTCTTGAGTTTCCAAGTGACCAATCACTTCTGAAAAGAGAAACTTGGCAACTGAGTTTGATTATCATGACAGGTTGGCAAAAAATACTACATATTCATTAACTATTTAACAAAAAAAAACAGATTTTTCTTCAGCCATAGTAGTAATGTGTAGTATTTATCTACGAAGTGTCATTTGCAAAATTCCAAGGCCAACGCTTAGCCAAGGAATCTTACATCTTCCACATTTCCAGCCATCACTTCTATTTCCAACTGAGCAAAAAAGATTTGTGTGAAATAACAACATTGTAAAGTTGATCTGTGTGAAAACTATAGGTCGTTATCTATCAGTCAGGCAATTTTTGGTCAATGAGTAAGTTTGAGGGAAAAAATCAAATTAAATGTCAATATTTAAAAAAACTGTATGGCTTTTGTTGTGTATGCAGGGCCGTATTTCCCTAACGGCGTACACGGCGGTTACCTGGGGCCTTGTTTACAGGGGGCCTCAAAAGATTTTTTAGGTTCCTTTGAAAATAAATTTCTCCGATGATTTGCTAGAAGGGAACAATTTTCGACTTAAGCTTTTATTCTTGGGATCGCCAAAAGCATTTGCGAAGATTAGGCGATCAAAAGTTAAGTGTTTGCGATCACGGGTGACAATAATCAAGACTCAGCGACCGCAAAAGATGTTCATGATTCCTCCGGAACCATAGAGACCAATAGGCCTACACTCACCACTAACTGGCTCCACAGTACTAGCTGCTACGGGAGGTTCTTCTGGCACTTCCAAAGTTATTGTTACTGCCTCCTTCTCTTCTTCCTCGTCAATAACTCCTTCCTCCTTGAATATCCTCTCCAACTCCTTGCCTTGAACTGCTTCTTTGTACCTGCAGCCAACACAGTGAATACCTTATTGTTTTCTTATTATTTCTACAATGAAATGATTGAATAAAAAAACCTAATCCAATTATTAACCTAAAATTTATACACCTAGGTTTAGCCATGGCACATTTTGATCTTCTTATCAAATTAACTTGTTATAAATGGAAAATCTTGCAATTGGTAATATTTTCTTTTTGTGTAAAAATATTAATGACATTAATTATGTACAAATTGAAATACATCGTTTAGTGCAGATATCACACAACTACAAAAGTATGTTGATTATGGGGTTTCCGCAATAAACAATTCTGCAACACTCACCTCTGGGGAATTTTTCTTTTTCTTCGAGTTCTTCCTTCCACATCATCATCCTTGTTGTTTTTATCATCTTTCCTCTGTTCTTCATCAACAACATCAGCCGAGTTTTCGTTCAGGACGTCTGGTGCACTTTGAGCAATTTTTTTAGGTCTTCCCCTCTTTTTTCGGGGCTTCTCGAGACCTTCAGCTTTCAAAACGATTGGTTCTTCTGGTTTATACATAGCTCCGTTTTCACCAAAAACTGTAAATACAGTAATTGCTTATTTTTCAAACCAATGCTCTATTAATCTATTTTTAAGAACCTAAAAAGGTATCTCATGTTTTTAAATCACCCTTAAGAGCCAATATTTTTAGCTTTTTTAATCACAACCGGCTCCAATTCTGCAGACTTCTTAAGTTATCTATATATTTAATACGCTAGGCATATTTTTGTCGTAATTGTTTTGGAGTGGTGGTGTTACCGATCACCATGTTCAAGGTGTCGTTAGAAAGCTCTTAGCATGTAGTTTTGCCATCAAACAAAAATACTTTGGAATTCCATCAGGGCTCTGCCCCAGTGGCCTTCAAAGTTCCCATGTTATTCTTAGGGAGAAAATGTTTGTTTATATTTGAACAGATGAATACTTTGAAATTGACACTAATATTTAAACAGATGGTTATACAAAAATTTTGCACAAATCAAAACATAACCAAAAAAACGTTTGACATAATGGAGACTATAAGACGTTGACCAGGACGGCAAATAGGAAGAGGCCGACGAACTTTAACTGGTAGACGGTAGACACGAACGAAATACAAATGATACTATTGTTGATAGCCGAATCCAGCAAGCACCCTTCCGTGTCAGGTTTAAGTGTGCTTTCCAACAGTCGGCTGAAGATTTCACATTCAATTTAGGACTGTTGGATAATCGCTGCATAAGCTGTTGATTTTGGAAGACAAGAAGGAGGGTAAGACTAATTTGAAAACATAAGAGAGGAGATATGAGATGAGTGGCAAATGCGTTGGGGAGCAGAGTGTTTTATGTTAACGTTTTAAGGGTAAACGTTCGTTTATATACCTAACATCAGAAAGAGACTGGAACAAGATTGGGAGATGGGCCATTATGAAACGCAGTTGTCACAGAACATTGAAAATTTCAAGGCGATTTCGTGAAGATTTCACATGGTGGAAGAGGAAGTATGTAGATGTGGTGAAATAAAAACCACGAGTCACGTATTTATAAATTGCTCACTTCAGGAGACAAATAGGAGAGAACAGGAATAAGTCTTGGATAAGATAGGCCTAGAGAGATGAGAAAATAAAACATGATGAGTGAAAAGGAAGCAATTGAGACGTTTAGAAAAGTAGCTAGGGAAATAGGAAAAGACAAAGGATACATACAGGCATTAAAATTTAAAAAAAGAAACAAACAAAAACTAAGAAAGAAAAGGGATGAAAACTTGCCCATGAAGGGAAAAGGAAAGGTTAGAGCGAATCTCAATGATCCCTATCGCTCAGAGGGCGGTATGGGGAAGGGAGTCCTGCTTTTGGACACACAATGTGTCTGGAAACCCAATGCAGCTATGAGTAAGGCTATTTTTGTAGAAAACACTATTTACAATAAATGTTGATTATATCGATCTATTAAGTACATCTTTAGTATTTCCATAATCAGTATTTCCATAATCTTTAAGTCGAATATTTTAAAGTCATCAGAAATGATGACTGCTATTCGTTTTAAAATAACGCCAGTAATACTTAGCAATTGCTCGAATTCGAGCAACAGGTACACTAGTTTTTATTATTAGCCATACCATAACATATTGATCAACAATTTCTACCAGTTAATTATTTTGATTTATTAATCTGCAAAAGATGTGCTTACCTCAGCATACCATTAAAGATCTGAAAATCTCTTATTCATCTAGGGGTACTCACGACAATCGCAGACTGATAATTGCAATCGTAAACTGCAAATTGAACCGAAAATATCCATTCTTCTAGACTGCCACAACAAAGTTGTTACTTCCTGATTCAAATCAATTACCCTTATTTCCAAACTTCCCGACCAGTAAACATCACCAGGAATTAGCCACATTTTGTACAATGCTTTACCTGCTAGGCTATAGTATTATTCAACCCCTAATTCAATCAAACTTTTGAGTTTTTGTTTTCAGAAATATTATTTTTTTGATGTAAAAATGTTTCCTTTTAAATTTTAAATTTACAAAAGAAGGCCTAACAATACAAATGTTGGTCTAATGTTCCGCATGCTCGTTCGAGTGGATGAAAAAAAAAACATAGCCTAACCTCTAACAATCAATAACTATGTAAAGAGCAGATTAAATTAGGTACGGTATTTATTATGTTAGCTTATCATTAGCAGTTCTACCATTTCCTTATCACTATAAATAAACAGTTTTCAAAGAGTTCTCCATCTAATAAATTCAAAACAAATACATATTTTGTCCCTTTACCTTATGTATCTACATTTAAACATGACTTTCTCAGAGGAAATAAAAGCATTACCTTCCACACTAAGCTGAGGTTCGTAATCTTCCAACAATCCTTCCACAAACTCCGCCCCCTCTGTGGCAGTAGTTAACATCTCCTCTTGGCTGTACGAGTGTTCGGACACATTGTTCGATGTGCCTTCCGTAGCGGCTGCTCTAGGTAACTGAGAACTGGAGGGTGTCTCCCTTTCTGTCTTCTTTTTACGAGCAACCTGGACATTTGTAACATTATCACCTTCGAGATTTTAGTAAAAACTCAATGATCATTTCCGCGTAGGTCACAGGTAGTCTCTTTTGACTGTCGCTGTTAGGAACAGGACATACATAGACGATAGGATAGTCAGCATTCAATACCACACATTGAGGTTACAGTGGTTGAAATTTTTAACAGTAAAATCACAGGAGAATAATATTAATTATTAAATGTACATAAATAATATTGGAACAAGATTAGTGTACAGTTACCGGTAATGCTTAACTCTAATTTTCAAAACTAATGTGTCTAACATGAGTAATACAGGTAGACAGTAGCTAACTTAGTAGACGGTAGCTAATGTGCAAAACCAAGATGATGAAGTCAACACAAGCTATCAATATAGGCTACTCTATTTAAAATCCTATTTATAACATTTGTACATTCCAGCGGCTGCTAAACCACCACAATGTGATTGCAATACAAAAAGGTCGTAATCTTTACATTATTTATGTGTTTATTGATTCATTCATGTTAGTGAATCATCTCTCCATCATGTTACACTCATCTTGATTTATATTTTTCTTATGTAATTAATTACCTGTTGCTTCCACATTTCCCGGATTTTCTTCTGTCCTTCAATAACCAGATCAAAGAACTGCACAGTTGCTTGTACTTGAATATTGCAACCAGGACAAATTGTTTGAGGCAGTTTTCCATCGCTCTGCACCTATAACAGTCATTACTGTGGGTTACCATGAGTGGCAGGAGCGATTTTGGTGTGTCGTGGAAAGACACCAAATACTAAAAATGTGCTTTTTTTAACAGGACCTGTAATTGTCAACTCCTGAACGTTCGGGTGAGCACCAGATTAGCAAGGGACAGGGCAGTACGGTACTGTATATTAAAATATTTTCAATATTCACAATTCAAACGTGATTATCGTGTTCTTAGCATTAAACTAAGAATTTTCAGGCTTCCAATTCTAAAAGTTCAAATGCTGAGTTTATTCTTAATATCGGAAAAAAGAAAAACAATAATTGCTTGGGAAATTTTTATGACACTGGCTAATATATTTATTAGGATTAGGCCTATTTATTTTTAACTCTTTGCATGTATTTTTATTTATTTAACTGTACAACTATTTGGTAATGTCTGTGATATAGCCTAAATGTGACTGTGATAATATATCACTATTGAGTAGCCTATATAATGTGTTTCTGACGAGGTCTATTGTAATCAGAGATTATTCAACGATTACCTAATAAAATACTTGATTACTTTATAGTTTTAATGTGTGGATTTGAATAGTTTTGAGATTTTTTGGGTGTGAATAGCAGTTCTGATAATGCAATCACAGAAAATGTCTTGAAAGTTTTCAGGACCAAAATGTACAATATAGCTGCTGTATGTAAAGGGCCTACTGTCGGGTCAAAAAGTATAGATACTGAAGTTTGAGATAAACAATAAAATTGAATGGTAGCTCCACAGAATACTCAGACAGTGATTATTAAGATTATGAGTAATGTCATGTAAAACGAAAAAAAAATGTAAATAATGTCTTCTTCTGTACTACATATAATTATTTTGGACTATACTTTTGTAAATAGATCTTTGACAACGGCTATCTAGCCAGCAAACCATTTTTAAACCAGCCATTGGAGGTCCAAAGCCCTCATGAGAAAAGCTGATGGGAAATGGTAATTCGTGTAACACGATCCCAGATATGGTTTAGGGGTAGGGTACTATTGTGGTGATGAGGTTCGGCGGTTTGGTCCGGGCTGCCAAAAACCGGTCCCGGGCAGGGAGAACTCCCTGCCTGCGAATCGATAGCGGTACAAATTTCACGCACTATACTGCGTTCCAAAACTGCTTTGATTATACGTACAATATAATTATTCAATGCCAATTAGCTAATGTGTGACTTAACTTTTCATTTATATATTTTTATGAGCTTTAATTCAAGCTTTCGTCGTAGTTTCTTACTTGTTCTGTACCTGAAGGCTGTCCAAGTTTAATGATGATTGGATCAGTTGTAGTTTTTTTGTTAACTTATAAAGTTTTAAAATCGCCCGTTGTTAGAAAAGTGCCGAAAAACGTATACCTACTTTTTTCATTCAACTCGCTGAAAGGATGGGTTGAAACTGCATAAAAAATGCCTAGATAGGGCCTACTGTTAACTTTTACTAGTAATATTGGACTTGTGTAATATTGGTGGTGTCTACATCTCTAAATTCGTTGTCATGATTTGGTAACTTAATTTGACTTAGGCCACATGATTATTGAAAATAACATTTGATTGAATTTTGAATTTAACTTAAACCTCTTATCTATGGTAGGCCTAAGGGTCGACATAAGTTTATAGCCTAATAAGTTAGTCTTCTTGGACTAAAATTAATTTTAAAAATTAAAAGATAAGCCTACTCTGTAACTTAGGTCTACAGTAGGGCCTAGTTTTCAAATCCAACTTGATTTCAAATAAATTCAAATTGTTTAAGTTTAACTTAACTTATTCAGCCATTAAACATTACAGTAATATGCTATGTAAATACAAAATGTTAATTTAATTAATATTTCCTTTGCTAAAATTAGGGTTTTGAGCATTTTACTTTGTTACGATTAAAACTAGCATTTTATAAGTGCCATATAACAATTTTGTCCTTCTAAAAATGGATTTGAATTTCCCTCTTGATTTATATTAATAGTGCCTGTCTGCTAGGCTACTTGCTTGCTTGACGGGATAAAAATTGAAGACCACCATCAGATAGAACTAGGCTAGGTGGAAAGTGTAAAATCAAGCTAGATTAATTAGAGATATATTTCATATTCATTTAAAGTTTCCATTGAAAATATTGATTTACTATGATTATTCAAAACAAGAATAGGTAGAAGTTGATTAGAGTTGTAGCCCAAGATACTCAGGTGCAACGTTGATCAGTAAAAGCTCCATTTTGTTTTCAGAGTAAGTCAAGTTGTACACTTTTACAATCTTAAAATATTATAATACCTTGAAAGGGAGGTACATGTTGATGAAAGATCCAAGGTCCCCATCAGTTGAATTTTCGTCGAACAAAAGAACTCCATTTGGATTATTTTCAGCGCAAAGTCTACAAATTGTAGAAAGATTGAGATCAACAACTTCCATTGTGTTGACTACCTATCCTAACCTAGCAGAAGCAAGCAAGCCAATCAGAGTTGTCAATTCTAACAGCTGAAATCCTTTGCGCAGAGGCGACGTTATCGTTCTCTGATTGGTTATGTTTAATTTTTGGCGGGAAATGCGAAAAGTTCAAAACACAAACAGCTAAACAAGATTAGCTATCCACAACATTACGTCGCACATAAAAAAAATTAATATTCAATTTTATCACTAACATTATCGTTGAACAAGTACTAAACAATTTCGATCCTATATATACAGTACCTGAAAAATTTGCTCCAGTTTCAATCTTGATAAGTAAGTCGCCATAAATTCGTTCAATAAAGTGGAATAGTCTCACCAATTATTTTTTTGTGTAAATAATTAAGTAAATAAACCATATAGGAAGTGATTTATCAAAGATAAAATCAAGCTATTTTACAAAAAACAAATTAATTCTTACCGATTAATATGCTATTGGTGTACTAAGTGCACATTATTAGAAAATCAACATAAAAACGTACCTATGTAGTTACTTTGATTCAGTATAGAATTTGCACATAAATTAGTTAATTTGATGACTTTAACTTTCATTTTTAGTAGTTTGTTAAAATGTATTGACGAAAAATGATACTGTCACCACTCACCATTCGCAGTGTTATTTTAAGGTGATTGAATGGTTATGGGTACCGTAAATTGGTTAAACTGATGTTATCATAATAATGAGCAATAGATTTTGAGTTGTTTTGATTCAGTACATTTTGGGTGTTTGTTAAAACTATTTAATTTAAAAAAGGAGCATAAGTGGCCTAGCCCAGTTCATAACCTTTGAATACCAAATCGATTTATTGAACTAGAACGCCAACTATATTTTTACTATGAAATATTAAAGAGAACGCATTATGAAGTTGAGCCTTCAGGTTTATTTAACTTTTATTTTTATTCCTCAATATAAAAGTACAATAAATAGGATAAAACCTATCTAACTATCCCATACCGTCATACTTCCTAGTTTGCTATAATTCTACCGTTTAAATCCCTTTCCCGATAAGCTCAGGTCGTATATGTGATATCATACACTAACCCGACACGGAGATAGCATAAAATAATCAACATATGCTATGCTCAATCTATGGTAATATTTATGTATTCAAACATTAAATTAAAATCGTTTCAACAGAAAATAGTTTTTATTCTGCTCACGATTTTGTAATCTTAGGTTGTAAAGATATGGGTTGTGTTTAAGGTTATGGGTATTTTTTTATAATTTATGCACATGAATAATGTGCCTTAAGCCATTGATGTTAATGTGTTTACCAGCAATGAGGGAAATCACAGAAAATGTATATGATTTAAAAGAACGCTATAAAATATATTCACAATTTTAAATATTTATAACATTTAAGTTTATAACTTACGCTATAGCAATGATGTCAACAGTCAACACTAATTCGTCAATCGTTGTTGGCTATACTGATGACAAGACAAGAAACTTGAAAAAAATCTCTTTTGAAATAGCGTCTACTGCTTTTTGCCTTGCTTTGCTGTTGCTGTAGATATGTCAACAATAACAATAACCTAATAAATAACAATGTTTTATCTTTTCTTTAATTAGCCTAATTTTTGTTGACGTTTAGTTATAATCTTAATAAAAACAGTTATTAACAGTTTTTTGTCAGATAAATGTTCAAAACCCGCAGAAAAGTAACATCAATGATTACACAAATCTTAGTTAAACTAAAACGTTTTTTAAAGGTATCTAGTCTCACATCACATTAAAAAATGCAATCTTCTAAAAAAATGTCATCTTTCATATTGAAATTATCTGGGCACCAAAACTACATTAGACTAGTGGATCATGCTATAAAGCCAGGTAGGCGTACTTTTTTCAACTAACAAATTGCTTATCTAACTTAAGTTATTTTTTGACTGAGCCTAGGGTCTCACTGTGAACATTCTAGTTTATTTTTGTTCTTCAACAATACAGTTTATTAAGATTTTATGTGTCATTATAATCTTAATGGTTAGTGAATTTGTTCTAAAATCCACTTTAGGCCTAATTACATAAAATACTTAGTAGGCCAAAGGTAAGTTTTAAACTTATGTTGTCTGATATGTACATGTTGATAATCTGTAGGCCTGAGCAAAAAATACAGAATCCAACTGTAAGGCTAGGTGCACACAAGCGATTATTTCATCGGCCGATCTGTGCATCATGTATTAGAACAGAAGCGCGCACCCAGGCGTTCGAGAACTGCGCCGATTTTAAAATCTGGGTTTTGCCGCAGATTTGTAGGCGAGGCGATTGTTGCCCGGAAATCTGTAACGTACAGGTTGTTATCAGTCCCGCGCACACAGTCGACTAAAAAATCGGCCAGTCGCTTGTTGTTCTCCACAGGAGTCAGTGAACTTCAGTGTTAGTTGTGTTGTTTTCTTTGTTAAAATGGCCACAGCTGTTATAATAAAAACTGAAACTTTCAACAGAAATTCTATAGTAATTAAAGAACTTTTTACCGTCATCACGTAAAGTGTATAGTTTATAAAACTGTCGATTTAAAAGTCTCTGACTTACTATCGGATGAACCCAATATTTATATTATCTTCTTTTTTTCTTTGATCTAATTGGAAGAGCAAGGTTAAGTTAATTCAACGAAGTCCATTTTAGGATATCTTAAACACACTAAAAAAAATCCATTTCTCGACTAAAAAATCGCCACGTGTGCGCCTAGACATAAATCAAGGGTGATTTAAATCGGCCGATCGAAAAATCGACCGTCTGCGCCAGGCCTAAGAACTCGTTTACATAATCTGTTTTAGAACTGGAACCAAACGATGGGGGGGGGGGTAAGTTAAATGGGCTTCCATCGTTCAAAACTAATAGGCTACCGTAAGTTTAAACTATTGATCGTTGGTATTTTTCAGTCTTTAATATACTTAATGGGGTAGGCCTACAGTATAAAAGAGATCCTACGGTATATTTTTATTGTATGAAAAATTGTTTAATAGGCTATACCTATAAGATATAACTATTAAAGCCTACCTAATTATAGGCCTCTTGTTTCGGGTATAGCTTTTACACAATAGTGAACAAGTTATATAGTTTTAGACTAAGTTATGTCTTATAAAATTTAAAGAAATTTGTATTAATACCAAAATGATATTTAATCCATCCAATTCATACAGTCTAATTTTCAGTTTTGAATATTAACAAGTGCAGTAAAGCAATATTTCGAGGAGAAGGTTATGGCATGATATCTACCAGTTCCAGTCCTTACTTCAGGATAACTACCTTGGAGAACAGTTACGAAGGTAAGGAATTCTTTACCAAGGTCCAAATGCTACTTTAATTGGTGCGGACAATCACCTTTTAATTAATTTATCCGTAGGCCTATCCTACATGCATTTCTGATAGTAGATTAGTGAGTTGGTGGTTCAGTCGGTAGCGTCGCGGACTTCGGGCCCAAGGCAGCCATGTCGTGGGTTCGGATCCTGGTCACTGCCGATAACATTTTATCTGTACAGTTCACCTTTGTACTGTACCGGCTCACTCCTTGCTTTGCTGTAAACGATCCACGCACGGGCGCTTAGTCTATGTGGACGGGCAAATGCAAGGAGTGATATATGAAGAGGCCGCCAACCTCTTTAAAAAAATAAATAAATAAATAAAGTAACAGTACAAACCACTGTAAGTGCATCTCAAGTTGAAAAATTATCTATGTTTGTTTCTTGTAGGTGCCGTACCGTTGTCAGTATGGCACAAACATTTGTATCCTAGAGATTAAATTATCCTGACCATAAGTATTTTCCCATGACATCTTTCCTTCATGTTATGTTGCTACAAGATGAAGCCACTCATCTCCATTCATACTTGGCTTAAAAAACCTACATTCATATGGTTACCATTTCAGATTAAAATATTAAAGGCTATTTTTAACACATATTTTTTACTATTCATAGTATTTTATACCTTGTAAATTCAGTTTTGATTTTCAAACTGTAGTTTTCAACGTTTTACTCATCTCTGTTGTCCTCAGGAGATGTTAACAGCTACACAGGCCGCAGTCACACGTGTGGTCAACTGAGAAGCAGTCACGTAGGAGCTGAGGTCACGTTGTGTGGTTGGCTTGACAGTCAGCGAGGTAACAGGTTCGGAACACTGCGTGACGGTCACGGGAAAACTCAGATCTTGATTCCAACAGAGGTTTGTTGTCTTCTTTTGCGGTAGATGGTAGGCCTACATATGTAAATCTCTCGATAACAATTTTGTTGGTTAAATTTTTGTATGTTTAAAACACTCTACTCTTGTTTCTGATGAATATGTTGTTAAAAAGTATGATTATTTTTAACTGTTAGCATGGTGAAAAAAGTGACTAAGTTTAGAAATTATCTGTAAAATCAAAATTCTTGTAGACTTAAAACAATTATGTTTTAAATACCTATTGTGGAACACAACTTTGCAAATTGTGTAGGCCTACACATTTTTTTATAAAACTGGTTTATTGTAAAAAATAACATGATTGTATTTTTGTTGATTGTATTAGCAGACCCAAGTGTAAGTTTTGCATGGTATTTTGTTGATATTTTAATTGCCTAACCAACCATTTCTTTTTATTTGAACCAACTTAATTATTGTAGCTGGAAGGAACTCTGGGGAAGAAGTTGGGCCAAACATCGTTGGAAAGTGTCATCAAAGTTATTGGAACTGTGAGCGCCCGTCCACCTAATCAAATAACAAAGGTAAGGTAATTAAATTGAATTCTAATCCTCTATTCTTGATAAATATTTAAAATTACATGTCCTTTCTTGCAGTTAATCTTAGAATAAAACCACGGAACATAAAAGTGATAGAGATTTTCAGTAAATCCCTAGGAGAAAAATTGAAGTTTAAGGAGAAGCAATTATAAGTTCTTCGCAGATTAAATTTATTTACAATATTTATATACTTTCTGGGAGCATATAAAATATTTACTGTCAAAAGAGACTTGAAGATGCAGTGGACAAATGTGATA